TTTCTACGCCTAGATGACCGCAAAGCCTGACCGACGGCAGCGTCTGTAAGGGCGCGGGCGGGAGCTGAAGCGGGGGGTAGCGTGGGTACCTGGGGCCAAGGCCGTCAGCACACTTCGGCCCGTGGACACCTCGCCCCTGCGGACGTGCGCACCAGCGGCTTCCCGCTGCCGGAGGCCCGCCTCGGCAGCGTCGTCATGAGCGCGTCGCACGCGGCCGCGCGGGTCGGCCTCGGCTCGCGCCGCTGTCAACAGGGCACTCCATCGTCCGTCGAGGAAGTCGCGCACTCGTTGAAGCAGCGCCTCGCTTTCGACGGTGCCGGCGACTCGCGCGCGGAAGAGAAGCATGCGCGGCACGAGCAGGAAGAGGTTCCACGTTCGGGCTTGCTGTATCTCGCCGTTACGCGCGTGCGCCTCGCGCAGAGCGAGGAGGCAGAACGTGTAAGTGTAGGCTTGACGGAGGCCGGGCCGCAGGAAAGCTGGCACGCCCTGCATGGTGGGCAAGCGAACGGCGAAGGTATCGAGCTGTGCCCACGCGGCAGCAGGAACGCGCGCCGATGCCGCAGCAGGGTCCTCCGGTTGGTCAGGGACGGCAGCGCTCGGGGGCGGTGCAAGGCGGTCGGCAGCGGGACTCTCCTCAACCCGAAACAAAGCGAGGCGAGAGCTGCCTGTGTCCAATTGGGTCGGGACAGCGGCGCCAGGGGTCGGCGCAAGCCGTGCAGCACTGTCGTCAACCGGTGGTTGCGCCGGGGCGCCCGCGTCACCAGGAAAGCCGGGGCTGGCCTTGATTCGTCAGACACAAACAATTACAAACACAACGACGCTCTGAGCAGACAGAGACAGTGTATGACAGTGTGCAGTGTACTCGCAGCTTTCGAGTCGGCAACTCCACGGAGCGGTGCCTTTTTTCGCGGAATGTAGACGGGTTGCGCAGACCTTCAGCGCCATCCTGCAAGCCGGCCATTTCCTCACAGAACACGAAGATCTGCAGAGAGGGGCCGCGCTGCCCGCATGAAGAAGAGAGAATATGGCGGCACCTTCAAGACGCTTGTCTCAACGTTTGCCTTATCATGAAAGGGTCCACAACCACATGGCTGGCAGAAATACTCCCGTTGGCTTACACGCCCGGCTGCAGACGAGCAGAAGTCGTGTGTAACAATTCTTTGATTCTGAAAGTTCTCAGGCATCTCCTCAAGAGTTTCCTTAGCGAGAGCTTTTTTGGGGATGCTGCCAGAATGTGGCAATGCTCATGCAATGCTGGATGAACGACGATTAATCTGGCACTCGGTTTTGTGTCGGCAGGCGCTATAATCACAAGTTTTCCAAAATTATTCAGCGAACTAATCTGTTGGGGTCACCCGCTATTATCACACAAGTTTATTCCAGGCCTGAAAGCTTCACGCCCTGAGGACCTCGTGTTCCAGGAATCTCAAAGAGCTATAGCCCGGAAAATCCAGGAAGCTAAGCTTGGCCGGTTGCATCTAAACCCTTATTCAATTATCTTACGAAACGAGGCCCCAAGGCCCAGCCCGACTCACTTTTAAAAAAATGTTGCGTCACCCTCTATAATACACAGGCCCGGCTCGGGGGGTTAATAGAGAGAGGGAGGAAGGGGAGAGCTGAGAGCCTGATCATGTTCATGATCTTGATAGCATAATCTGCATCTTCCTCGTCCGGGAACTCTACGAAGCCGTACCTCGGGAAGAGGGACAGAAAAACAGACAGTGGGCGAGTGGGAGAAGTGGGAGAGTGGGAGAAAACACAGAACTCGCACATGGCCACAGGGCTTGCCCTGAATTCGTTCTTTTTCTGAGACAATCTGAAGTTGGCTGCTTGGCCAAATTGCATCTCGGCACGAATCAGGTCTGCAGCGCCAGTCTGTATAAGGAACCCTATATGCGTTCACCAGCGACAGTAGCATATACATAGTTACATATACATATACATATACATATACATATACATATACATATACATATACATATACATGTATATGGAAATGTATATGTATATGTGTATGAACGCTACCTGATTAACTACAAAGCCGGCATCTGCAGCTAGTCGGACGTTTACGTCGCGCTTATGTGGCATCTCGGGTTGGCAATCTCTTTGGGCAGCTTCAGACGCGATAACATCTGCTGCATCCAAGAAGCTGGGAGTCGGACCAGGAACTGTTCCGGGCAGTCGAACGAAAAATGCGCGGTGAATCCCCAGACTCAGCCCCTCGAAAATACAACCCATCCTCCAAATCCTCCCCTGTTCCAAACTCGCCCATCGTGAGGCGGCAATTGCTGCAGCAGGAGTAAGGCTCATCCAAGTAGGGATAGCATTCACTGCGCCCACCTTAGGCTTAGAGCAAGTTCAGTAAGTCAGGCATTCCGAGTCTCGTGCAACATAAATGAAAGGTTTGCAAAGGTGATTGCTCTTCTTGGATGCAGGTACAATAGGAGCAGCGCCAGGTCTGCATCCAGCGATGCAAAGGGCTGCCCTCGACAGCTTTCTCTCGCAGGACCAAGTGGGTGTCCTGGGACTCGCAACTTCGCGCCAATGCAGATTCCAGCACTTGGCCGTGATATGCCGCGATGCAGAAGCTGCGAACAGGACACCTTGAGGCACCTGTAGAGAGAAAGAGAGCGAGAGAGAGAGGCAGAGAGAGGGTCTATCCACATAAACTGCGTGCAGCGTTGCTCACAGAGCCCTTGTCTCGCTACTCCATCTGCGAACAATCCCCCGATTAATCTCGACAGTAGGGGTGGAGTGGGGACCTGCGGCCTCCTGTCGGGGTTGAGCCGGGCAGAGCGTGCTTCAATTCTTGTGATGGGGTCGGCGGCATTGGCGGTAGCCATTAAATATTTTCTAAACATATTCAATGTAACAATACTCTAACATAATAATGTAATAGTGTTTGTACGAGGGAGGTTGCTGAGGGAAGGCTCAGACGTCGACCGCAGCATCCAACTGCCACGTGAGATTGAAGGCCTGAAGCCCATGTCGACCAACTCAGTAGCTCGTTGCAGCTCTTCCGGCCCAGTAGCCAATGTCATCTGATGGCTGGGTGGATATATTCGGATATATGTCGATACTGACCCGCAAGGCTGCCCGTAAGCAGACGCAAGTAGCATGCAAGCATCCCTGAGGTTGGGGCATGTCTCCAGCAGTCCGACTTTTCACCTATGCTCCGCATGTGATTGGGATCGATGGGGCACACTGGACTGTAACCATTCCCAGGCTGACATCTCAGGTCAGTGCATAACATCAGACTGTCACTGCAGTTCCCACATCCGACCTAGAAGGTGCAAGCAAGCAGTCGCTGGATCATGCAGTGTTCCGAGTTCCTTCGCCAAACGGCACTTGCATTGGTACGAGTACGTGCTCAGCTCGCTCAGACGGCCACAGTCCATCCATTGGTGACATTCACCTCCGGGCAAGTACAGGTACCAGCCAGCAAGTCTGAGCCCAACATGCTCGGCTTGCTTGTGTCTTCTTGGGACAAGGTGCCCTACCTATTAGCCTATTTGCTATATTACCATATAGGTCATGTTGGAGATCTCCTGCATGTTGTGGGTGTCGCTGTCTCAGCACCTCCCAGCCCTGCCTCCCCTGGGATGGCGCACAAGAACTCATCAATAGGGGTGTAAGAGATGAAGGCCCACCTGCAAAGGCAGAACGGCCTAGTGCAAAGGATCCACAGACTCTCCACTAAGATGATACTAAGATGAGTTCCAGACGCGGCGTACATGGTTGTAATGCATCCAATCCAGAAGAAATAAGACCTGCATCGGTCGATGATCATCGGTGTCTCTTCTGTGGAACTGCCCAGTCTCCTTGCCCCTTGCCACCCTTTCATTGTAAGTGCTGGACACCAAGCTGGGCGTCAGCCCTGCTTTGACTGCCCTCCCCGTGATTCTGAGGGTCCTGCGGCATGTCGAACATGAAACCCCAGGTACTACCCCCAAGGTAACCCCAATCCCTCAGGCCGATTGCCCTCCATTCCCCCTCTCGTCCTCTGCAGGAAGCCTGCCATGTTGCGTCGCGCGTTCAGATGGGCACAGGTGGCTCAACACGCTCCATTGCTGGTTTCCATGGCTCCCTTACCGTGGATTCTACGGACGTGTTCTGGGTTGTGACGTGGGTGGAGGCTTGAGGTTGAGCCAAAAGGCGGGTTAGGGATGTTGTGGGACCGTTGGCCCAGTTTATGTCCCATGTCAGCCCGCCTCAGTTCGCTTCCCTGAAGGCTAAAAATTGTTAGCATCTTGGGTGTCTTGAACTTGGGAAGCCTCCGACTCAGCTTGCGAACTTGTCATCTTGCATCGGCTCCTTGCAGGGTAGAGCGGCCCCCACCAGAATTGCAGCGCATGGGCGCTTGGGGCCAACAAGCAGCTGGGCGCTCTCCAAACTGAGGTTGAAGTTGCCCCTTGGCAAGCCTATCCCAATGCTCTCTGACTCAGCTTTCTTGCAGCTTTTTGGGAGGGCTTCTTTGCAAGGGTCAGCTACGTGCTTGAGGCCTTTTAGGCACAGCGACGCTTGAAAACTGCTCCCACAAGATCCCTGGTGCCCTTGCGATTCACAGCCCACTCTCAGGCTGGAAAGCTTTAGGAAAAGCACAGCCAGCCGTCATCCGTGGGAGCTCCTATGCATCGCAAACCTGGGCTTGTAAGGCACACGGCGTTGCGCGCCGAAAATCTCCGTGGCTGCAAGTTGCTGGTCTTTCACTTCTGTCAGAAAAAGCTGCACCCTCGCAGACAACGTCTTGCCGATAGTTGAGTTCTTTCTTAAGATCAGCAACCCAGCATTAACTCCGCAACTCTACATTTTGCAGAGCTGCTGCGGCGCGCCTAAGCCGCTTTGGAGATCGCATCCTTGGGCCATTGTCCGCCACCCGCACGGATTCGTAATCAAGGCAAGTGCGAGGGTAAGATGCAATCAAGCGGCGAGTACAGCTGCCTGCTGGGCAGCGTCGCAGTTGTGCAAGAAACCGTGACCTGGGCACTGAATTCAGCCCCTCAGCAGGCTACCATGGCTACCCGAGTCTTCACGAGCTCCGAGCCCTGCGTCTTCTTGGAGTGCACCAATGCACCATTCACCTTGATTTCGAAGTTCCCGGTCACACCCGGATCCTTGATCTCAGAGAAGCTGATCTCCTCAGGCTCTGAAATTGGCTCTGACCACTGTGCCTGCCTCCCTACCGCCCGACAGGCCTTGCCAGGCAACTTGGTCTGGATCAGCTGGATGGCAGCTTTGGAATGCTTGCCGTAGCCTCAGCCTCCGCAGTACTGAATCTCCTTAGCTTCGAGCTTCTCAGCCTTTCACCCTCAGATTCTCACCTTTTCTGCACTCCGAGGAGCAACCGCCGCCGGCATGGCTTGCGACAGGTGACGAAGGCCAAAATGGCGAGGGGCGCCCGCGTGTCTCAGGAAGCCGAAAAGCATGCTGCGATTTTCGGCACTGGTCTCAGGTCAGGCAAAAGGAGTGTTGCATAGCGTTGCGCTCGAGGCCTTCGGCCCAGCACAGAAGAAAAGGGTTAACCGAGAGAACAGCTGAAGGGCGAACTAAGAATACTGTACTGAAAACACATGAAAACACCCCGTCCTAACTTAGAGCAATTTAGGGCCGCGCCGTTGTGGTTTAGGGCCTCTCCAGGGCCGGATCCAAGCCAGCTTTTCCCGAAGAGAGCTTATCGCGCACAGCATGCTTCAGGAACCGCATTCGGACACACCATTTTTGACCTTGCAACACAGCTCACTTTGGTTGCTCTGAAGCAGGCTCTGCCATGGAGTACCTGGACTGAAGACAGCATTGCAGGATATTGCAGGGTTGGAGCTTGGAGACAGAGAGAGAAAGAAAGAAAGACCATCGGCCGAGTGAAGGGCCCCGGTGGGAGCTCGAACTCGCTCATGTCAACAAACGCCTCAAGTACCCGATCTCATCGCTAACAGACGATACCCGCGCTGGCAAAGCACTGTGAACAAAGTCCCAGACGACATCATCGGGGACATCCACCGTGGCAGCCTGCGAGCTCTGAGCAAGCAGCAAAGACAGGACCTGGCTGAGCCATATCGTATAAGAACAGTATGTAAAGATATACAGATAGGTAGATAGATTTTGCGTATGATACAATTTGCAAACATGTTTACGGTAGCTCACATCAGACAAAGGCCTGCTGGGCTTCGATCTCAGCCTGTTCAAAGGCCCCAGCTGTGGCACGGCCACGGATGTTGGGTTGAAGGGGCTCGAAGCTTTACGGTAGGGCTTCAGGCCCACCTTACGAAGTGAGGAGAGGCAGGTGCTTCTGGCATTTAGTAGGACTCTCAGGACTTGGGGCTGCTTGTAACAAGACATGCTCATTCAAAAGTGAGTGGCACTGCCCACATGGCCATCATGTCATCCGAATCTCCTGCTCGGCACGTAGCTTGTCGCGCAGCTCTTTGTCTTGGCGCGCCTGACCACCAAAGTATCTTCGTGCATCTGATTGGCTCCCATGATTGCAATATGCCACGTGGCACTCCGCGGTACTCCGTGGCACTCCGTGGCACTCTGTGGCACTTGGCCTTGACGATGCCATTCTTCTTGCGGAAGATCTTTGGGCTTCTTGCACGGTGGTTGACGTGAAACCTCGAGCGCAACAAGTGGCACTGCGCCATGGTTGCAGGGGCGCCCGAAGTAAGCCCCCAGAAATTGTGCCCCTCGAAGTTGTGCCTGGTGATTCCGCGGCTGCGCATTTCCTGCGGCATCAGTGCCGGGCGCCGAAAAACTTTGACTCCTTCGCCAGTGGGGGGGCCGCTCCCAGCTCCCCAAACTCCTTTTTTGTCGGGTCCTTTTGGGGCTCCCTGAACAAAGGTCCTTGAGGATAAGTCTAGGGAATATACAAGACAAAACATGATCAAAGCCACCAAGAAAGGCCCCCATGATTCAGGTCTCACCTCCCCAAATTGAGGCGAGTCTGCGGCTGTCCTTTTGGGACCCAAACATCAAGGACTTTGGTGCCATAGCCGCTGATGGACACCCACCCTGAAAGAGGCACACGTCCCGGCTCGGCCCAGACACGAAGATCAAGAGCTAGCTGAGGACCCGTCCCATGCCGGCGATGACCTACGGAACTACGAGTAGCAACTTGTAGCTGCTAGCAAAGCAGGGCTGAGGGTTTTGGGCTTGGGAGTTTGTTGCAGCTGGGCCGCGATGTCGTCCCAGGCCCGGTCACTGCTGCCAAAGACCTGGAGATGGGTCTAAGGATGCGGAAATATGCAGAATGCAAGCCAGGCTCGTGCTTCAACGAGCGCGTTTCATGTGAGGGGGCCTCTACGCGATGACGCACCAGCGGACCCAGCCGCTCGCAATCTTCACCTGAATGTTGCCACGATGTACCAGGCTAAACAACAATCACACAACTAGACTCAAACTTAAGGTCACGACTGGTCAAGGAGTGAGCAAGACTCACAACACAGGCCATGTCTTTATTTATGGGACGAGCTGCGGCTGTGAGGCGGATAGAAGAAGTTGCCGGCCTTCCGGCTCAGCAAGTCCTGAACGGGACCGAAACCGGAGAAGGGATTTGTGAACTCAAAGCAGCCAAGATGGCGATCAGAGAAGGGAGGAGACTCTCCTCCACTTTGCAAGTCTGACCTCTGCTGAGCAGCAGGCACCAGTATGCACCAGTAGCCCAGGCCACAATTCCCTGATCCGGGGCCGCTGCAAACGTGGATCGTGACGCTCAGGCCAAAGAAGGATGTCAGAAAGCTGATGTTGCCCTCTCAGCAGGCAGGCTAGATGGATCATCATCTTATGCTTCACCAGTTTGCGATCTTGAGGATGTCACCTGCACCTGGTCGATGCGAACCAAAGCACCGGCCAGAAATGAGCGACCTGCAGGCCAAGAATTCTCGTAGGCCTCTGGCCGTTTGGCATGTAGATCAGCCCATGAAAAGGCTTTGAGATGGCGTCAAACCAACCGCAAGAGCGCGCTCCGGTTCAACGTGCTGTGCTGGCACTGCTGTTGTTGCTACTTGCTGCTGATGGTGTGGCAGGCAACAGATGTAACCAAGACCTCTTCCAGTGGTTTCAAGGCTTGAGTGGTTTACGAGACGCCTGAAGTCTCAGGGGGTTCGACATTGGATTTTACTGCGCCGGATGCCGGCTCAAGGGTTGGAGATGGTTGGAGTTTTGGCCTGAAGCCAGGTTTGCGTTTTGCATTTTGCGGCAATTGCAACCCCCCCCATGACTCACATCCAGCGTGCGTGGAGAGGGGGGGGACAAATGGCAAGGATGCACAAAGGCAGTCCGGGTTGCCCTGCCATCGTGCGGGCAACTGGGCGGCCGACGAAGCGGTCATGTCGGCCACACACACCGTGGGCACACCAACACACACAGACACTGGCACTGTCTTTGTCAGGAAAAAAGCCACCTGTGTGCAAGGCGTACGAAATCGAGTTGATCCGCTTGCGAGGCACCACCTTAGTGCCGCACTGGAGCAACGCTGGCATGCCAAGCAATCCAATAGAAGACAAGCACGTGACGTGCAGAGTGGGAAGAGCAACAACCAATGGCAGATGTGACTGGGTTACGAAATAAGGCAAGAAGCTGCATACAGGTCGATTGCCTCCTGAAGTTGCGCAGTGACCTGAGACTCTTGCAAGTTCTCGTGCCACTGAGACCAACTCCCCTTGAAGTCCAGCCTAGCCTGATGTCGTGATGGTATTCCAGGGCAATCCACGAGCCTGAAACCCTGTCACAGGGTGCGTCACAGCAGTAGCCGCACGGTGGCGCAGCAACTGTGAGCTCCCCTTTCGGCAGTACCTTCGGCAAGCCGAAGGACACGAAGTGGAGCGTCGTGCCTGGCCTAGGGGTGGCCAAGGCCCAAAGAAGGAATCGCCTGAGAAGTGGAGGGACAGGCTGGGCATCCGACACAGGTGAGCGGGTGACACCACCCACAGCTCGCTTGTAGTGGACCGCCCCATTGTGCCTAAGTCATAGCTGCAGACGGTCTCGCAGCATTGCTGTCTTGGCTCTATCAAGCCACACGTCGGCTCCCACATGCCCCCACTAAGATACTAAGTCTGGAGCTTGTAGCCAATGTACCACAAGAAACGGTTCACGAATGTGGACTTGCCGGAGTTCACGCGGCCCACGACATACAGCCACCGGGGATCCTGCAAGCGAAGCGAGAGCCAAAGCCGACATCAAACACACTCAGCCACCCGACTCCTCTGGCAGAAGATGGTGCCTCCAGCGTCACAAAGCACGAATGTTTCAAGACACTGCACGGCGTGTACGTCCCTCCGAGCCCTTAAGTAAGCCTTAAGTTCCTGATGGGGCTACTCCCCATGGTTAGGCCCAACATCTTTTGATTCTCATTCTTTCAGCCAGGAAAAAGGGTGCACCAGCTGCACGAGGCACAGGACCCTGCAACAGCATCACGCCTCTGTGCTCTCCGCACGTCTCCACACAGAGCAGAGTCCAGCTTTCCTTTTTGCAGCTCTGTTCCATGTCGGGAGAGGTGGCCTGGTGCATTTTGAGCCTTTTGGGTTTTTGAAAACCTGCGTGTGGCATATGGTGTGGGGCATACTGGAGTAGGGCAGATGTTGGCCATCGTCATCGCCATTGCGTTTTGCTATCAGATAGCCGCGCACCCGTTGTCACGCTTCATGCGCTTGCCCGGTCGATTCTCTTTGTCGTCGGCACAGCATGAAAAATATTCGCGAGCGTGCGGTGGTGCGGGCACATTGGAAGTATACGGCTAGATCGTTGGTCTGCGCAACTGCAGTGTCTGTCTCTTGGTTTGCTCGCCTGTCCCTCCGCACGCTCGAAGCGGGCTGCATGTAGAAACTCGCACAAAGGGCAAAAAAGGGCACCGCGCCTCAACCTCTCCTCCAGCTGCTTGAAGCCGTGACCACTGCTGGAACTGACGAGGACCTTGTCACGACACGAGGTCAGCTCCCGCCACTTCACGCCCAGCGACATCCGGAAACCAAGCTACACACCACGTCGTTCGTGTGAACGTTCCGGATCTGTCGCGACATTCGCCGCACCCAGACTTTGAGTCGCGCCAGGCCCTGGTTTTCAAGTGAGGCTCGGCATGTCGTTTTGAGACGAGTTTTTGCTCTGGCCAGCAGAATCCACGAACCTACCTTCTCCTTGTCCCGCATCTTGTCCAACAGGCAGTCGACTTTATTCACGACGACAATGACCTCAAACCTTGCCGAAGTCACTTGCAACAGTTGAGCCCCCAACCCTTTAACTTGAAACCCGAAACCCTCCCGAATCCCATCTCTGAGCTGCTGGCCGGCGATTGCGGCAAGCGTCGAAGAGCTCAGGCACCTCACGTCTGCACTTTGGGAAACCCAAAAAGGCATGTTTGGGGCCGAAAGCGGCTACGAAGTTACCATACACTCTCTTTTGGGAAAGGGGTCGCAGCATCTAGTCATGTCGACTCGCTGGGCACCCCCCCTTGCACAAAGTCCTGTCTCACAATTGAAACCCAGGCAGCCGGCCACAGAGCTTTCGAAATCCAGCAGGTCAACCACCATCAGAACCTCAGCAGAAGATCATCATTCATGATTCATATTTACTGTTAACGTTATGTTTTCAATATTGCTTACGGTTAGCATTGTGATTCATGAGTACGAATGACTGCTAACACTATGATTCTTGCCATTGTGATTACTGCGGCAATTTCCATTCCACCTTCTGCGGCAAATACCACCAGCAACCAACCAATCGTAGCAGAGCCGATCATGCGCAAAGAGCTGGTCGAGTAGGCCACTGGCTATGGAGTTTTTGCCTTGCGAAGTGTGGGTGCCAACAGCAAGAAATGCGCAGAAGCAAGGCAACTTTCGGCAACATGCGCCCTTTTTACACATGCTCCTCCCACCACGAAAAAACACAAGGGTCTGCACATCCACAGTTGTGAGAAGCTTGCGCCTTGCATCCGTTCCGCAAGTCAAGGTGCCTAGTGCCAGATGCCAGCGGCGACTGAAACAGTTCTTGGTTGCACCACTGGGCTCGGGAGCGCATCGATGGAGACCGTCATCGACGGTGGAATCAGACTTCGCAAGAGACCGGCTCCGACGTTGGAATGTTGCGCGTGATTGGCGTAACTTCTGCTGCACCTTCGAGTCATTCCGAGTCGCACTGCTCGCCCAGGCTCGCAGCGGGGAACTTGCAGCATCGTGAGCTCTCGCAGTATCATAGGCCTGTGAGACACTGCAGGTGCGGCCAATCCGCTTTGAGCTCAGCTGAATTCTTGTAAGCCTTGGATGCCAGAATTGGATTCGGGAGCTTGTGCGCTGCCTTCTTCTGGGCAACTCTCGCTTTCAGACTTCGCGCGCGCGAAAGGTCCGCAGTGAATCGCAGGTAAGTAAACACCTTGGGAATACCATCAGGGTAGAAACGGCTGTCGCCCATAAGCGGGGCACACACAGGGGCGTCGCAACGAGTCCTGTTGGGTGGAAGCTGCAGCCATTCTTCGACCTCGGAGATGTCCGGCAAGTCTATTTTGCACCACCTCAGCTCTCCAATTTCTACATCCAAAAAACATAAGAAACGTCATCTAAACATGAGCTCCAAATATAGATGAAAGTGAAAGATCTCGATCTGGAACCTTGCCCCAAGTCTCTGTTTGCGCGCTCCTGCCTCCCACAGCGCTACGTTCAGCAATGCCTGGGAGGCACTTGTATACATGAGTTTCGATCGCCTTTTTAGGGGCCTTAAAAGGTCGATTGCGGGCAAAAACTTATAAAATTATGTAGCATGCACGTGTGTGAGCCTGACCTTTTCGAGGTTTCACGCAAAGCAGATGTTCAGGTTCATGCGCGCGAAACCCAATCGGGAGCGCATTTGGAAGACAAGTTGCAGGCAGGGAAAGGCTGAAGTGTGCTGAATTGTCCCCGACCCATGCCGACCCCGCAACCTTGAGGGCCACAGCCCTGAAACCCAGAGTCAGAGTCCGTAACCGCAAAGACTTCCTCTCAACCGAAAACCATAGAGGCCGGAAACCTGCAGACATGGGTTGGTCACCTGGACCTATTATCACGTGGGCATGGGGGCCCTGGCCAGAAGGACGTTTCCCCCGCCCCATTCCACCCCCAACCTCTAGAATTGTCATGTTGAAAAATTCCACCTCGTCCCTAAAACCCAAGGCGTTTAAGCTGCAGTATCGCGTAAGAAAGCCACTGGACCTTGCCTTCAGTCTCCCAAACCTGTTTGCGGAGGCGCCTCGCCTATCAAAAGCCTGTTTTTTGTAGCCTTGTGTCCGCGTCTGGTCCTGAATGTCTTGGTGCTGAATAATGCACTGTTGTCCTGAGCACATCGCATCCCGTCATGGCATGCAGGCCTGTTTTTTCTGCAAGCTTTAATGACATTGAATGATGTTGTCAGACATTCAGTGCTGCCCGAGAGCGTGCAAACAGCTTAAACTGCCTGGGCCCCCTTGGCCAGCTCATGAGGGCAACACTGCGGCACAATTGCCCACCCGAGCCTTTTCTGGGCCTGCTTAATATGGCAACATTCTGGTAAGGTGCCTGGACCTCCCTGACGTGCTTCCCGCGCCAGGACGACATCTTGTCGCATCGGGCAGGTCTGTGAGACCCCCTTCCACATAGACTCTTCCAAGAAGTGTGGATTTGAAGCATGGCGGTCTCTAAATTCCTTCTTCTCAACAAGAAAGTAATAAATCTACGTTGAAAAAATTGGTGAAAAATCCCGCGCTGGCCAGGCCACGTACAATGCACTTGCCTGCACTCCGAGTCCTCCGCCAACGAAAAACATGCTACAGTAGTGTGACAAAACTTTCATACTTTTCATCCTGCTGATGTGTTTTTTGGCGACCTGGCCTGCTAGTCAACTACGGCAATATTTCTGGGGCACACCTGTCCCTGGCCTGCTTTCTCAAGCATCATTCACAGCTCCCTGCTTGTGCCTCCCGGGCCAGCTTCTCAACATTCCGGTGTTTCCCCGCCTGAGCCTCCCTGACCCCACAATTGAAACGCTTGCATCAAAAGGGCCCCTTGAGACTAGAAACAATAGAGCTAGAGTCCTTAGAGCCTACATGAGACTAAACGGCAACGGACCGTTGTTGCCGGCAAGACTCCTCCGCTCCGGCCACCTTGCGGAGACGCAGTGGCTGGTATGGGGCTTGGCCAGGAAGGGTCTCGTCACGAAAGAGGGCTCGCAGAGTGCTTCCAATGAAGGGTAAAGAGAAGCGACTCCAACTGAGACCGAGCTGGCTCCAGCGCATCGTTTGCCGAGGGCAAGACTGCTCCACGCAGAAGTGAGACCACAAGGACTCACTCTTGTCTGCCGTTTTGTCCAAGAAGTGTGCCGGCAGGATAGGCCAAGGGTGTTCTGGGGTAACCTCTGCATCGAGAGTTCTGAAGAGCTGGTCGATCCCTGGCAACACCAAGGAGTCATGGCTCAGGAAGATTCCGGTCTCTACGCGGGCGAGGAGGGCTGCCTGCAGGACGGTGGCGCTCTGCTTGACAGATGATGGCAGCTCCTTCACGCTGAGAACGGCCAGGCGCGGAAACACGCTGGGTGTCCAGTGCATGGGGAGGGCAAGACCCATGTGCAGAACCACAATGGGGTAGACAGAAAACTGATGGACGGAGTCGATTAGCAACTCCATCAACTGCGCCTGCTCACTGTGCGGCGGACCTTTGAAGTAACTCACGAAGCCTCGCTGCAACCAGCCCTTCTGATACAAGCGCTGGTAGTTCTTGGTGAATGCCGCGCTGGCAAACACACGCATGGCCTGGGTCATCTCCTTACTCGGCAACGCATGGCTCCCAGGCTCGGACTGCTTTGACCCTTGTGACCCTTGCTCGCAGACTCCCTCGATGCCTTCCCACAGAAGCTGCCCTGCTGGCGAAGCGTCTTGCTGGAACGTGGCACAAGAGGCCACCGGCTCTGCGGTGATGTACTTCCGATCGGCCTTGCTAAGGGAGAGGACGTTGATGTATGCGAAGACCTGGCTTGCGGTATTCACCTGACACTCGCAATGCTTCTGATCATCGCCGGGTCGTACATCGTTCAATGCCGGGAAGCCCGGCTCCTTCCCCACCTGACACTTCACTCGATTGGATTTCGTAGCACTCTGAAGAGGAATGATCTGCCAGAAACCTGCGTTGCCCCATCGAACCTTGCCGTAGCAGGAACATTCGTCCCACTGTGCCGCACAATGCAACCAGATGTTCTTCGATTGGTTTGATCGGTTCACGCGTATGTCGGCCACAGGAGCAAAGGACTGGTTTACTTGCGGATCCAGAACCTTCATGACGGGCACAAACTCATAGGGCTTGGGCTGCCAATTTGCAGGAAGGGGCCATGCCTCTCTGGACAATCTGGCGGCTTTTCGAAGCTGCGCATTCTGGGATCGCACCCATCGCCAGTCGCCTGTTTGAGAAACTGAACCCATGTCCAAGATTTGCGAGAAGACTAGAGGGACAGTCAAAGCCAACGTCGAAAGCAAGACCAGCAGGCATATCTTGCATGACCACTGGCGTGACAGCATTCACCCGGACAGCCATGTGACATCCACGCAAGCATCACTTCAAGAGAGCCTGGAGGCTAGAGTAAGCTATTGTCGTAAGATGCAAAGCGCAGCTCCAAATGATTCAATTGCTAGCAATTGTTAAGCTGCTAAGTCCCGCTCTAACGCTGCTCTGCCGACTCTAAGGCAAAGAACGGAGTCATAGCAACGGGACTTTGATCATCTGTCACGCTGCATGCAGTTGGTGAGAATAACTGGAACCGGACATCAGCTGCGGCGGCAGCGTTATACAGGACCGGTGCAATGCTTACATTGTTGTGGCGAGTCTAGGCTTTTAAGTACATAGAATGATTTGAGATTGCGCTCTCAGAACAGGCCGATGATACTCACAACTATTCGGAGGGTCTGCAAGATGAGGGAACGGGCCGTTCGTCTTAAGAACGAGTCCGATTAGTGCCTTTCGCTTTCGCTGCAAGTACAACAAAGGTTCAAAGGAAAAGCAGAGCCGCCTGAGTACTTGTCAGGATACAGAATAGAAAGATAACACCAGCACTGAGCTTCATGCGAATCCGACGGACGATCTTCTCCACAATCTCTGCCTGTCACAAGGCTTCTTGTGTGAAGCCCGATTGGTCCCACATCATGGTCGCGCCAGTATCTAGCTTTACACTTCTGCTGCCGCTCCCCAGCTGGTTCATTGGGATGAACGTGCTGCAAACAATAAGTTCCTGGCCTCATGCTCCCAATCTCGCCCACCCTCCATACGGTAGAAGCCACCCTTGACAGGCACGTCCAGCCTGGATGGGTCTCTGACAACTCGAAAATATGCCTCACCGCTTCCAGAATGCACCTGTGATAGTGCTGCAACCGGTAGCACCGCTGGCAAACCAGTATGCGAGTCCTGTCCTGCCATGACAGGATCCTTCTCGTTGGCTCGGGTGAACGAGAAAGAACCGAAATCACCAGTGGCCCGTTCATTCAGTCCTTGTACTTCAGAGACGAGTCTCGCATCACCTAGCTTCAACATGAAGTACAACGCGGCTGTACAAAGTAGCAGCACCCAGCCTCAACACCCCGTGGAAGCACATCTACAGGAACACCTTTCGGGGTCGGTCGGACCTTCCTCCGGCCTCGGGCACCGCTTCAACAATCTCTGAAACTGTGCTATATACACATATATATATATATACACATATTTATTTATAAACCTGCCATGGCCCTCCCCAATACGTCGTTGAAGCGCTGAGGTGCCATGAGCAGCGAACCTGTGAGAGAGAACTTCTCTCGAGCTTCTTCGGGCACCTGCAAGATGCTCGTCATGGATCTCCCGACAAACAGATAGGCAGAATGCTCAGGAGACCACGTAGCCGTGTTCTTCGGGGTCCTCAGGGAAACCAGCCGGAGCAGCCTCCATTGAGCTAAAATTTGCGAAGGCTAAGGCGGCGGCGTCCGAATGTAGCCAAGCACCACAGCCGTGGCATCTCTTGTGAACACGCAAGCCTCCTGATCAGTGGTTGCCAAACGTGACAGTTACATCCAGTTACCACAGTTACCAGCAACCTCTGCAAATTCTGTCCGTTGCCTCCTCCACCACGAGCTGTTCTGAGAAGCTCCTTCGAGCAGAGTCGTCTGGCGCAAATGTCTCGGAGCTTTGGTGCTGAGATGGGATGTCAAACCATTTTCTCTCCTCCATGCCCCCCTCTTTTGTCACGTCGCCTTGCGTGACTGCGTGAGATGTAGCATAGGCCAGTGTCGATTCGCAACTGCCGAGGCCATTGCCCACTGGCAAAGCTCCGGCAGGCAGCTTCACCTCTGTGACCTCTGTGTCCTTCAGGCTGCTGGCAGTGGCTGGTACAAGTGTGGTACAAGTGTGAAACCCGCGGAGATTTTTGAAAGACACACGACAAGTTGCAGTCCTGAGTCTTCTCTTCGCCTTGCGAAGGCCAGGCCCTAAAAGAATCAGATGCAGCAAGATGCAGCAAGATCTTACAGCGACACGGTCCTGGAAGATGAGGAAGAGAATGTTGCGGACGCCATGCCGGTGCCTGAAGCGGAGTCGGCATTCTCCTCTGTCGGATCTTCGCAGTCAAGGACCCCACAGCAATGGCTGTTCGGCCAGCGCGTGGGGAAGAAGCCTGAGTTCAGTCGTCAGGACAGCATCTGAGGGACTGACGTGACACCATGCTGCGACCAGGATCGATACCGCATGTTCCTTGCAATCAGGCGACCTCCACGACAACTCTCGCCAAGGAGCCTGCAAGCAAGAGTGCACGGCAGACATTGCCATGTCCGCGCAAGCAGCTTGAACAGTCGGCCTGGGCACAGACAGGCGTTGAGCGGCAGCCTTAGATGATAAGGCACGGGCATTCCAACATGCATCGCAGATTACACATCGAGTTTGCCCAAGTTGCCAATGTTGGCTTGTTGCTCTAGCTAGTAGCTAGATCCAGCTAGATTTGGTGCGGTGGAGGTACACACATTCCAAGGAGCCACTTGCTGCCTAAAGTTGGTTGCCACTACCTTTATGCGCTTCGTTGGTTCACATGGAGAGCGTTGCATGTGCAAAGCAATGAACCTGAAAGCCACCCATTCACTTCAGGGCCAAGCAACTGCCACTATCTGAACGCTGAGGTGAGATCTGCAAAACACCATTGCAAGGGCTTTGCGTGTCCGATCAGCGCATCCTGAATTCTGCCTGTCGGTTAAGAAAGTTAAGATGGGGGGGTTGTTCTGCGCTAAGGTGCTGTTAGAACTGACTTTCTAGGTTGCCCAATTCGAAGATCTCTCAGCCTTTGCCCCGACAGGGGTCGCACTTCCAACAACAAGCACATGTTCGGTGGTTAAAGGCCGCCTTGGTGGCTGCCAATCCTGGAGCTTAGTTAAGCCATTGGCTCGGTTTTGCAGAGGCACATCGAAGCCGCGCGTGCCATATAGCCGAACAAGCGTGATTTGCATGCAAGTTACTGCAACAGCAATAGACGGAGAGCTGCGATGTGTAGTCTGACCTGTTGAGTTGAGTTTTTGTTCACAACACTTTCACAACGCTGCCGATTTTTTGCCGCTCTGCCTGATGCCCCCGCTGTACAGTGCCGCTGGCTGCACTGCTGACTCAAAGTCAGGCGCGACATCACGGATCTTCTCCAACCTCCATGCGCACCTGTCTTACTGAATCGTCAGATCGCTGATAAAGACTGACGAGGTGACACTTGCACACACTTGCAAGATCTTGCGGGACACATGCGGGCCTTCAGGTGCGGGATTGGAAGGTCGTCATCGCAGAGCTGCGAGGCACGACTTTGCTCAAAACCACATGTAGGAAACTTTTCGCACCAAGAGCGTTGTTTTGGTCTTGTAGCTCGAGGAGCCGTCTCCGAAGAGATGGATCCGTTTTCAGGGCTTCGGGTTGCACATGTCCTCCTTTTAGGGGGACATGAGACACATCGAACAGCTGTGTTGCTGCAGATGCGTGCTGTCACCTGGTTGAGAAGCTCCCAGTGCCTCCACGTTTTATGAAGCTCCTTGTCGCACTGTTTCCATATTGGCTCTGCAGTTGTCCGTCATGTTCTCCATGTGGGGCATTGCCAAGCAGTTTGGTCACTTATGGTCACCTGCCCCACTTCCAAGGAGGCACGGAGACTCCGAGTTTCGAGAGGCCGAGTTGGCAGTCTCTTGTTTTGTCGATTCTGCTACCTCGACATCGGAACGTGCAGACATGGCAACATGAGAGGATGCTGAGGGCCTCAGAGAAGTACTGGTAAGGCAAAAGATGGCGTGGACGAACAGAGACGAAGATACTCGAACGTACTCCTCACTTACTCCTCTCTACTTTCCCACGGACAAAAGAAAGGAAGCCTTCTGCACAAGGAGTGGCAACAGGTGGCGTGCTCCGCCGGACTCTGCCTCTTGCAACCCAGACATTGATCTACGGATGGGCTTGCAAGCTTGTGCGGCGCTGGCAGCGCTGGGCCTCGAGGAGCAGCGTCTCGCGCAGGGGCTCAAGGTCGTTGGGATCGCAAGCGGACACCTGCGATCAGATCTTGTCTGCTTCGTCGAGTGCAGGGACCCCGCACGCGCGCCTTGAAAGCAAAGGCCACGGAGTCTCGATCTGCGATGCAAAGCTCAGAGGCTGCGCTTCGAGCTGTCGAGCTGCACCTAATCGGATCCCTGCCTTCCAGTACAGATGGCGCAAAGTCGAAGATGCTGATTGGGCGCAGCGCGGTGCACTCAAGCTCAACATCCTTCACCTGCACCTCTCCACACCAATCCATACCATTGCCAGTCACTGCACGATTGAGTTCGGTAGCCTTCAAGCACCAGCCTCGCCCAGGACTTCCAACAGCGTTGTCCGCAGAATCTCCTCCGAGGGAGTGAACGAGGGCAGTGTTGTGAAGAGGCAAGGCAGCCCAACAACCTCTTGGCGGTGGACGTCCAACGGCAGCTGCATCAAAAACCCCTTCTACGGCTAGGCTAGCAATCTTTCTGCTTCTCAGGTGCACCTCATGGGATGCTTTCTGCAAGCTCTTTTTCTCACCAGGGACGCGCGGCTTACACATCCAGGTGGGTCCAGGCGGAAGGCCTATTCATCTCCAAAGCGCAGCTCCAAAGGCCGCTGCTTCAGGAGATCCGTTATCTGCCTCTCTGTCATCATGGCCATGTCCAGGCCTCATTCTTATTGCTCATGGTAGGAGGATGATAGTAGGATGATAGTCGGATGATAGTAGGATGATGGAGGATGATAGTAGGATGATAGTAGGATGATAGCAGGATGATAGTAGGATGATGGAGGATGCAGGAGGGATCTCATCTTGGAGCGCGGCCATTGACTCGCAGCAAGCAGTCGCCAGCCTGGCGTACTGGCACCGTTCTTCAGATTGCAGTGATGAAGCCATGTGACCTCATTTTACCCCGCTCCTTGGCAACTGAACCGACGATGGAGGACCGGGCCACAGATGTAAGGCGCGGTGCATTGCCATCTCCAACGTGCCTTTTGGATCTTTTGGCAAAATTGCTCCACACCACTGCATCCTACTCATGCCCCGATGCGACGTTCCAGGACTCCGGGCCTCCATTGGAATCCCAAGTCGCCTTGGCCCTCAGGCAGCTTCACGTCCTTCCGGACCTTTCCCCAAGTATTGCAAGCTGCTGCGTGCCCATCGAAAATCGAACAAACCATCCCCCCGCCTTCGAGACGAGCGTCTTGCCCTGCCACATGCGACCTCTGCCTGTCAGCAGCGAGATCAGATCAGGAAGTTGGGGGGATATATCGGGGGTCGGGGATGGCTCACCTCCTCCACAACCTCCGGCCCATCGTCCTCCACCTTTCCCGCCATTCCAACCTGAGAAGCGTTGAGGAGTTATGTCAGCCTGGGTCCTCCCAGTTTTCTCGCATCTGCAGCAGCATCATCTACTTATGGATTGTCTGCAGAGTTGGTTTTAGAGTGAGCATCATCAGCACAAGCCTCCACGTCCACGTCCACGAGGCCACCACTCCTGCACGATGACTCGACCGGACACCAAAAACCCCTCCCCTTCCCCCCCCTCCCCCTCCCCCCCTCCCCTTCCCCCGCCCCTCCTCCCCCCCCCCCCAACCCCCACTTTGTCCAGCTTGCGACTTCTTGGAAGGAAGATGGCCGATGTTGGCGATTGATCACTTACAGTCTCAGGCTGTGCCTGCTGCGATTCGTAGCCATTCCCGTGCTGGCCTGACAGGGGCTTTTTTTGCTTCGAGATCCCGCACGATCTCAGCATAGAATCGGACTTCTAATGTGAGTGTGGCGCCTGCCAGCTCTGGACTGGGAGCGGGAGGAGCAGCCTGCAGATTCAGACAGACAGAAGCAGTCATACACTCTCTCTTGCGGGGTTTGCGTGGCCATTGCGTGGGCCTTTGCGTGGCCTTGTGTGGCCTTCCCACGTGCAATAACTGCTTTTGGCGCTCCATTCGTTCCCTCCCTTGGCTTTGCCAAGGAGCTACTTTGTGCATTATCTGGGCGGGGCCATGTCGATTGAACTGGCCGTGCTACGAAGATCAGATCTGGAATCTCAGAGCTGCTGGGAAAGACCATCAGATCTTGAAAATCCAGGAGTCAACCGCGAATCAGGAATGTATTTTGTCTCACTTTCACCCAGCCTCTCGATTGTAATCTAGCGGCGCCCTTCAACGGAACTGAAACTGCCATCTCGTGAAACACAGCGCACCAGAGACTGTTGACTCGCCCGCGCTGTGACCGAGCTCCAAGAGAGGCCTGGACTCCCCGTCACGTGCCGTCGCACACAGTCGCAAGATGTCGCAGTCAGGGTCGAGTCGACGCATAAAGAGGAGAGAAGAAGAGAAAGAGGAAGAGTCAGGCCGCAAGCAACTCCAGATAGGTCCAGGTCTCGTGCAGCTGAGCCGCTTCGGGCAAGACATGTCTACGACATTGTTCTTCTCCGAAGCTCCACAGCCGTGTCCTGTATCTTCTGAACCTCAGAACACCATGAACCTGGCAACTAAAAAACACGTGCAGTCTGCGAGTCATGAAAATGCTTGTGCCAGCGGCGTCAGCATCTTTCTTTGCGATCTCCTGCTGGCAGGGCCGAGCGTCTTAGTCTAGTCTAGCAGCAGCCGGCTGCTGGCTGATGTAGATTTGGGATGGGTTCTGTAAATTTTGAATAATGGCATGGACCGATGGAGTTTCAGGTAAGAGGTTCTGACATGTTGTTTGTAACCTCAACGCACAGAATGAACCGATCCACGCGCTCGCATCTGCCTCCTCGCTCGGCTTCACCTCTGCTACCCACATGTGCCGCCATTGCTCCAAGTTCTCACCCATTTGAGTGTACACCTTAGACTTGGCAGATGTGCAAACCCTATGAAGTTGGTTCAAGCCGGCCCTGTCGCAGAACGCTGCTAGGACTCCTAGGCCTGTTAGGGGCCCCGCTGGATGGAGGCCCGGAAACACCTTTACGGCGTTCAGGACCTCTGAGGCACGGAGAGGAGAAGTTACTAACGAACGCAAGCAGAGCAGCAAGGCCCAAGCCCAAAAACTCGCGACTCCGTGAGAGAAAAAGAAAAAAAGCACCCCCAGGATCTAGACAACTTCACGACTGTAAGGATCAGCTGGGGTTGGACACTGCAGGGATTCTCTGCGGGGTTGGAAGCAGAAATCCACTGCAGGATTCTTTGGGGGCAGCGGAGACACGAGAAGAATAGCTGAGTGAAAACCTAGCAACACAAAGGGAGGGGAAGGGTGTAAGGGGCCTCCACATTCCCTTGCAAAAAACATGTAAAAACTTCGTTGGGCTTCTCAAAGCTCCATTTGCCCTACACGCAACTCCGGGGCCCATGCAAATGGGGCGACCATGAAGTTGATGAAGCCTCAGATTGGGCGCCGAAAGGGGCCAAAAGGGCTCCGAAAGGGCACTGAAGGCTTTAGGGCTTGACCTTGTTATTTCTCATGGCCCCGCTCTCATGGTCACCTCTTTTCTTCTTCTTCTTCTTCTTCTTCTTCTTCTTCTTCTTCTTCTTCTTCTTCTTCTTCTTCTTCTTCTTCTTCTTCTTCTTCGTCTTCGTCGCCTGAGGGACCCTAGAGCCCCTCGCGCACTGGGCGCGCCCAGAGCCCTTCCAGTTTGTGTGACACTTCGCAACCAAGACGACCAGGTTCAGCAGTGTGGTTTCCCCTAACTCCCCCCCTTTACGTGAAGAATCCCCCTTCGCTGCTGCGGTCACTCCTTGCTGTGGCTATGTGAAAAATCAAACTGCTCTGCAACACCCCACACCCACCACCCTAAGGTGGAGCTTCCTCTTGACTTCACCCCTATGACCGCCCCAGCGGACTCTCTCTCTCTCTCTCTGCACGCTTGGCCCCCTCCCGAAGGAGAAGGCTCCCCCAGGGGTGCGCGAAGTCCGCGGTCCGTTGGTGCGACTTCCGTGTGTTTCACGGGTCGCTGTTGGGTGAGATTACGTTCCTCTCTCTCTCTGCCCCTGTCTGGCATCACAAGCAGTGCAGGAAAGTCACCATGTTGAGAGCCAGGACGATTGATCTTATCCCGATCGTTCAACATCCCTGTCGTGTGTAGTGTGTAGATGCGCAATCCATCGTTCCCACAACTCAGGAATTCAACGGGCCTACTGGCAAGCCGAGCTCTTTTTCAGTGTCGCCCTGGCGGAGCTGTCTCAACAGACTGTGCAAGAAAACGGGTGGCAGGGAATGGCATGGCATGGCATGGCATGGCCTGATTGAAGAACTCTTCAAGGACGCGCCATGCCCAGGCATGGCATATCTTGAAGGGCTTCAGTGGGTTTGACCTTGCGGGGTGGTGTCTCTGCCCTTTTCCTTCAAGCTTTCAGCTCGGCAATGCTCGGCGCGTGGCACATCTGCAAAGTGTAAGAACATCTCCATGAAGAACATGGAGTTCTTTGACAGAACCTCGACACTTCAGCACGGGTTTCAGCAGCTCCTGGAGGGCCCTCATGTGCGCTCACCACGTTTGTGGCGGCCTGCTCCACATAATTCATGTCCAGCTCGTCAATCTGGGCTGCCTGTTGCTAAGAGATGTTCCAGAGAGAATCCTTCTTGGTCTCAGGGGCTGAGCATCACTGGGGCCTGTCCGTCGCACAGGTCTGAAGTAAGCTCGTAGATCTTGCTAACTTCCCTGTCCGCAACCGCTCTCACAAGTGGCTTGCATCTCCCATAGAGTCTGCAGCGCCATTTGGCCCCATTCAGCACCGAAACCGAAAGCGAGCCTCACCATCTCAAAATGCTCAGCCTCAGACATAGTGTTGGTCAACTCCCGCGCTTCTGCTAAACGCGGTCCGCTTCATGCAGCACAGCAACATTGTCTGTATGAAGGATGGTTGATATGCACACTTTGCGCGCAGTCTTCCGCGCATCTTTGTCCAGCCGGTTGAAGACGTCCGTGTCCTGGTGCAGTCTGCACATGTCTTTGCGCTCAATCTCAGTTCTGACCATGCCAAGCTTTACATGCAGCCTCGTTGGCTGCTATTTCAAAGAGCTTGGCGGCGTGCATGTTCCTGAGTTGCAACTGCAGGGCTCGAGAGGGCTCTATGCCCCACCCATTCACCACCCCTCCACACTGACAGCCCAGCTTCTCCAGGGGAGACTTGTCATTATAAACACGCGCAAGGGGGTGTTGCATCTCCACCTGTCATCACTCAAAGATATTTCGGCTTTCAAAGCAACACGTGTCGCTCCCTAGCAATTGGCAGCTTAGGCATGGGCAAGGAACGGATTAGTCTTTCCCTGGTGGCCCACATCGTGGCAGAGCGCGGCAAGAAGGAGCGCGTACTGCAGGGAGTGTTGCGACACTGTGCATGCGACACTGTGCCCAGAGAAGCTCTGACAAATTCGCCAAGGCCTCGAGCCGTACGAGTTCTGGCAGAGTCTTTTGGGTACTCACAACCAATCCTCCTCCCACCCACTCCTGGACAATCGCTGGCCTGGAATGGGTTACCCCCCTCTAGATGACCGGCATCCAGGTGCGGACGGTGCCTCAATGTGACCTATACACCCCCCCCCATGGACCCCTGATGACCCCATGCACCTCATGGCCCCGTGCAGACCCCATTGAAGCCCCTGTGGACCCCTGCTCTGGCGGGTCGCGCAGCGCCTCGTGTCCAGGTTGTGAGAACAGGCACCCCCCTCCAAATCCTCCCAGCTCCAAAGCCACATGTTGGCCCCCATTTTTTGCCTGTACCCCCCCAACGTCGGCCCCCTCTCCAGGAGCTGCATTGGGCCAGGCCGAGGCAAGTCGCGTAGCGTTGAAATTACACCGCCAGGGTTGCAAGTGGCCGCACCTGCTCAACGTTTGAAAGCCACGTGTCTGTCCGCGTGATATCCATTATCCTGCGCATGCTGAAGATGCCATATCTGCTTTTGACGTCTCGACTGTGAAGGTTCACCTGTGGACGGTGTAGGTCACATCAACTGCGTGGAAGTAGTTGTGGTACGGTAAGCTGTTGTAATTGGAATACACAACCTCAGCTGTGGAGTGCTGCAAAATCTCCGTCCAACAAATCACGGCAAGCACACCAGGCAATGTCGAGCCGCAGAGTGAAACTTGTTGAACGTGTCGGGATGAGCAAGCATTCGGCCAGTCACTCTGCCAATCAAAGAGTCAAACAGCATGTGTACGACCTGGTGGCGACAGTCCAGTCTGTTTGCTTGCCGCACTGATTCCGAAAGAGTTCGAAGCTCAAGTCCTCTGCCAAGCAACCACCTGTTGATTCTGCTCCACGGGCAGCTCCAGCACGTCGAGCTCAAAAGAGGAAAAGACGGTCCTAAGAACATGGCTTCCCAGTGAGCTTGCACCTTGAAGATGTTGAGTGGACTGGTGCACAGGAGCTTACTGCTGAGATTTGCACTCGCTGACCGGTAGTTTGGCAAAAGACGGCTCAGACATGTTTGCCACTGCCGACACGTTGTGCATGGAATTGTGGACCTGCCATCGAATGGCAAGGCCATGCGTAGATCTTCACGCTCTTCACATCTCTTCACTGACTTGACTTGCGTGGCCTGCAGGTGCATCACGTCGACAAGGACGGCTCTGGCATCAGTGTCCATGCCTGGCAGACTCCCCTCAAGGGGGTTTTGTAGGGGAGTTTTTGAGGCTACTTAGGCTCTCCACTTCGAGTGGCCCGCAGCACTAAGGCCACGTGTTTCTTGACATGACGACCACACTATGACTACATGTAGGATAGAAACATGCCTCTTTGAAAACTCTTAACCCACAACCTTAAACCCCAAACCCTAAACCCTAAACCCTTTTTTTGGTTTTGTAGGGTCTGCGGGTCAAGCAAAAACCAGCCTGCCAGGTGCTCCTCGGTGAGCACGTTGCGCACTGCGGCCAGGTTTGCGAGGCGTGCGAACTTCTTGAAGATCTCCTTCAGGGTTTAGGGTTTGGGGTTTAGGGTTTTGGGTTTGAGGGTTTGGGGTTTGGGGTTAAACGGTTAAGGATTTGGGGGGGAAGTTTGGGGGCGTTAAGGTTCGACACTGTTTGGGGGGAAGGTTCCCCTTTTGCCGAAGGAAAGGAGGGTCCCGCCCTGATTGATGCGGAAGCTGGTGTCGAGGCCTTCGGGCCCAGGGAGTGGCCCTTCAATGGTCATGGGGCGAGACCTCATGTGTCCTCGCTTCTGACCCTTTGTTGCCTTTTTTGTGCAAATGGGTGCAAATGGGGAGGAGGGGGGGTGCCTGTTTTGATTCCCTTCCCCTGCTTGGAAGTCCGTGCAGGGTCCTCGATCAATGCTGTCTCTGCCATTTCCCCTTCTTCCTCCAGGTTGTCATCCAAACCTGACACCCAGTACTGACGAGCAGGCATGAAAAAGATCGGTCCCTGAGCACAAGCCCGTCAAGCTATGGATCTGACCGAACTGGTTCAGGAGGTCTGCAGCCATGCTTTTTACCATGTACCTGGCAAGCCGCACCCTCAAACGACGGAAACTGTTCGGGCTCAAGACAAGACAGGTGATCGCAGGCAGCCCTGCATTTTGCCGAGCTGCAGCATACGGTCCATGGGTTGCACAAGCAGTCGATCCAGCGTGTGGCTGAGAATCAGGGACACAACCTAGGTGCGGGACACGCTACGTCTACGCGATCACCTACGACAACAGCCCCTCCTGTTCGAAATACTGTGAGCAATCATCAGACAGCACGACTGCATTTTGCAGGACACAGGCGAGTAGCATAAGACACAGGCGAGTCAACGGCAACAGCTCTCGCAACAAGATCGAAAGCGGAAACAAGGGGCACAGCATGACAAGCACGATAAACACGCAACACAAAGTGAGCAGGAACACGAAGAACAAGCCGAGGCCCAATGTGGGGAGCTGCAACAAGCTGGGAGAACTTCACAGGACTTAAGCATGCGGGCACAAAATAGGCCCGCTAGGCCACACCAAATACTGCCAAAACGCGGCGGCTTGCACACAAGCTGAGGACGGTAACACACAAAACAATCAACGCGTCACAAACCGAAGTTTCGGCTCTTGGTTACCCATACCGAGCACGACACCTGGCAGGGAGGATTGAGACTCTCCCCCCGCCCTTTTGATTATATGGGGGGTTTTCAAATACGGGGGGGGGGGGGTCCCCTTTTTGGGGGTCCCTATAATAAGGATTATACTATTTTGGGGTATATTATGGGTTACCCCCAGTTCTGGAAACTCCCACATGGTTCTAGTTCAAGTTGTCCCCACGGGGCTGAATGTACCGTCTGGAGCCACCCTTAGCACAGCTAAAAGATTTGTAAAGCATCCACCACACCAAACCCAGGCTGGGGCCCCACGGTACTTGGGACGGTTGCCCATGTGACTGTTGTGCTCTCCCATTTAACCCACAAACGATCACCAAATTCCGTCACTCATTGGGATAGCACGGTCAAAGAGGTATGTCTCTCTTTTTCTGTGCGCGTTGAGGCCCTCTTTCTTTCTTTCTTGGGGGCTTGGGGGAGACCCCCGCGCGGGAGCGCGCCCCGATCCGCTCTCTCTCTCTCTCTCTTTCTCTCTCTCTCTCTCTCTCTCTCTCTCTCTCTCTCTCGCGGTGCAGCACGGACACCAGCATCAAGCCGATTACAAAGACCATCAGGCCGATGTCTTCAGCCGACTCAACCCTGAGCGCCACGTGCAGGATCACAGGCACGAACACACACAGCCACACCAAGCACCAAGCTGCAAGCTCTGATGTTTGCGGCAAGGCATCTGCTCCGGGCTTCTGAAGTCAAAGAAGATCGATGGCAGCGAGTCTGTTTGGCAAGCGGCACGCCTATAGCTGCATCGACACTCTACATCCCCTGCTCATGCACGTGACAGAAGGTTCCCATTTGCTGCGAAGATGCTGCACCATGCACCTATCTACCTGCAGCACACGCACGACGTCCACAGAGTCCGGATGGATTCACAGAAGCAACGATGGATTCAGGGCAGCAAGCGTCGTGCCCACCAAGCCACAGAGACCCTGAAGATGCTCGAGATCCGTGCCTTGGCAAGGACGAGCGATCCAACTGCCATTCGCCACAAGAAAGACCCTAACAGCGTTCCCACCCTCAGTCACTGCAACTCACTTGCAGCTTGGGGGCTGGAACTGTCCCGGTCACGAGGGATGCCCCCAGAACAGTCATTGTTAAGTTCTCGAGCATGACCTCCTCGCCAAACCTCAAACTAGACACCGATTATCCCGAAAGCAATCAGTGCGAAGATATCAACTGACACGTAGAGTTGGTTGTGTTGTCAGTGCGGTGTTTGTGACGTTTTCAAAGCCCCAGAGATCCGCGCCCACGGTTTTTGTGACGTTTTCTATCTCCCAGAGTTCCGCGCCTGCGGTATTTGCGACGTTTTCGAAGCCCCAGAGTTCCGCGCCCACGGTATTTGCGAGGTTTTCGACGCCCCAGAGTTCCGCGCCCACGGTATTTACGACGTGTTCGAAGCCCCATCTGCAGAGTTCCGCGCCCACGGTATTTGCGACGTTTTCGAAGCCCTAGAGTTCCGCGCCCACGGTATTTGCGACGTTTTCGAAGCCCCAGAGTTCCGCGCCCACGGTATTTGCGACGTTTTCGAAGCCCCAGAGTTTCGCGCCCGCGCCCACGGTGTTTGCGAGGTTTTCGAAGCCCCGGAGTTCCGCGCCCACGGTATTTGCTAGGTTTTCGAAGCCCCAGAGTTCCGCGCCCACGGTATTTGCAACGTTTTCGAAGCCCTAGGGTTCCGACACGCACGATCCCCGCAGAGTGGTGCATCGCGCTGGCCGCGGCGAAACCCACCCCAGCTGAAGAAATAAGAGAGAATTTAATAGAGGAGGTGATGTGTGGAGTGTGGTGATTGGAGTGTGGTGATGGTAGTGCGGTGATTGTAGTGTGTGTGTGTGTGTGTGTGGTAGGAGTGTGGTGATGGTAGTGTGGTGATTGTAGTGTGCTGATGGTAGTGTGAGTGTGTGGTAGTGCGAGTGTGTGGTAGTGTGGTAGGGCTAACGTTTTTGTTTCTCCGAAGAACCCTTCGCTGAAGCTTTCGGGAAAAGTCGACTTTCGCGCCACGGCAGCTTCCGCGGCGTACTACGTTTGTACTACAAAAAGTCGACTTTCCATCTACGGCAGCTCCGGGCGTCCGCGGCGTACTACGTTTGTACTACAAAAAGTCGACTTTCCAGCCACAGCAACTCCGGGCGTCCGCGGCGTACTACGTTTGTACTACAAGTACTACGTTTGTACTACAAAAAGTCGACTTTCCAGCTACGGCAGCTCCTGGCGTCCGCGGCGTACTACGTTTGTACTACAAAAAGTCGACTTTCCAGCTACGGCAGCTCCGGGCGTCCGCGGCGTACTACATTTGTGAGGAAGGCTCCGACACGCACGATCCCCGCAGAGGGCGCACGACCACGCTTCAAAATACGCAAAAACGCACAGCGGCAGCGCTCCGACACGCACGATCCCCGCAGAGGGTGTGCGAAGCAAGTTGTAAAATGTGCGAAAACGCACAGCGGGAGCGCACCGACACGCACGATCCCCGCAGAGGGTGTACGAAGCAAGTTGTGACATGCGCAAAAACGCACAGCGGGAGCGCTCCGACACGCACGATCCCCGCAGAGGGTGCGCAGGCACAAATCCACATGCGCAAAAACGCACAGCGTGAGCGCTCCGACACGCACGATCCCCGCAGAGGGTGCGCGGGGACAAATCCACATGCGCAAAAACGCACAGCGGGAGCGCTCCGACACGCACGATCCCCGCAGAGGGTGCGCGGGGACAAATCCACATGCGCAAAAACGCACAGCGGGAGCGCTCCGACACGCACGATCCCCGCAGAGGGATGCATCGCGCTAGCCGCGGCGAAACCCACCCCAGCCTAAGAAATAAGAGAGAATTTAATAGAGGAGGGGATGTGATGGTACTGTGGTGATGGTAGTGTGGTGATGGTAGTGGTGATTGGAGTGTGGTGATGGTAGTGTGGTGATGGTAGTGGTGATTGGAGTGTGGTGATGGTAGTGTGGTGATTGTAGTGTGGTGATGGTAGTGTAGTGTGGTAGGGCTAACGTTTTTTTTCCGAAGAACCCTTCGCTGAAGCTTTCGGGAAAAAAGGCGTGTACCAAGACTCAGCAGGGGACCTTCAGGCCTTTAGGGGACCTTGATTTTCAACATCTGCATCCACGCTGCCCCTCCAGTCGGAATGGTTTGTAGCTCTGGGTGCCTGGTTGCCAGAGCGCTTTCATCCCGAGACAGCTGCTCTTCACTGGTTGATAGCAAGTGGCTGTAGAAGTTGACCAGCTTCTCCACCTTTTCCTGGCTGCGCAAGCTGGCTACACTGGTAAACAACTGCCGGGACGCGTGAGCATGACAAGACCCCCAATAAAGTACCGAGCACAGGCAGTCCTGAAACAAACTCGAACTGTTGAGGCCACCGAGCTGCATGGCCACCGTTTCACTGCAAGACAGGGGGGAATGACACAACATGCAGGGTGTCCACTTCTAAGTAGTGTCCGATGCATCTGCCATTGCACCTGAAAGTGTACTCGAGTTCTTCCACCCAAGTCTTCATTGAGAGATCCTGCGGCCAGTGACCCGTGCCGCACAGAACGTAGGCCCGACTTTTTTGACACGTTCCCATGCTGCCTGCTGCGGGTACTGGCCGATGGAGAAGAGTGGCAGCGTAAACACGAGAACCTTTGCCCCGCGTCTGCTCTGCATAACGTCTGTGAACAAACGCGTAATTAAAGCAAGCCACAATGGTCAGCATCGACACTGTGGTCGACCTGCACAAGAGATCAGGTACGGCCGTCAGGCGGTCTTCGGGGGATGGCTTCCGCTTCGGGTTCACGGCTTCATTACGGGCTTCAAACTTGAGCTAGGACAAACAAGGAGCTCTTGAGCTGCCAAGTGGCAGTGTGAGCATCAGCTTCGTTGACAAGACTTTGGCTTCGGCAGGTTTGTCTGTGGACAGAACACCGTGATGTCTGGTAACACGGTAAGACACCTTGATGCAAGCTGCACATCCGTGTGTTTTCGGTGGGGGCGGTACAGCAAACAGGACGAGAGCTTCGAGTAGGCCCGCGGCATATTTCATGAGCTTCGATAGCCGGCCAATGCGTGCCTTGGCTCACACTGCCACGCTGCACTTGTCAAAGTCAGGCGTGCCGGGACGAGAGGGAACCCTGCACCCTGCACCCCAAAACCCCAAAATACCCCAAACCCCAACTTCATCCAACTTCCCTGCCATGCAGCCCCAATCTTCGCTGCTCGGGCTGTACCTGCGATGCTCTAGCGTCTGTGGCTTTGAGAAAGGGGCACGAACTTCATATTTCCAGCGCAGCGCGGTTTTGAAGAGGACTAAAAGGACACACATGAAGCAAAACTTCTAACAGCACATGGAAGTGGGCACGATCTCGATCAGCACCAATGCCGATTCATAGTCCGAATAACGGCGCACGCGAATCCGAGTACACAAACGTCAGCAACAAGGCTGAGTTCACCATGAGCATTATTCGGCATCAATGCCGACGCTCCCCACCTGTGCCCCCTGTAAACCTGGACTCAGACATCATCGGAGAGTCAAGGCACGGCTCACGGAAAACAAACAAACAAAAGGCGCAGTGCCCCCCTGTGCTTAGGAGGGGAGGTGGGGGGCAGTAAATGTAGATTATAATTTTCACTGCCCCATCGATACGAATGTGTCAATTGTAGGATCCCACGTCTGGGTCCACGTTTTGCAGCTGCCTCGTGCAGGGCAAGCCACGCATACCCCTGCTTATTTCTTATTTCCGCTGGACACGGACACTGGCAATTGTAGGAAAACATGGCGGCGGCGCCCGTAAGAGGCCGTGCGAGTGAACACATTTTTTGGTTACATTTTTCGCGTCGGGGGCTAAAAACCCAAGCGAAACACACATTTTCGTCATGACCGCAGCATTTGCAGGGCTCGAAAACACTGAAGGGTTAGGTCTTTTTTTCGGAAAAATGCATTTTCGCTCGAAGCCTGATCGTTTTTTGGTTGTTTTTTTTCCAGGGGGTCTTTTTTTTTAAGTTTTGGACGCGTTTTTTGCTCGAAATTGCGCTCTCGCCTAGGCGCGGGCACGTTTTCCTCATTCCCCATGTTGAACTTTCAAATAGCGATTTTCGGTTCGGGAAGTTTTTTCTGCGTTATGGCTCCGGCAGTTCAGGTTCGAAATAGTGCTCTCGCCACAGCGCAGGCATGATTTTCTGGAATTGTGCTTTGGTTGTAACCCAACAGACTTGCGCACTGGATCCTGAAAGTGGCCTCAAGTTGATTCTTCTTCAGGGTTCAAGGTTCAAAGTTTAGGGTTCAGGTTTCAGGATTTGGGTTTGCACTGCTTGGACTATTCTTTTGGGTTTAAGGATCTTTTGTTTGTTGTGTTTTTTGTAGGGGGTGTCATTTTGAAGTTTCGGACACATTTTTTGCTTGAAATTGCGCTCTCGCCTAGGCGCGGGCGCGTTTTGCTTATAAACCCCGAATTAAACAGCAAGGGTTTAGGCCTTTGGGGATTAGGGGTTCAGGCTTTGGAGTTGCAGGTGTGAAGTCCCAAGTCACGTGATTACCCCCCCCCCACCCCACCCCACCCCACCCCGAGCCCCAGAAATTGTGGTTACTCGCACGGCCTCTTAGAGGCGCCGTCTCCGAAAACATGTCCTACAATTCTGCACCCCCGCCACTCCTACATTTATTCAGCGCGGGGGGGGGGGGGTAGGCGCGGGCTGCTACAAACTGTGACAGTCGCAACGAGGGCGCGGGGTTTAGGCTTGAATCCGAATCTGTCTCTTGTAGGATCTTGGACCACCTGTACACACATGTCAAGAGCCCTGGCAGCTGCTAGACTGAGCCCAGCTGGGTCACGCATCAGGACAGCATCGAAACCATCTTGCGTCTCTTGCATCTGTGCCTGCAACAGTCACCGCATCCAAAAGCGCTGAGTATCGTTCTGCAAGCGTGGCGGGCATGGCGGGCCTGGTTGCCAAGTAGAAAGGAGATCTCCTGGTCTTGCATGGCAACCATCCAAGTTCTCTCAGAAGCCAGGTACTGCAGCTATGACTACGCCACCGATCGTAGCACAATGTCTTCAAGCTCTGTCTTGTTTTGCTGTCCGAGTTTCAAAGGCCATGGATAGAGTTCCAATAAAGTCCATCGCAAAAAAGAACGATAACGGATAGATATGCATGCCTCAGAAGTTAACATGCACTTTTCATGCGCACGCTTCCGCTTGTTTCATGGCGCGTGCCAGCCGCTGATTCCCCCACCAACCCCCCCCTTGGCCGCTCGTGGCCAAGCTGCGCGCCAGGCAATTCAAGGCCATTTCAATGCAGAAAACAACTGTCCTCAGAGTTCAACAGGAGTCTCCAGCACTTCATAGCAATGGCAAGTGTCATGGTGAAGCAATTGCAGAGTCTTGTAGAAAATAAGAAGCGCAACTTGTCTGATGTCGCCTCCCGCTTTTGCCAGGCGTCGCTATGGACATCATGAGGTCGAGCAGAAAGAGGCCCGGCTCGTCCGGCAATTCCGTGACTGTCGCGAGATCACCACCAAATAGAGCGACGACGACCTAAGGGACAGGTCATCACAAGTCAGTGGACCTTTGTGAACTGTCAGAGCACGGGGCCCGCACCCAGAACACAATGAACGTCTGGAAAGAGAAGCTGTCCACAACCGGGCGCAGCACATCCGATATCTTCGCCTTTATCCACTACTGTTGGGGGAACACTTGGCGATAGCTATGTGAGGCTCGTCCTACATTTTGGCGTGTAACCTTAACAGCAAGACCCCAATAACCACACCCCTGCAGCACAGTCAAGCAGAAGCGCTAGGATGGCCCAGGCTGATGGCTGCTGTCCCAGGTGCCATAGTGGTTGAAGCTGTTGCCATCCCAGGCTGCCCTTTGCCCATTTGCGCTAGCAAGCTTCTCCTTTGTTGTTGAGAGGCTGGGAAGTGCGGACGATTGTCGGGAATAGCATGCGCGTGTGACAGGCAGTCCTCCGAGTCTTGCGCCCAGGCGAAGGCGCCTCGGAACCGAGGCTCTCGTAAAGACGCGGACGTAGCAAGGGATTTGGCTTACGCGCGGCATTAGCAAGGTCGAGAGGAAGAATGGAAGGATGCGAAGTATGTGGAGGATGTGGAGGATGTGCATTGATGCAGTGTGAGAGACCCAGATACCTATGTCCAGGCACCTTTTGTGGCGGCAGCTCCTCCATGGCTCTGATGCCTCAGTTAGAAGGATATTGCTGCAGCCCACCTGCCGTTTACCTGCCGGAATTCTCGGTTCGCGGCTGCCGTCCTCCGAAGACCATGTCGTCACTCCCTGGACACCAAAGCGGATGGGCAGTGGGAGCGCGGAGTCTCCACAAGAAAGCACGCGAATGAAACTGAAGCAACACGCATGGCACGTGCATACGATTGGCACGATGTGCGACGTCTACGAACTCGCCGCATGTGCGCATGCACGCTCGTTAAAATACAGCATGTTTGTTCAGCATTCTTTGGAACAACTTGCCTTTACACCAAGTCCCGAGACCTAGGTGTGTTTGATTCTTGCAACATGTTCGTAGTTGCCCAACATGGAAAAGCCCCTGTCGAAAGAACTAAGGGTCTGCAGGTAAGCCAGAAACCCTGAACCTTGGAGCTTGGCATGGCTTCGGCGTCGAAGTGCGGATTTCTGTGTTTCAGTTGCAAGTGAGGGTTCAGAGGCTTCGGAGCTCTCATGCCTCTCCGGCACAGGTAAGGGTTGATTTGCAGCTGAAAGTTCAGGGGCGGTGAGTTTCGGGAAGTCAGGCGATAAAGGGCCCGAAGGTGGCGCTTCGAGGCCCCACTTGGTTGTTCCAGCCTCTGCTGTCGAGAGCCTACACCTTCCCATCCCCATAAAGTCTTGGTGCAGAACAGCAAACCTGCCACATAAATCAGACTTACGAATGCATGCGTACATTCGAGCAGACAGAAACTTGATTCACCGGCCTTGCAGCAATGCTTATCACCAACAGTCACAGTGGCAAAAGAAGCAATAGGCACGAACGAAAAATCTCCCCAAGTTTCTTTTCGATGATTTGCGGCCCCCTTGGCCGCCTCCCCGGAAGACACGGTCCTTGACCCCTCAAGGATTTCGGAGAAAGCAGTCACCTTGAACCCTACCCGAAACCCTAGATGACGTAAGCAAAGGAAGCAAAAGCAGGGTGACATGGGACATGATGTGGCGGCCTTCGATCTGGTCCTGGACTCCGTGGGCACTTCATCCTCGTGGCCCATCACCTGCACGAGGCTCTCAAACGAAACACTACCATACCACAATTGTTGCAAATTAGATGACTGTACCTTCACAACATAAAGATATATACACACAAATATACAAACCTATATATACACAATGTGCTATCCAATTGGCATCGCGCCTGGTCCTGAACTAGGGGGCCCTTCTTTGCCAGTATTTGGCTCATCACCCAGCTCAGCGCTCCATCATCCAAGTTGAGGCAGGCTTTGAGCACCTGGCGAGAGCAGGGGAGCAAAAAGTGGCCTGGAGCCATGCCTCCCAGCTGTGCTTCGATGCTGGGGATCATGCGTCTCCTCTGCCGCTGCTGCCCAGCTCCCTCTCGATCACTCCTTCGGGCCGAGACCATGAGAGCCACTTCTCAAGTCGTTCCATTGGACCGAAACTTTTTCTGCAACCAGGGCACCCTCATCTGCGACAGACCAGGCAGCAGAAGAGTCCGCCTTGGCTGCATGTCAACGGCAGTCTGTCGATGCTTAAGAACAGCCTCACCCAGTTCAACTGGGAGCCCTGTCTGATATGCGCGAAGCTCGGGAAGATCTTGTAGCTTGGAGCGCACTGGTCCTGCAACCATATTGCTCGCGCGCGAGGGCACCAAAAGTGACACAAAAAAGAAGCACAGGGCGAAATCTATGGGGCAAGTGGCTCGGTGCCCTTGGGCTGCGGTCGGCAGCTCTGAGGTGCAGTCCATGGGCGCTGCATGGCCGCTGCATGTGCAACAAAATACGACTCAGAGAAAGCCTTCGTTGAGCAAAGCTCTGTGACGGCTCTGACCAATTCGAGGAGTGAGCGATTGCTACATATTGCTGGGCTCTGACATGTGGCGGTATTTTCGGGCTCTGAGTGTCACTTGCATCGTAACGGACACAAACGGAGCATCTCTGAACCAGAGGAAGGGGACCGCATCATGTGCGGCCAAGGATGGTTGATGACGGTTGGCATGCTGGCGCAGGACTTTGTGCACTAGGGAGTGCGAACTGCAGAATCCAGACGTGATGAAGTGAAGTTGCCTTTACCTTCACTCCCAGAAAGGACGAGCCAGACGTCCTCGGATCTGGGATCCACTGAGGGCGACAGGCTCCAAAGCTCTACAACGCTCTACGGTGTCTCGACAGCACCAGGGTGCGGGCCCATCGGGAGGTCCAGCCTTAGCATCTCAAATTATGTTCCTCTCTTTGCTCTGGGCCGGTTTTCTGGAGCAGCGGCCGGAGATGAAGCCTCCCACCCGAAAGAACACGAGAGCAAAGCTTGCATGACATGGACCCGGCACGCCCACGAGCGGCCTTGGGAGCCAGGGTGCCCTGGCTGGAGCTGTAGGGTGCCGCCCAAGTCTGCCGCCTCCAGGGACTTTCGGAGATGTCTTCAGCATTCTTCACCCTTGCTGCATGATACCAATGATACACAATGGTACCTCTGACTCGCGCCGAACTGCTCCACATTGGCGAAGCCCTGCAGGCATCAGAAACTCTGCTACCCAGCAGCGGAGGGCAATGGAGGGCAACATGCTAAAAGCCTTGGCAGGCTGATTCAGGAAATATGGCAACTGCACCTCGGAAACAAAGGCCCAAAGACAGCAGACTCGGCAAACCAGAGCGACTGGCTAGGCTGCATGCGTGAACGCCCGAGTAGTGGTCACATTTCTCGCGGCTGCACAGTCCATCCCTGGGCGCGTCACAGTGCCCATGCATCCCCCTTACGGGTCATTACGGGTCCTACAAGCAAGTCCCAAGATTCCCGCTGCATGAGGCACACAGTGAAGCCCTCATCATTCGCGTCAGAGATCACCTGTGATGTCAAGAAGATGATCGGAACCATATCAGAAGCCCATTGTGTCTTATCTCCGCCTTCTGCGGATTGATCAGAGCATTCACCTGGCCGATCCCACGCCCGTCCGGCTTTGAACAGCTAGGTCTACTGCTCATTTCACTCATCTCAAAGTGAGGATAACTGCCTGCCTCCAGTCGCAGCCAAAGCGGCAGGCGTGTGGTAAGGCGTGGATAATGCCCACACTGAGCTGCCTTTTGACAAATCGACAGATTGATCAACTGCTGGAATGGGAGGGTTTTTTTCCAGCAGCAAGAAAGGCATTCAAGAGCATCTTAAGCACTTGGCAGCTCGGATCAAGCGAAAGGCCCCCTTGTCAGAGATCTGGCACGGGTCACATTTGCAGTCGTTTTTCGCATCCGATTCTTGGGACTCTCACAAGTTTCAGAGCAGCTGCCAGGTGCATCTAAACCTGGCACCGCGCGACGTTGTTGTGGGAGATGTGGATACCATGCATCGGAAAGGCCTCAAAAAGGCAGCGTCCATGACAGGAGGTTGAACAAGCTTTCCTCTCAGCACCTTCTCTTGAGTAGCTCTTAAAGCCTTGGAGTAGATTCTAAAGCCTTTTGAGTAGCTTTCAAAGCCTTTTTTGCTGTGTGCCTCGGGTTGGGTGTACAGATACTCGACCAGAGTGTCCACGAAGGAATCCTCAGATCCGTTGTCTGTGAAGCACTGCAATTTTTTGAAAAGAAAGTTCTCATCTCAGGAAGTTCTCTCTGAGCATAGTTCAGTGCCAAGAGACATCCACGGAGTTTCGGTAGGCTTTCAAGACGACACAAGGTACACGATGGCCCCGTAGCACCTCCACTCCCCTCAGGCCCCCTGTATCCCCTCCTGTGTGGTACTCAGTGGTACTCTGTCCACATTCGAGGCTGGTACCTGAAAGAGCTTGTCGAGACCATCCGTGCCAATCTCATTGTCAGAAAGGTCCTCCAAGCACTCACACGCCACAGCACAGCCGAAGCATCTGAGTGACTGAGGGCAGCGCGACGTATGCGCCGCTCTTTTTGACGTACGGGAAGTGGGAGACCTGCTAGGCTCTGATGCCGAAGCATCTGCGCTTCGCGGGGTCACATCCTTTTCCTGAGAGACTACTCGCGCGAAGACTCGGCAGTAGTAGAAACAAGGAGGAGCAACAGCAGCAGGGGTTTTTTGGAACCAACCGCCGTTACATCCTCGTATGTCTTAAACCCCAACAACTGAAGGACCGGACCACCAGGGGCATCTGCTCATCCAGCCAGTCGCAGAAACGAAGCCTGAGTTGTGGGCCCCAATACAAAAAGCAATGCCCCTGCCTGCCCTAGTGCAAGAGAGCTGTATTTATCAGGTCCCTCTTTTGGTGGTGTCTTGCAAATATAAGATTGAGGGGATGGCGGTCCGGAAGTCGTATGTTGGATCTGTCGGAATCAAAACATTTCTTAGCCACACATGCTCGCACAGTGTACGGCCAGTTGAAAGCCGTCTTCCAACTCCCCGAGGATTGGATCCCTAAAACCGAAACCAAAGAAAATAGTCCAGCATCGGGTCGAAGGAAACACTGACAGCCGCGATGAGAAGTTGAAAGGTGCAGGGCTCAAGGCTTTGGAGTGGTTAAGGGCTCAGGGCGGGTAAGGCGGCTAAGTGGGGAACCCACAACCCAGGGCCCCGGGCAGGGCAGCATTGTCCATGGGCGGCTTGCGGCGCTGCAACTCGATGTGCACCTCCAGATCGAGCTGATTTTGCGGTAGGGAAGAACAAATGTGAGTACTTAGGAGCTGCAAAAGACACTGTTAGGGGCTATAGTGGCCTAGAGTCTAGTGCCCATAGCAACTGTGTGCAACTTCAGTACCGGTTCTGCTTCCCAGCCCTACCAGGGACACTGCAGATCCAGCCTGCCCCTGCCGCACGATAACGCAGCGCTCGTCCCAAGACAACACCTTGACCGAGACTACCAGGTTGCAGTAAGGTGCAGTAATGTGCAATCTCCTGCGAGTTCAGATCAGGTCGTGCCTCGTCGAGGATGTCCTCTGCAACTGTGTCTCACAGCAGACGTGGAATGCAGTTGTGTGCAAGTTTTATCAATCTGAGATTGAAAATGCAAGCATAGTGTTGCACAATCTCGGTAGGGCTTGTTTGTTCAACGTTATCCGATGGGATAATTCTGTGTAAGGCAGGATCGGGTCATACGCAGCATCACATTCGGATGCTTGGGCGTCTTCTTGATCGGACCGACGGTGTGGGCTTCCTCTTGGCTGGACTGCCGGCGGTGCTGGGCTTCTTCTTGGTTGGACTGTCGGTTGCCTACAGGGTCATGCTGTGATAGGGTGCTTTCGTTTAGGGTCTGCCTCTTGCATGGCGTTGCGAGTCTTATTTGCATGACTCTGGGTGAGCTCTCCGACATCAGCAGCATCTTGCATCAGCCCATTCAAGTCATCACCACTCGGCATGCTTGCCGAAGGATAGAGCCTCCTTTGGAAACTTGAACAATCAGTCTCCTGTAACCACACTAACCGAGGCAGAAGGCGTGGGGTGGAGGGATGTGTCTGGGATGCGTAGTCCTTGTCGACGAGCTCACGTTCTGGCACCTGACCAGAGAGCATGCACAAGCTGCACAGACATCCACAGACATCGGGATCGGCGTCGCGCCTGCGCGAGGTGGTCCGTCAGAGCTGCCTCTCCTTCGGAGGTCTCCTCCGACAACGGCAGCCCCGTACCCCCGGGCTCAGTCTGTCTATGGTGGCTATGCTCATCTCGTCCTGTAGCCAGCTGGGTGTCCAGACTGGTAGCTCGGCCTGGTATGGCGGCACAGGACACACAAAATGTAGGACTGCAGACATCGGTGTTTGAAAGGCAACAGCATCTTGTAAGCAACGTTGACACTTGACGATGATAGCTCTTCCGGATTAACAGGAAGATTCACAACAACTCAACTTTGTCCGGTTTCGGCCGCGGCCTCGGAAGCAGGCGGAACTTGCAGGACTTCGGCCAGCTGCTTCAAAGGCAACGGAGCTGGCTGAGTCAATTGGGGCTCGGCAGCGGGGGCCTCGACAGGACTGCAATGAGGCTTCAATACCATGCCAATAAGAGTGCCAAAACAGCAAAGGCTACATCGAACACATCAGAGGCAACTTCTAAAAAGTCCCGCCTCCGTCCTCTGAGCTTTGGCCGGTCTGCCAAGTGGCCCTTCCTGGCTGCCTTTGCTGCCTTTGAGGTCAGGCGCCGCTGAGGGCTTCGGTGAGGGCTTGGACAGCTCTGCCGGCCGCTTCTGTGCCTCGGGAGAGCCCTCAGATGGGCTCAGCATATGGTGTTCTGTGTTGCATATGCTGCTGTTGTGTGATTACGTAGGGTGCCCAGGCACCCTTGTGAATGAGGCCAGGACATCTTCTGGAGCCGCTGCTTTGGGCTCTGAGGTCGTGAGGTCCGGAGCCTGCTGACATTGGGATCAGCCATGGATCGGCACAGCCCTACAGCGGCACAGTCGAATGGCGGCAAAGCAGGCGGCAAGCTTTGACATCTCCTGTACCTGTGCAAGCTCGGGCCTCAACCTCATCTTCGGAGAACATCTCGTACGGATCGGACCTCAGTTAAGGAAACCACCTCGGTCCGATTTCGGCAAGATCCAAGCCAGGAAGCGCACTCTGCCACCGCGTAGGGGTCAGTCACGACTGAGTCCTAATAAAGCAGAGAGGTTTTTGCTTTTTGGCTCACGTTAACAAATTCCGATACGCGTCCTCTGGCTGTTCCTGCGCATCTGGTGCTGCCTCTGCAGAAATCCGCTCTTGCACCCGCAATGTGCCTGCATCTCATCATCTCCAAGCCAGCCTCTGCATCTGCATCAACGGCAGCAGATGCATACCTGGCCGCATCAGGTTTTAAGCTGAAATCGGACACGCCTCCGAGGCGGCATTCCATGGCCCAGACCAAGACAGCCCATCGTCATCCCCGTAGTCGCTCTCATCGTCCTTCTTGCCACCGTCCTCCTCTGGAACCTCTGGAGCCTCCGGCGCCGCCGCCGGGTCCATCCTGCAAAACGCCGCCGTTTCACAGCGCAGCACTCAACGCCGCCACGCTGGCGGAGTCAAGTTCAGCCCCCCAAAGCCCGCCTGAAGCCCGCCAGGGCCCTCGAGGGACAAGCGCGTCCCGAAGACGAGGTGCATCTAAGGGGAGGAGATATGCTGACGGTGCTGGTTTTTTTGTGCTGGGCTCTCTCCTGCCGACTCTGTTGCCTGTACATGTCTACAATCCTCCTTCGACGTGGCTAGAGCTCACGTACGATGTACATTGCAAAGTTCGGTGCATCCATGAAGTGCTACTTGAGCTATTCAGCCTCGGCTCTTGAGCAAGCTCTGCAGGTGCGGAGGCAAAGGACAAGTTGCCTGACCCATACTCATGTCATCATTTCATGTCTCCTGTCTCCTTCTTCATGCGTAGACATCTAGAGCTTGACGAGGAATGAATGAGATGAGAGGCCTGAACCCTCTCCATGTTGTGTTTTGTTGCAGCCTCTCTCCCTTGCTGTGTCCCAGCAATGTGCAGTACATAGGGCAGCATGATGTCCTGCAATACAGACGCATCGAGCTCCGAGCCACCGTCGACCTGCGAATGCCAAGCCGTCTTGATGAGGCTGCAACGAGAATGATCCAGCAGCTGCATGCTCGTGCAGAATCTTCACGCACTGTTTTTTTGACACTCACGGGCGCCAGCCGAAGAACTTCCAACCTCGGCACTCCGCAATGCTTGCTGAAAATCGTCGAAGGCAAACATGCATCTTCAGGCAACGTGCCAGAACCAATGACAGGGGGGCGAGGCAGGGATCCAGGAAGAGAGGAAGTGAGCAAGGATTGATGGCCCGGTCCCAACCATGCATCCTGATACCATTCTCAGGCAGAGCGCTTGCCGAAGGATAAGACGTTCCCCCCCCCCTCCTCCTATACAAGAGTCTCGGTGCTGCAACAACTGGGCTGATGCTCAGTGAGTGGAAGGAAGGAGTGATAGAGCGGGATGGCTCACTGAGAGGGGGGAGCTGGAGGGAAGGAGGGAATGCAAAGCGAGGAGGAGGAGGAGGAGGAGGAGGAGGCCGGCACAACCCCAAGATCAGCTCAGGGCGAGACCATCCCAGGACAGTGGCTTGGCCAAGCGGTTGTCCGTCATCTTCAGACTCTCCACCTTCGCCAACGACGCACTTCGACTCTCGCAATTCGGGCCGCTTCTAGGAACCTTGGGTTTCAAGGGCCTCAAGTAGGGCATCCACTGGACATCCACGGGGCATGACTAGGCAACCGACGAGCTGGTCATCACTTGCCGTCCACATGGACATCCTCCGGTGCGAGCTCATAAACCACCGCTCTCCTCCTTCCCTTTCTTGCACTGCTACGATGTCCAAAGCCAGCACTGCAACAAAGGTCCATGCGTGGTGCCAGCCAACGCAAGTCGCAAGTCGCACTCGTATGAACAGGGTTAGATCTTCAGTCGGGGCCTCTTCAAAAGCACGTGGGAACTTCTCATCGCATCCGCTTTTTTAAAAACATCTCTACACGATAAACATCATAATGCCGATGCCAAGAACCAGCCTCGTGGGGTCTTGGGGGCCTCTGGTCGACCCCAACATTGAGAACAGAGAAATACGGTGACCAGGGCCTTTATTGGATTCTTGTTGGGCCCTTCGGGGCCATGGGGGGGCAGGGCGCCTTTCCAGGTTTGCGCGGGCATCCTCGAAGGCTTGAAGGGCCGCTTCGCGCAGCTGCCTGCTGCGTAAAGGGGTCTCCCTTTGCAGCGACCCTTTGCAAGCGTGCACTGGGACTCGCTTATCTCACAGAGCCCGATCTGCCAACCCTCGGCACAAGCGCGGCCGGCAAGACCCCGCAGGCTGCCAGGATGCGAAAGGCGCTTGTGCCTGCCGTCGTACAAGAGACTAAGCACGACTGACACCACAAGCGCGACTAGCGCAGAAAGATGTGGAAAGGGCCTGATAAGTTACTAATAAGCCATCGTGTTTGAGTGCGAAGGCCAACACACGCCAAGCGCAGGGGGGGGGGGGGGCAGCCGGGGAGCCTCCTGCTCCACCGCCTTGAAGAAGTATGCAAGGCCTGCACAGGACGTTGCAAAGACCTAGCCCCGGTCGCTCTCTGGAATGCCCTGTGAAGCCCCCTTTTTGAGGCATCTTGGGGCCCCATCGCCCCGTTGCCTTTGTTGTAGAAACAGTGGGCTGTGTTGGGATGGCGGTAGAGGCCAGCATCACATGCCTGGATTTTGAGATGGCCCCCCCCAAAAGAAGGCCGCGCTCGGCCGCGGGATGCTTATGGATGTGTGAACTGTAAACGACTGTAAGCTATCGTACACTACTGTAGACTGTTGTCAACTTTTGTAAACTTCAACTAAACTATTGTACGAAATACTGTATTTGTATGAAGAAGCCAAGCAGCCCTGATGGCGAGCGGCCACTGACCGAGGCGCAGGCAGGCGACCGCAAGGTTGATCCAGGGGGCCTTGAAGTCTGGGTCTAGCTGCAGAGCTGCCTCAAACTGCACAATGGCCTTCTTCCAGAGTTCGGCCTCCAAGCACTGCATTCCCAACAGGTACCGGGCCGTGGCATTCGTGGGCATCACAGAGATGGCCTTCTGGAAGTGGTCTGCGGTCTTGTTCCAGCGGCCCATTAAGGCCTCCAGCACGCCAAAGTTCCGGTGGATGTAGGACTCCACGAAGGCCTTGCAAGGGCCCTGGCACTTGGACAAAGATGTCTGTGCCAGTCCCAGGACCATGTTGCTCTTCGTGGGGTCGCGCAGCCGCATTGAGCACGCAAGCCTCGATGCCACAAAAGCGCCAAGCTCACCGATGTCTGGGTAGCGGCGAAGCAGGGTCTGAGGAGAGAGGCTGGCGTTGGTGAACACCATCTGCACGGAATCGCCCAGGGCGGCATAGACTTCCTGCAGCTGCCGCGCATCCACCGGCGCAGTGCCCTGTCTGGCCTTGCTGATGATCTTAGCGGAAAGGTCGGTGGAGGTGGTGTCCTCTGCAGGAAGCTTCCAGTAGCCCCCGAGCCATTCGATGCTCAAGGCTCCCGGGGGTGCCTCACCGGGGAACTCGACAGCAGGCTCGGGCTCCGGAGCCGAAGTGCTGTGGAAGGTCAACTCCTCCTCCTCCTCAGACTCTTCCGCACGTTCGGGTTCCTCCACGCGGTGAAGAGAGAAGCCCACCCGCATCGTCCCGTCAAAGGCTTTACCTTCTTGTTGCACCGGCGAAGACTTGCAGAGCTCCTCTGCCACGAAGACCGGACATTCATTGGACCACCAGTGGCGGATCTGTTCCTGGAAACAGCCCCACTTGCAGTCGATCGGGAAGTCCCTGTCTTGGCCATCCAACCACGCCTCCACATTCTCCGGCAAGATCAACAAACGTTCCAGCGCCAAGTCCAAGTCGGAGGCAAGGACTGGAATGCAGCCAGCGCCCCGTGCTCGGTTGCAGAGCTTCAGAACACAGCAGCCCTCTGATGCCAGCCCAAGTCCAGCGATGATGTCTGCGGCTAGATCATCTCTGTAGAACCTACCGAGGCTACCCAAAGACCGGGAGGACTGGGGTCTTTTCTTCCCTACAAGTTTACAAAGCCATTACAAATCCCAGTTCAGCCCCAAAATTGAACTCGCCCTGGAAGCTCCGCAACATGCCCAGACCGGCAGTCCTCCGGAAGCAGACTTGCTTTGGCATGAGGTGCCCATAGCCGCACTCCACGAAGAAGTCACGTGTCAGCTTCTTGTTTTCAACAAGAACAGCACGATGCAGGGTTTCTTCGAGCTTCTTGTCTGCCTTAAAGCTTTCCTTGATCGCAGCTCCATAGCCCGAGAACTTGGAACTGCGACCATCACCAGTTTCAAGGACTTTCACGCGGTCCTCCAGGCTAAGGTCGGGGTCATACTTCAGGTCCAGGATGCCCCAGAACACAGCGGGACTTCGTTGACCCCGCTCCGCCGTCCCTTCCTTCCCTTCCTTCGCTTCCTTCGCTTCCTCCTTCAAGCTGCCACCAGGGGGGTCAGCCGGGAGGGACAGCCCTGTGAGGTCCAAGGACGTCATGTGCTCCAGCAGCTGCACCGCACTAAACTTCGATCCTTGTATGGCGGAAACCCATCCGTGATCATCGTATATAGCCTGTGGGCCGGCAGCCATACCGGAGAAGAGGTTGCGCACGCTGCGCAGGATCACCCGGCCGCCGAGTTGGCCGAACAAGGATGCGGCACGCTCGGCTTCCGCCTCGCATCGTGAAGTAAGCGCCAAGACCGGTTGTGCTTGACGAGATGTGCCGCTGGGAGTGCCGAGCAGCTCTGCAAACAAGGGCATCCAGTGAACAAGCCGTTCATCTGCGTGCAAACAAACAACAAGATCTGGTTGCCACTTTGGCGGCTGAGTGCCGGCGCTGACCATAACTCGCTTGCCTGGCGGCATGTCGACGTTGATGTCTCCAATCAAGTGCAGGTTCATGCGCACTCCCTCGCCGCTGAGCAGGCCGGCCGCATCTTCGCAGTACCCAAGCTGGGCAAGCCATCCCTCCTCCCCATCCCGGGCCCCCAAAATCCAAACGTTCAGGGGCGACCGAACTGCCTCTGCCGAAGACCATGCCTCTCCAGCACCTTTCCCATACTCCCTGAGCATCACATCCAGAAATGCGACTGTCCGGAAGCAGGCACGCTTCCGCCTCTCCAGAGGTGCTAAGGCCGCATGGTGGATGTATGCGAAGGCGATGGAGGCCGGCATGGATCTGACCGGCTGCCTGCGTGGAGCGCGCGTCACTTGATCAGACTGTGGGCCCATCCATAAGACGTACTGGTATGATCCCAACAAGACGCTAATCTGCTCCAGCGGCGAGATGACCTCCAGCTCTCGACAAACCTGCGAAAACGCCCGCAGGCCCCCACTACCATGACCTTTCTTCTTGAGAGTTGACCGCGCGCTGCGGCAGATGAGCTGGCTGAAGTCTCTTATCATTTCGATGATTCTGGCCTGTTTGCCTTCCACGCGCTCGAGTTGTTCTTCAGCTCGGCACGCCAGGATGGAGTCAAGCTGTGCCTGGACCGACTCGGCGGCCACAGCAGTGATCAGACCATTCAGAAGATCGGCCAAAGCAACGACCTGGTGAGGAGCCGTTGGTCTCCTTACTTCTTCTGCAGGCCAGACATGCTGCACCATGCGAAGCCAACTTCGCTTCTGGTCCTTCTTTTGGGAAGCTTGGGAAGCTGAAGCAAGTGAAGCAGCTGCAGTTGTAGCTGACGGCGCCTTTGCCGGCGCCTTTGGCGCCTGGTGCTGTGTGTAGCTCGGCCAGCCGGGCATGATAATGGGAGGTTGCCTTGAAGGTTCTGCGGGGCTGCGCGCCGGAAAAACTGCTTTAGGTGTAGCGCGGCTCGCGGAGGTTGTTTCAACCGTTTGTGTTGCCTCCCTTGTGCGCGAAAGGTATTGCTGCACAGGGCTGGCTGCTGGTGCCACTGGCGGCTGCTTGTCCTTCTTTGGGACGGTGGCTCCACGCAGCAGCATGTCCCGGCTTACTTTGGAGCCGTCGTCCAGCGTAACCATCAAGCCGTTGGCCCGCCTACCAAGCACTTTGGCATCCGGAGGCATCCTCACACCGTGGTTGGACAGCAGCACCTGCTTTAGCTCTGCAACGCGCATGTCGCTGGTCACATCCAGCTCCAAGGACCAAGGAGACGAACCATCACTCACGGAACTGATCTGCACGCGCATCTCGCGTTAGCGACGCATGCCCTCAAGCCTCCAGCTTCCAGCAGCAACAAGCAGAGTATCCCATGGGCAAGGGCATTGCTAGACGGGACTCCGCTGGACTGGCACAAAGTCAAGTATGTGAATTGTATGTCTCAGTGAACCGGATGCAGTTTGACCTTTAAGGGCTACCCTGCTGTGCTGGTCTCTGCATCAGAGATGCGCTAATCCAAAAACGAGCCCCTACTAGTAGTAGGGTGGGCGAAGACAAAACTCATCTCTTCTAGCCCTACACACCATCCGCTTTTTGGGGCTTTCTAGGTGCTTGGTGTGCTTGAGCAGAGGCAGAGAGGTCAAACATGTCCTAATGCCAAACAAGCCAGAGAGGTCGGCAGGCCAAGAAGTTGGATAGCCTCAACTCGCCACGAGCACCTTCAACCCCCACGGAATGTGCCAATGTGAGTCATTGGGAATGGCGCGGCACTAACTGAGCAGGCCGCACCCCTAACAAGTAATAAGGCCAGGCACAGTGACCTGGACCATGCCGAGGGCTCCACTTGTGTGAAGCTGAACTGCACTTTAGCAGATGGATGCAGATTGATTACAGTACTGATTAAACATTCAGCGCTCCGAAGCTGGGGCGCTGCTAGGCACCGAATTCCCATTGGTGCCTGCAAGCTCCCAAGGTTTTTTTTTTACGTCCATCTCAGAGCCCGGAATCATCAGTCGATCCACGTGAACACTTTATTCTGGGGTACTCTTACATGCAACAATGTAGAAAGTTGATCGCATGAAAGCTTTGCTCCTAGAAAAATGACCGCGCGACGTCCGCATCTTGTAACCAAAGGCTGGACAAAAACGGTTGATTTTGAGGGTATTCCTGTTTTCTGACTCATTTTCTGCTGTTGAAACTTGCTACGTACTAAATCAAACTTGTTCGAAGGGTTCACTGGTTCTATAGCGGTTTCTTGTGCTTGTTGTCCTGGTAAATCCCGCAAAGCTCGCAGCCACCAATCTCTGATCTCTACCGGATGTACCAACGGCCTTCCTTTGTGCTCATGCTCCAAAGGCAAGGCCCCAAAGTGGCGAACGTCCTTTCAGCCCCAGCGTTGTGAAAAGCCCCTGCTTTGTGGAGCAGTGCTGTGGCTTTTAGATTGGGCCATACTCAAACTAACTGCTCTTGTGTAAGGATTACCCCTTGCCTGAGTCGGAACCTCTGATGGGACCAGGGCATTGGTGTATGCTTTAGAGCTTAGAGTCCCGCTCCGCACCACAGCCACGTTAAGACGTTCATGAATTATCACATCAGATCACAGAGCTGCAGTGGCCCTCTAAACTCGTCGAAGCCATGCATCCGTCTCTGGAAAGGCTCCATTCAAAGAGCCGAGCCTTGACAGACCTTCCCACACCATTAAGGGTACAAGCATCTCTGGGCCGTATAGGCTCTTAGCACCATCGGAAGGCAGCTTCATTGCACTTACATCAACTGACTAGAGCCCGTCTAAGGAGAGCTGGCTACGTTTCTTCTGCCACTCCAAGGCGACGAGAAGGCTGGAGCCCCGGATCAGGAATAGCACGTTCTGCTATGAAAGTTGGAAGCATCAGATGACAGGTTGGCCGCAGGCACCGGAAGCTCACAAAGGCGAGCGGTCTACCTCGGGGGTTACACAAGTTTCCATAGATCGTTGCGACTACTTCTCGTCATACACTCAGACATACTCAGACGCAGGTCTTGGCGCAGCAGCATGTTGCAGGGTTACCAGGCGCTTGGCCCCACTAAATCGAGAGGAACACCTGCAGCTCACGGTATTTTGTCACTGGGGCCATTCTTTCTGCCACTCGACTCGGGCCTGACTTCTTTTGCACGTGCAAAGGCTGGCCATCTGCCTGGCCTTCTCGCGCTTCGTGCTCGTCCAGCAACCGTTGCCGGCTCGGTAGCAACAGCCCTCCCAGAGCGGCTCCTCGCCAAGCAACCCACAGGCCCACAGGCCGTCACACGATTTGTGCGCGGCAGACGCTGGCATGGTCCGTGCTCTCCTTTCGGGAGCACCCGCGCATCATGGAAGCTGTGACGACCTGCCAGGCACGGTTCGCCCAAGGCCCTTGCAAGGCCCAAAACTTTGAAACGGGTGCCTTGTTGGGGTAGAGCAGGGCACAGGTGGCTGCCTGGACCTCGTCCTCCACTCTACAATATTCAGTGCTGTCGAGAGAACCTTGGGGGGCTTCAGTGCTTGGGGGCTGCTCCTCTGCGATTCCACGGACCTCCTCTCACGCAGTGATCTGAAGGCTCAACTTCAGCCCAAGAGGAAACATCAGTGAGAAAAAACAATTCTCAAAAAGCTCCCGCACAGGCTCATCATCGCTGCATTCGATGTCAGCGCCTGGGCATCTCTACGACAGGTTTGTTGACATGTGCGTTAAACTCGTTTAAGCCTCATAGGCACAAAGACCACTCAAGGCTTGGGCTCAAGATGACGCTTTCATGACCATCCAGGTCGCGGCGTAGGGGGAAAGCCTCGAGATTTGCGCACTGTTGATTTATAATCCCATGTTTGGGTCTTTTGGGTGCCGGAAGGGGCCATAATCTGGAGAACTATCAAGGTGTGTCTTTGCCGCCAGGCACTTTTGGTTGACAACCTGACGTGCCGCTGCTGGCCCTGCTTGCCAAGCAGCTGATGCTCGACACACAAAGGCCAGGTCACCCCTTGACCTTACCTGCCCAAACAGATCAAGAAGCACGAACGTATTTCTACTCGCATGATGCAAGTGTGCCCCCCAACATCTTCCGAATTTGGCCAATTTGGCACACTGCAAGGGCATGCCCTGGGCGGATGTACCTCCTGGTCGGCTTCTATCCATGGCGACCCTCCTGAGCATGGCAGCATCGCCCGTCACTGGCATTCACGAGCAATGCAAACGAACCAGTCGGAGATGAGAAGACCCGGACTGGACCCGCGTTCGTGTCGCCCTAGTCTCGTGGGGCCTTCCAGAGAATAGCTTCTGAAGCAGACTCACTTGTCCACGAGACCTCCTGAGTTGTGTACCCTCGCTGGTCATGGCTTTAATCGAGCCCCGGCGAGTGCGCCTGAAGGGGCATGCAAGCCGAGCGGATGACACGGTGCACAGCGCTCACAGCGCCGACCTTGCTCTCGTTGGCAAAGTCTCGGCTTTGCCAGCGATGCCAAGCCCGGAGGCTCGCAACCTACAAAAATCACAGCATCTCCCCACGCCGCTCCCACTTCTGCTTCCGCTTCTTCCCAGCACTTCGCATGGACAGCGCCTTCGGCGCTCGCAACTCGGGGTGGTGTTGCGCAGCAAGGCCATCTGCGCCGCGAAGGGCAGCTCCGCGCCGCCAGGGCGCTCTGCCTGGATGCAATGCAAGGAGGCCGGAGGCCGAGTTCGAGCGGGATTCCACCCGGCAAAGCATTCGACTTTCAACTCTGAGCTGCAAACCCAGGTATCTTTGGTAGATGGCGCGGGCATGTCCACGAGATGTCACCAGTTGTGACTCAAACTGCTCTGTCAGAGCTGACTTGCAGCAGCGAGAGGATTTTTTCTGAGTTGGCTTGTGAGGGTCGTGCTCACCCATGACATGGGTCTCATGTGCTTTGGCTGCGTCCTCTTGAAGCGGAGCGAAGCAGACCAGCACAGCTATCGAATTCAGGGGGGAACTCCGGCGGGAAACCAGTGCTCAAAGTTTAAAGCTTGTGCTGCGGCGGGTCGCACATGAAGGACTCCTTCCACGACAGCCGGAGCTGGACTTGCCTGTGGCGAGTGCACGGGGAACATGGTGCAAGTGAGCCTAAAGTGAAAAGCCGCGCCTCTCCCAACGTCGTGGCCGACGTGGCTGCATGCGCCACTGAAGCCGCTACCTTCAGAAGTGCTGGATGCTGCTGGTTCTTCCTTACTGCCGCGACGTAGTTCCATGGCTTGGATGCTCACTGTTTGGTGGGTCCATGCCCCATGCCCTTAAACTCCTAAATAGCAGCAGAAAGGGGAAAGGGAATGAGGAGCTGGATGATGTTGAGGGCTGACTTCGTGAATCGAAGGACCGTGGGTCTTGGATATGTCAGTAGATGTGCATCAACTCGCGATTAGTAGAGACTCGATGAGGAATACGTGCGTCCGTCTGCGGACAGAACTCGGAATCGACCAGGACATGGTTTGGCCTGGTGGATCTCAGCATAGGCGTCGCGGAGCCTTTCGCGGCATGCACACAAAGCCGACGACCCCGCTCAACATCACAAGAAAGGACTTTCACACCCATCTTGCACCACACTCGTTTACGCTTCCATCGCCCTGCAGACCGCAGCTTGCCAGCCGAGCGGCCACTGGCTTGGCATGGGCCGCTGTTCCTCGTCGTCACCTCATACCGGTCATACCGCATTAAAACAGCGCACCTCCAAAGCACCTCTTCAGGCCCTGGACGCGTGAGAGCCAAAGGGCCCGAAGGGCTATGTACATGCGGCTCATCTCTGGCTGTGCTTGGCGAGGTTGAGACGGGACAGGCTGAGCCCTGGCTGCATGCAGGCCCAACAAAGAGAGAGACTTTGTGACTTTGCATTTGCTCTCTCAGAGTTGGGCCTCCCCCGACAAGTCTCTCCAAATATTTCTGGCGATTTCTTCTGCCAACCTCAGAGATTTTTCAGAGCGGAGACAAGGGAAACACCGCCATTTAGAGCTACTCAGCTACTCCCAATGCAACATACCCGTGGTCCCAGCTCCATGGCACGCAGACCAATCTCCAGAGCCTCCGCGGCCTCCTGCAGCCTCTCGTCCTGAGCCGGGACACAGACATTGCTGCTTCGGGATTAAAAGCGAGTAAAAGTGGAGTGTTTTTGGGAACCGATAAGGAGGCCTTTAGGGAAATTTCTTGGAGTCGGAGATGACACACTGCACCCTTACTAGGGATTCGAGCTTGGAGCTTAGATCTCTTTCGATTGTGGGGAAAGTGTGCCAACGCACAAGAGCTGGATGCAAATAGCCCACCCTGAGCAGTCCGAAGACATAACACATGCTACGTAGCCTACAACCCATAAGTTTTCAACCCTATCCTTCAACCAAAAACCTTGAAGCTAACCTGTCTGCATATACACATATACACATATACACATTTGCAGATATACAGATGTACACAAGACACATATACACATATACACATACACACATAAAAACACGTCTACATATCTATGTATACATATACATATACATATACATATACGTATACATATACATATACATATACATAAACATACACATACACATATACACGTACATGTACATATACATAAACGTATACATATACGTATACATATACATATACATATACATATACATATACATATACATATACATATACATATACATATACATATACACCCGATGGCCAGAGATGCACATTTTCACATGCACCCTAACACCGAAAACACGTACGTGCAACCCAACATCGTCTCAGCCACTGCCCCCCCCCCCCCCCCCCCCTGAGCCCTAAACCCTAAACCCTAAACCCTAAACCTTAAACCCTAAACCCTAAACCCTTGAGCCCCCAAAAGAAGCTCCCGCTGCGGCTCTCGAGCGGGTCCTCGGAGCGCTGCCGGGTCTCCAGCAAGCCGGCCTTCTCCTGGAGCCTTCATGGGGATTTGAGGGGTTGCTTAAGGGCTTAAGGCTTAAGGGCTTAAGGTTTTAAAGGGTTGAGGGTTTAAGGGTTTAAGGGTTTAGGATATTAGGCTTTGAGGGTTTAGGGTGGCAGCTTCCAACTTGGTTCTTTTCTGCTGGTGTCGGCTCCTGCTTTCCTAGTCTCTCACCCCGCATGGGTCCCGTCGGCAGTGCCCGCTTTCACTCTGGACTATACATGCTGAAGGCTCTGCACTTGCCTGTGCTCAAATTCTTCTTTAAAATCTTACCCAGAATGCTCCAGTACGCTGCGTCCTCGTGAAGGGCCCAATGGCGTGGTTTGCCCAGCTGGACTCGGCCTCTCAAGCGGACCCGAACCCTCTCAGCTACTCGGACAGGCTGTGCTGAAACCTGGCGCCTGCGCGCGCTTGAAGAACAGCATCGGAGCAAACCTGAAAAGGCAACCGGAAGTTGAGGACAGCCCTCCCTAAGCAATGCAACCATTTCGAGGTATAAGACTCTGACTGGCTCTGGCTTCCCTCCTGCAGCTTCAGACCCCACATAGTCACATCAATACTGTGTCCACGGCTGTTCTCAATTGACAAGTCCTTTTGGGAGGCCTGTTGACAAGCAATATTTTACAAACGGCACCTTTCCCATTTGGGGACCCTTGTTTACAGCGGCCCCAAACGGACATCCGTCGTATATCCTTATAGCCTGCTTTTCCTTGGCAGTCCTTGCAGCTGTCCGTGCTCCCGGGCGATCCCACCTTGATGGCACACTTCGAGAGCCATCACTCTTCTCATCTCCGTTGCTCCAATGTTGGGTGCCCGGCATCCACATCCTGCCAAACTCCTGCCCTCAGCAGCCAGGAAAACGCGCAGCGTTTGCCAGGGTATGCAACTCAAGCATGTTTTTCTCGACAAACAGCTCACACTGCCCTGCTCAAAAGCAACAGTTTTGCCTACGCTTCTGGTAGGATAGAACATTCAAAACAGAGATTCGTGATCCACTCATGTAGCGAGACGGATCACACCATCGTTGCTCACATTCGTCTTCGGTGCCTCTGCCTTTTCGTTGCAACCACCTTGCTTGCTGCAGCCACCACAGCCACTTCCCTTGTCGCCGCAGCTACCTCCGGTGGTGTTGGCACCTGCATCACTCTTGCCACCACAGCCTCCGCTCTTGCAGCCTCCGCCGCTCTTGCAGCCTCCGCCACTTCCACAGCCTCCCCCACCGCAGCTCCCTGTGCCTCCACAGCAGCCGCTGGAGTTGAGAATCTTGTGAAGAGCCTGTGCGGCCAAAATCACCTCCGGGATGTCACGGCCTGTCTTCGCCGCGGTCTCCAGATTCTGCTCATCATCTGCGAGCAGGAGCAACTGAAGCGCCTCAGAGGTGTTTTCCAAGAGCGTGGCCTTCGAAGCCAGCCAGCGCTTCTCCTTCAACTTGGCCGCGTACTGCGGGAGGAGCTCCTGCAAGGCCTGCAAGGCAGCATCCAGCGCCACGTTCTTTGTCCCTTCGGCGTGCAGACATTGCGCTACCCCCAGGGCATGCTCGCATTGCTGCAACTCCCCTTCCACGCAGAAGTCCATGGCTTTTAGCTGCTCCTGCAGGCGCTCTGCCGCCTCTCCCTGAAGGTCAGTGCCTGCAGTGCCCCCAGTGCCGCCAGTGCCCGCAGCGCTCGCAGTGCTTGCTGCCTTCTTGGAATCTTCTTGTTTTGGCTGTGGCTGTTGATTCTGCTGTTGCTGAGGCTTGCCTTCAACCGTTGCCTTTGCGGCCTTCGAGTACCGCCAGAAGAACCACGCACTGACAGCGCCTGCCGAGACGCCAGCCACCAACACTGGAGTCCAAGACCGCGACATGGCAGGATATGACAGGCTGTCACCTTTCGGCCAGTGACTTGACCCGTGTGAGATCTTACTGCTTGCTGCGCTGCTATCGTTTGTCCACGTGGATGATACTTCCCGAATCTTCTTGATGGGATGCGAGCCAAGACAGTGCGAAGACAATCCAGGCCCGGGAACACACCGCAGTCCTCCTCCATGGCGGAATACTCAGGCAGGCACGCATTGTCAGAAGGTGTGGCCTGTCTGACACAAGATGACACAAGTGTTCTCAGACTCGTTTTCCTTTTATGTGTGTTTTTGGCTTCGGAGGCCTGGGGCTTGTCGCCAGTGAAGCCGGGAGTTACCAGTGGTAGCACCGGCCTCTGCTAGCACACACATAGCACCAGCCTAGAACACTTGTACCAGAACGGTCAAGCATATCACATGTCCTCTGTCTTCCTTCCCTGTTCCCACTTCACTCACAAATTTTGCAACGCAGCGTTTGGCCGTGCATAATGCCTGCAGGCCCTGGCCCTAGAAAAAGAATGAATGCTTCCGTCTTGGGTTGGCGTTCGCCTCCCTAACCTGCCTGTGTTCGCACCTGGGTCAGCATGTTCACGACAAAATCCAGCGAGGAAATGATGTCATGGTTGGCGAGTATACCGATGTCCGCAAACCGAGCGCAGGATCTGGCAGCGCTTCGTCCACGTGCCTTTGTAAAGCATCCGCCATGCGTTCGCGCAAGATTGGCGCAGTGTCCAGAGCGTCGCGAGCCGTTTTCATCAGGCAATCAGCGATTGAGTTCTTCACTGTCAAATTGCAATCTTTGCGTTTGGTAAAGTCGCATCTTTCGTTTGATGAAATCCTACAGCAAGCGCCCTGTCTTCGGAGTGCGAGCAAGATCCCCTGAAAGGGTTTGAGCCCAGTTGCAAGCGCCAGCTCGCAGTTCATGCAATCTGTGAAACTAACACATTGAGGACCTGGGGGGGGATAAGTTATAACGAAAAACGAAAGAAACAGCTGAATGGCCAGGCTCTACCGAATGAAGCCAAAGGCTTGTCGGCTCAACGCTCCTTTCCAAGATGCCGACAACGAACTCCCAGAGCCAGGGTGGGAAGATGCCTCAAAGGCACCAAACTTTGCAGCGGGCACATCCAGGTCACATCAAGGCACTGCCCTTATATGACATGTTCCAAGGGGCTTGTGAACTCATCTCACAGCACAACTAAGAATGATGCCGTCCGCAATCTTGGCAGCACTGGCGAAAAGGCGGCGGCAAAGGCCATCGTCCACCGTCCACCATGTTCATAATGTGAGATTCCATGTAACTGCACGCTTGTAATTACAGCACATGCTTGCTTGAATTGTGGGTTACTTCGTGGAGGTAGCCTGTGTCATTACAGCTCTACCTAGGTGTCGGCGGCTGAGGCACGCTGAGGCGACACTCGAGAAGAAAGCACGGAGCAAAAATTCGCACATAGCTCTGCATGGGTGATTCAATGGCACTTAGTTCAACCCTACATCATGCCAAGCAGGACCCCCGATTTTGTGCGAGAATGTCCATGAACTGGGTAGGTAAGAGAGGCCCTTTGTTCCGCACAATGTCATAGCATCATAGCTAGCTCTGCTGACTCTGCCACGCTATGGTTCCATTGACCATTGGACACTAGGAATGGGCAGGTTTCAGCCATTTAAACGTATCTGCGACGGGTCCGGTCGTCTACACATCAAAGACAGAGTTCAAAGACTGCGCGAACTTCAGCGCGGAGTTATCCTTGGTATCCAGGCGTTGCAGAATCCTCAAATCGACCTTCACAGGGGAGTAGATTTTGCTGAGGTCGGATCCTCTCCCACGAACATCATGCTGTGACGACCGACGGCGATGAGCTGCAAAATGCGCTGCGAAATTGCTGACTTGACCCCACAAGACATGCCTGGAGTCATGGTTCGGCCTTTCCAGAGGTGATGTCTGTCACTTCCGCCTCTGCCACGCCCAGCACGCCACCAATCTGCAGCCCAGGTCACATCTTTTGCAAACATCCTGGCTCTGACCCTGCTTGCATGGTTACAGCGTTGCACCTTTCGGCTCTACACGTGCGGATGTTGGCAAGACGCCCGGCAACAGCAGCGAGACGCCTTCAGGATCCTCGTGTCGATCTGCAGGGTGCGGCCAACCTTTCCAACCCCGACCTCAAGAAATAAAGCGACGACTCGCCTTGGGTCACTTCCCCTTCTCTGAGCAGGCAGCATACGTCATGTTCATGTCGGTTGTGACTGCCTGCACAAGAGCTTTGAGGCTGTGGATGTGCAGGTGATGGCAAGGTCTGGCGATGTAATTCGGCTGCACAGCTTGAAAATCCCCTAGCAACCACAAGGGCACACACACACACACAAAGTCTTTGCGCAGGCCCAGGCAGCACACTACGATACTACGATTGTGACGTACTATGTCTACCTCGATCGCCCTAGTCTTGGTTCCGCCTTCCGGCTTCGCAGGTCGTTCGCACAGATGTGCATTGTGGTCGCCTAGCTGCATGCAGAGTGTAGCAGTTTGGTCAAGGGCCGTGTTCAACTTTCAAGCATCGAGGCAATTGAGACGCCAGCATCCTCCACGACAGTTGCAATGACCCCTGCATATAGAGCTGCCCTGAACTAGGGTCCGAGTCGGGTTCCTGGAATGCTACCCAGCCTTAAATTCAGGGTAAACAAAGAAGGGCCCATGATTTTTTGAGAATCTCCAGATCATGGCCGCTGAGCACTCTGGAGGAATGTGAAGAAGAAGGCGAAGCGACCCACCTCCGTGAACTGTTTGCCCCTCCTGCAATGTGTGACAACAGCAGGAAAAGCCATGACATAAAGGCAAAGGAAATCCTTACAAACCCTACCTTGGAAACCCAAAGCCTACCTTTTTTGTAGGTTACCTAAGAATCCATCAAGGGGTTTTCGTAGCAATAACCTACCAAAACGTAGGTTTTGGGTCCTTACCCTAGTCTCCCTTGCTCCCGTGGCTCTCCTGCGCCATGGCGAAGGCGTGACAATCACTTTGGTGTAGGGGAAACTCAGTTTCCCAACATCAGATTCGCACGTGCATCGGTCGCATTCGTCCACTTGAGACGAGCTAGGAAAGCCAGGATTCCCCACTTGAAAGCTGCTCCTCTTTAAGTTCTCACTGGACTGCAGAAACTGTAGGCCTCAGAGTTCTGGGCAAAACATGCGACACCTACGTGCGAAACCTTTGCTGACCACGCTTGTCTGAACTCCTGGCGCTTGCTGATCACCGACGAGAAGCTGTTCTGAGCCTTTGGACGTCCCGTACGTCGAATTTGTGACCATCAGTGGCGGGGACTTGCCAGAATTCAGGGAACCCGGCCCGAGTTTGCTGCACATACTGGTGGAACAGCTCACCCAACCGACATCTTGCCTTGAGAACTACGCTTTCCAACATGCACAGCGACCTTGGAGCATCAGTCTCAGGGCACGGCCGCCATGGAACCTGACGCCCCTTTGATTGCACTTCAGCACAGCTCGATGCTACGACTGTAATCAAGACCTACCATGCATCATCTCGAGCCCTTCGACTGCTTACACCATGCCCGATGCAACGAGAGCACCCGTGGCATGCAAGTGTTGACCTGAAAAACTCAAGATCTAAAGAGCTCAGCATGATCTCTGTTCTGGCGAGCCACCTGTTTTCCACGAGCATCTCCACTCGCTTGCGCACAAAACTCACCAACCAAGTACCGTGGCAGATATGAAAAAATCAATCCACTGATGCACGTCTGGGCTTCTCTACAGGCAGCACCGCCTCATCCGCAACACTTCCATCAATATCAACTTCACTGATCACACGGTGCTACCAACATGAAACATAAGTTCGATGGAGCATCCATGCTCACGGCCGCTTCAATCACTCAGAGCTTTGCTGCCAGGCCTTCGTACTAGAACGCCAGATGCAGGTGGCATGTCTCAGAGCCTGCGAGTGCACCTGCCTCAGCAAGCAGCCTTTTCTGTTTCCTGCCAATGTCAACGAAGGTACGAGTGCAGCAAGGAAGGCAATGTCAGCTTTGAGAGGCATGAGAGGAGGATGTCCAATGTGCCTCTTCCCACAAGACGATCTTGGGGTCCCGCCTCAAACACAAGCTTCTGGAGCCGCAAGAAATGTTGAAAGATGAGAGGCCGAAGCCGCACAACACCAAGCTCCAGGCTTGCAGAAGGTGCGAACTGCCAAGGCTAGATTGTCCGTGTCCTGCCCGTCTGGGAGCCGCTTCTCCAGGAGCTTGGGACAGGTCATGATATGGGGCTTCCGGAATTTGGGGTTCCTTACTGGGGTCCTTATCATACGGGAATCCTACGATTTGGGAATGATATTGGGGGTCGCCTATTTTCGTAAACCCCCACATTTCTGCTTCGTTTAGCAGGAGCTGTCTTGCGCTGTACATGCTCGGGCTTCCTTGGGAAGAGCGTGGGTGCGAAACGGAACCTAATGCCTGGCGTATGGCAAGACACTGTGGCTGGCAGCCCGTCCAACAACAGGCGCCAGTCAGACTGGCTGCAGCTCTTCTGAAGAGTCCAAAGAAGGTGCTCAAAGGAAGTTAAACATTCAAAGCAAGAACTGAGATTATGTCAAGCTCGGGCTAGACAGGGCCAGACAGAATGGCAAGGATTAGACCAGCGGGCTCAGAGTCCCCGCAGATGGATCAAACCATAACTCGAGTTCCTCGGCTTTGGTCAAATAATTCCACACGGTCGCAAAAGTGCTTCAAATCCTTCGACACTGCAGGCTTAGAAAATGCACCAAAAAATTACCAACAGGCATCAATCTGATTCCAAGCGTCAGATCCTCCAGGAAACCCCGGGGGGACGACGAATGTGAGCTGTCTTCCATCAGGGACCGTCACAGCCAAAGCCTGACATTTCCCGACTGATGCCAGACTTCCGCCTTCAAGTGTCACGTCTGACCGACCTGTCCAGGAACCACACCGTCCGGCACGACGATCTGCAAAGCCTCCACAGGTAGGGACGGTACGTTTTGTCCCTTTGTAGCGAGCAGCAGCAGCAGGAGCAAAAGCAGTAGCAGGTGGTGGTGGTGGTGGTGGTGGTAGTGGTAGTGGTCGTGGTCGTGGTGGTGGTAGTGGTAGTGGTGGTGGTGGTGGTCGTGGTCGTGGTCGTGGTCGTGGTCGTGGTCGTGGTCGTGGTCGTGGTCGTGGTCGTGGTCGTGGTCGTGGTCGTGGTAGTGGTAGTGGTAGCGGTAGCAGTAGCAGTAGCAGTAGCAGTAGCAGTAGCAGTAGTAGCAGCACTAGTAGCAGCACTAGTAGCAGTAGCAGTAGCAGTACCACAGTAGCAGTAGCAGGAGCAGTAGCAGTAACAGTGGTAGGCAGGACTGTTTCTCAATGCCACAGTACTGCCTCCCAGTAAGCGACCCTACCCCAAACCCCTGTTGAACACCTCAATGCAACAACTGTATTGGCTGCCGTCGTCAAAAGAGAGAACCAAAACTGCCAGAGACGAACCTAAACGAGGCAACCACCAAAAGCAAAGGGAAAACACGAAAAGAACAACAAAAACACCAAAAGGCAAAGAACATCAAGAAAAATAAAACACATAATGATAACAAAGAAACTCACGAAAAATGCAACTGCAAAAAACAAACCGATAAAAAAAATAGCAACAATAAAAACAACAACAGCATAAATACACAAAAAGGTCCAACAGCAATTGGCAAACATACGGAGAAGCGACGAGGCAGAACAATGAAAACGCAACTCAAGGAAAACTAGAGCAAAGCAAACAAACACACTGCAAACACTGCAAACCGAACAAGCTTTAACAAAGAAACCCCATATCGAAACAGTTGCTGTGCAAGGAATGCAAGAACAAGTGTCATGTCACCTGTCCATCTGGTGCAGAAGGGGCTGGAATGACAGGGTTTTCCTGAAAGGAATTGCCCACACATGAAGTAAGACTACAAGAGGGAAGCGGCAATCGTCTCAAGCTCGGCGCAGCAAAGTATGGTGGTGAGCTTGGTCCAAGATTCTGTCGGCGCTGGCGCAGATGAAAGGGTGTGGATCCTCGGCCATGGCAAGCATATCAAGCATGCTTTTATCGCGTGAGTCCAGAGTTCACCGTAGTCCATATCTGCAAACACGGTTCTTGCCAACCTCCAGGAAGTCGCGAAGTTCCAAGCACCAAGCGCCTGTACAAAGCTGGCAAAGCTAGGGCAAAGCTGGCAAAGCATCAGATTGCATGTCGGCCAGACAAAGCCGCCAGGGGTCCAGCCAGGTGCCTCGTCCGTTCGGATGGTTCAGCGCACCCTTAAGCCACTGCTCCAGGCCACGTCGTCGTTCTTCCAGCTTGGCGCCCTCCGGTACGTCTCGGGGGAGTGTATTCAAGGAGCACGCGCTATTTCAAGACCAGGGCCTCACAACTGAACATGTGCTTCGGGGGGAAGCCATGCTCAATCATCGATCCACGCGCAATCCTCGCGTGGAAGGAGCGGCTACGTTCGAACGGCAGCTAATGGGAGGGTGCCCGTCCTGGCGAGTCTATCTTTCAAGGAATCGAACTCATTGTACCTCCGCTGAACCCGGTAGGTGGCACCGACCTCTGGCATGACCTCAACTTTGGTATCTTCATTTTGTCAGGTGGCAAGAGATGCTGGGTTTAAGGTCGTCCCATGCAACTCCGATGCAGCTTCGTTACCTCGACTCCGAAGTACGTCACCTGAGCATGTCATGACATGGGCAGAATCACAGCGCTCTTCTTCAGGAGGCAAGCCTGTCGATATTTGCCGCTATGCTCAGCTACGTCACCCCACTCCGCTGCTCGATTGCTGCTGGCGGTATGCCAATGGCTGCCACGGCGAGCGGAGGCATTTCCACAGCAACCGGCCCTTTCCATTTGCCTTTTCCTTTACCCTCAGAGGGTTGCAGACATGGTAGAATGCCAGCGACACGCTTGCAGAGATGCAGACAGACATGTAGCTAGAGCAGCTCGGATGCACATCCCGGCCTTGCCCTTCTGTGCCACCTGCCCAACGCTCCACGCGAACCCGAAATCATTCCAAACATGTCAAAACCTAGCGATCATCTGGTGAACAAGGAAAATTGTGCATAATCTGCAGAGACAAGCTGCTACAACCGCCGGTGGAGGACTTGTGGCTGCTGCGCCCACGGCGGCGCCTGCCCACTTGACTTGCAATTCTCACATGCCACATGCATCCACACGAACAGCGTGCTCAGCACATGCCCCTCGATGCCACATGCCTACGACAGCCCCAGCAGGTCCCAGAGCAACGGCACCAACCGCACCGCCGGCGAGAACACCTACCTGAGGACCCACAGTTCCGCCAAGCTCCAACCCCCCGTCTGACATTCTACTCTATATATATATATATATATATATTGCTGATATTGCTGTGACATGGCTCTGCCAGGAATAGAGCTGAGGAGCCACAGGTGCCACGGGCGCAGGCCTGGGCGGCGGGACTTCCACCACAATTGGCGCTGGCACAGCGCTCGGAACGACGACCTTGGATCTGGCTTTCATATGCTTTCGGACAGGCAAAGGTCCCGCAAAGCCTCGCATAGGCCTCGTCATGCTCAGCATAGGCCTCGTAGTGATCCATTCATTGTCATGTGGCCACTTCTCTGCGCGGGGGCGGCTTTCGAGGGCCAGCAACAGCAGTGGCAACTGCAGCTCCAGCGATGGCCTTGGCAACAAGGGAACCCAGAAGTGCCAAGGTGCACCGACATGAAGAATCAAACTCTGCAGCTAAGAAGCAGCTCCTCCAACCAGGGCAGCCTCAGCCACCACACCACCGATACCACCGTGATGGTGGTGGTGATGCCAGTGACCTTTCCTGAATGTTGTCGGAGTCTCGGGCTAATAATGAGTTTTTGGGGCCTTCTGCTGCAAGAGAGTGAACACATCAAGTATCAAACTGCGCATGGCTGACACTTGGCTTTGTCAGTCTGGGTTCCCCTTGCCACCCCAGCCCATGGTGACCGGTGGAGGATGGTGGAGGTGGAGATCTACAATTGGCAACTGGAGCCTCTAGCGGCTGCAGCTTTGCTAAGTCTTCCCAGTGATCAGGCAGAAGCTCGCAGACCAAGACAGCGTGGATGAGGGCGGGCCGCAGCATTGACACCGGCGTTATAAGCAAGTGCACATCCTGAAGAAGCTGTCCTCCATCATGCGCCCGTGGCAGCCTGCCCGAACAGCAGCGGGCACCTGGCCACATGACAACAGCCAACACAGGTCAAGGCGCGTGACGTCTCGAGGATGGCCACTGGCACGAGTATGTGCAGGCAAGAGAACACTCCATTGACTGAGTCGTCCCCTCAGGAATTTCCTTCTATCCCTTTGTGTATGCTGAGTATGCTACGTTTCTCGAAACCATGCCTGGCCTTGGACGCATCTCCGTAAACGGACTGCTTCAGGTCCTACTGCACGGGTGCTTACGGAAGCACAGTGTCATGTGACTGTCCCGAAAGAAGCAGCATCGGGCTTCTCTCAGATTCTCTCATTCCCTGTCCTGCACTGTTGCCATTGCAGGGAAGTAGAAGGCCTCATACTACAAGCCAAGCTTTCAACGCAGTTGCTGGACATCTGCTGAGCAGACAGCTGTGAGAGGCTTGGAGACTAAGATCCATACAGAGCCATTCTTCCAAGAAGAGAAGAGGTTCTGGGTCGTGTCCGGCTCAACCTGGCATTCGTATGAAATGCGTGTCCGACCCTGCACCCTTCCATTTCCGTCGGATTTTCTAGCCTGCTTGTCGGCAATGAATACATTGTACCTCAGGGCAGCGTGGTGGCTAAGCAAACACTTTCCGAGAATTTCTTGGAGTCTCCCAGAAGCGCCAGAAGCGCACTTGTACTGCGTCTCGGCACGCCATCGGACCCAGAAGAGTGCTCCAGGATAAAGGAACACAACTGTGTACTTCACGTTGGACCTGGCGGCATTCGGAGGCGGCTGGAGGCTGTCCGGTGCTCCTGACGAGCTCCGGGCTGTGAGTTCCAGAAGGTCTCGTACAGACGTCCCGCACGGAATCTGCGACGAAGCAATGCGAAGCTCTGGGAAGCATAGACTAGAAATGACTTGAGGCGGGAAGGTTGTTGTGACTTCTTGAGGCTGCTCGTGGATTTTCTGAGGTCGTGGCTTGAGACCCTCTTTGAGGAATGTCCAGGCCTTGTATGCTCGGATGCCACACCCGTGCTCCACAACGCTGCCCTCTTGTTCGCATTCACTCGGCCCAGCACCCATCGCTTTGGTAGCGCTGCCATACCTCGTGGTCGAGGGCAGCAGTCGACAACAAACGTATACAGGCTCCGGCTAAAGGCTTGGCCTAGACCAAGTTCCTGAGTCACGCACTTCTCCAGAGCCCCAATCAGGGAAGGCAGTGCAGGGGTTCGGAGTTTCTTGGTTACGGTTTGAGCCGCAAGGATCAACAGGGGATGGGCACATGCCTTCACAAAAACCCGACAAAGTCAGATGCAGATGCTCAACTCGACAATAGACTTCTGCCAGTGCTGCTTTTGGAAAACTGTCGGCGGTTCTCCTACAAAAGGACAGCTGCAGCGGCCGGATGCAATGATGCCGAGTGATGCCGAGTGATTCGGGGTGATGCCGCTCGCGCTAGCAGCGCCAGGGTTGAGAGCACTAATGTGGATGCTAATGTGGAAGCTCATGTGGAAGTCATTGCACAAGCATCGTGCTGACGACATCATGTCATCACGGGCTCAGCCGCGCTGGATCACGGGTGAACATGACTGCCTTGCGGATGTTGTCCAAGCCAAGGTACCTGCAGCTGGTGTAGCCGACGAGGCATCACCACCAAGAGCCGAACCGAAGGAAAGCAACCTATCAGACAGTAGCCTCAGACTGGTACGAAGGATCTGGTACCGAGGTCTGGACAGCTGCACGATGCGTTCAAGACCAAGCCCGACGCCACCATGAGGAGGGACCTCTGCTTGCAGCTTCCTTTGTCTCCCGCTTTCTCTTCGCGCGCTTTACTTTTTCTCCTCTGCGGGAGTTCTACCCCTGGTCGGTCTCTTCGGCTCCCGGCTCCGTGCCGGAAGGAGTCGATGTAGCCCCTCGGCGCATTTTGCCAAACAGAAGGTGTCCTAAAATGTCCTAAATCCAGTGCGACCCTACGCCTAAAGCCCTAAAAGCTGAGAGACCATGTCTCTTCTGAATCCCGGAGCCATGACTTTGACACCCCAGAAACGAACAGGAGAGGTGGGGGGGGTTCAGGGGTTCTGGGATGGTTTTGGGCTTCTGCAATGCCGTGGATGCTTGGGCAAGCTTTCCGCGACCTTCTCCTATACTTCTCGACCTTGCATTTTGGGGTGGAAGAAGCCCTGGTGTTCATCCTTAAGTTGCGCCACTGGCGCCCCTTTATGCCTCGCAGATGGAATCTGAGACCTGCGCTGCAAGGGCTCGGTGGGCACCCCAAGCTCCTCACATCTTGCCTGAATGCTGAGAGCAGACCTGATTCTCATGGGACAAGGGATCCAACACACGCCTCCAACAGCTCCGGGTCATGACACCTCTGCGCACCACTGCCGATCTCCTCACTCGGGCGCAATGGCATCGAGAATGCTTGGTCCACTTTCTTTTCCAACTGATCTTTGCACTGACGTGAGACGAAATGCCAGCAGCTCTTGCATCTTGCCGATGCAGAAGCTGATTGGTCTGTGAGGCCTGCCCGCGAAAGATGACGTCATAGGAGTTGGAGTATTCGGGCCTGCCACGCAGTGTGGTGCGGCAACGCAAGACAGGCTCGCTCCATTGTCGACAACCGCAACGGCAAACATGACCGGAGCACTGGTCTTTTGACGGCATTGTGTAGAAGGGCCTCATTCATCAAAGCTTCTTGCGTTGCGCAGCCGTATGCAAGCAATGAAAGCATGGCCTGACAGCAGAGGGGTACTTGTCCAAGAAGAAGAGATCCGAGCCTCCAGACAATGAGCAGCTCAATGCTCATCATTGATGTTTGATTTAAGCAATCCTAAGTTTCGAGCCATACTTCTCAAGAACCAAGCTTCCCAGCACCCTTTCCTCCTCTGTGCTGAGATCAGCCATCAAGTCCTCCCGGGACCACCCCGCACGACTCACAGAGCATCACTGAGGCATCACTGAGAGTCTCACAGATAGTCACAGCTGGCCGGGAGTGGCGCTACTTCGTCTGTAGCAAGATACAGATGAAACAGGCCCTAAAGGAATGGGAGGCAGAGGCTGCTTCCAGGCACAAGCACGTCAACGTCAATCTGGCCAAGCCCTGAGAATGAAGGAAACAACGGGCATGAGGTCTGTATTGCAAGAGGTCTCAGCCAAGAACGGCTGTGACACTCTTCCCTGCATGAACGGGTCGCAGCACATACTCCATGCTGCACCATACACTTGGCAAGAGCACGACTGTATGGCGTGCACAACCACGGAACTTGCAAAATGCACAGATCCAAACCCTTGCACGCGGCTCATTCCTTCAGGAGCGTTTAGGACCTAGGAGTATCTTATTGAACCCTATCCTCTTGCACGAATGACTTGAGAACGGGCAGCATGCTCTCGATATGCAGTCAGATGGTATATATATATATATACTCATATGTAGATATACATATATATATATATTCATATATGAGGGTTGTTCTATATTCTTGTTCCACGGCTGCCAATTAGGATCCCTTGCGCGGGCTTGCGCACGCGAGGGTTTCGCAAGTACTGGTAAGGTTCGGTAACTTTTGGGTCCTGGAAGCTCAAATGCTCGCCTCTTGTTCGCCTTCAGAGCTTGCACAGAGCTTGCGTTCGCCCTTGCGCGAGCTTGCGTGCGCTCGAGAGGTGTGCACGTTTTACTGCGACCGATTTTTTCGCTAATCGACCTCCTAAGTATCTCACAAGAACCCGCCAAGAAGAACAACCCTCATATATAGAAATAAATATATATATATATATATAATATATATATGTATCTATATATATATATATATATTCGTAGTCAAGCCATGTCAGGCCTGCATTCCCTGGCCATCCCCACGTCCAAACCGCAATCTCTCCCCGCGAGGAAAAAGGCGGCAATCACATAATTTGTGAAAAGTTTCTCTGTATGTGCTCCAACGTCAGCAAAATTCGAAGCAACACAGGCAACAGACCAGCCACAGACAGATCCTAACCGTTTGCGAGCTAAGCAGATCTGCACTCAACGTTTCTGCTGAAACATACTACGCTTCCCCGTACTGTGTGTCAAGGCGTGGACACGCGTTCACAGCTTAAGACAAAACGCATGGCATTGTATGGCACGCACAACCACGGACCATGCACCAGGACGCAAAAACAAGCCCGAACTATTGCGTGCTCAATCAGCAAACCTACGCACTGAGCCGGATTGCCTACCTATCAGAGCTGTCGCTCATCGTAGTACCGCGACGAGCCATGCAAAAAATGCCCGAGCGGGTCGCAAGCGTGAGACAAAACGTATGGCACGCACAACCACGGACCATGCACCATCACCGGCACAAGTCCGAACTATTGCGTGCTCAATCAGCAAAACGACGCAACGAATCAGATTTCTACCTATCAAGCTGTCGCTCATCGTAGTACCGCGATGAGCCATGCAAAAAATGCCCGAGCGGGTCGCAAGCGTGAGACAAAACGTATGGCACGCACAACCACGGACCATGCACCATCACCGGCACAAGTCCGAACTATTGCGTGCTCTCAGCAAAACTACGCAATGAATCAGATTTCTACCTATCAAGCTGTTGCTCATCGTAGTACCGCGACGAGCCATGCAAAAAATGCCCGAGCGGGTCGCAAGCGTGAGACAAAACGTATGGCACGCACAACCACGGACCATGCACCATCCCGGGCACAAGTCCGAACTATTGCGTGCTCAATCAGCAAACCTACGCAGTGAGCGGGATTGCCTACCTATCAGAGCTGTCGCTCATCGTAGTACCGCGACGAGCCATGCAAAAAATGCCCGAGCGGGTCGCAAGCGTGAGACAAAACGTATGGCACGCACAACCACGGACCATGCACCATCACCGGCACAAGTCCGAACTATTGCGTGCTCTATCAGAAAAACTACGCAACGAATCAGATTTCTACCTATCAAGCTGTCGCTCATCGTAGTACCGCGACGAGCCATGCAAAAAATGCCCGAGCGGGTCGCAAGCGTGAGACAAAACGTATGGCACGCACAACCACGGACCACGCACCAGCACCGGCACAAGTCAGAACTATTGCGTGCTCAATCAGCAAACCAACGCACTGAATCAGATTCCCGATCGTCGTTGCAGATGAAGCATGCAAGTTTGTGCCCCGGGTCGCACAAGCATGACATCATGCATGCACAACCCCCAGCCGCGCACCAGCACCAACATCGGCCCAGATCCGACCTACTGCCTGCTTGCCCAGAAAGACGGGCTTGGCAACACAAGACAAGCTGCGTAAACCTGCGAAAAAACCATCTTGGCAGCTTGCATCCGTTAAAAAAGGGTTGTCCAGGGGAAGTCCAAGACGCCGAGGTCCTTTCTCTCAGACCCGGAGGCCGCAGCTTCTTTCAGCATCTCCATGGCTTCGCCCCAGTGCCTCAACTCTCTGAGTCGTGGGATGTCGTGGGTTCTGCCTATACAGAGCCTGGCTTTGAAGTGCGCTGCGATGCTCTTCCCACTGAATTCTCTGAGTACAACTGGGCTCACTGCACAACGCAGGGCGGCCCAGCTGGAGATGGCATTTTGGGAGCCTGTCGCACCACGTCAACCAAGAGCTGTTCTTTACCTAGTCAATGTTACCTTTACGCATTGGCTTTCGCGCCTCAGAGGGATACATCTGCCTCACCACTTTCAGCTCCTCTGCACACTCCTGGCGGGGATTTGAGGAGCTTGGCACATTTAGAGAGCGAACATCGCAAAAAGGGACAACTCTTCTCACAGAACACTCAAAGCACCGCCTCCTCCAGCGCCTGGAACGCCCCAGACAGCGTCTCGTGAATGACCTGATACTCGATCCTCTCCATCAGAATTGTCCTTCGCCCTGCCCTTCGCCCTGCCCTTGAACTCTCTTGGGTCTCAAGTTCTCTAGATCTTGCCTGAATCACTTCGTCATAGTGCCACATGATCGGCATCTCGAAGTCGAGGCCTCACTTCAAAGCCAAGCAGCCAAGCTGGAAGGAAGTTTCAGGAAGAGGAAAAAGGCCGAGGACAAAGCCGGTGAACTCACACAAATGCCGAGGAGTGTTGGAGTTCTCCGCGCGGAACACAGGACCAATCTGCCAGCATCTGCCAGAATCTGCCAGCGACGATCCAACAATCTGTGCCTTCGGTGGATCGTCTGACCGACGTTTGACCAACAACTGCCTCAAACGCGCCGGGCATGTCTGCTGAGATGGCCATCTGTTTGTAGAGCTGCGGCGACCTCCACACTCGATGCAGCAGCAGCAGCAGCAGCAGCAGAAGAAGCATCCAGAACTGTCAAGAACGTTCGTATGATGCATCTGTGAGCCCAGCTGTGCCAGCGATGCCCTGGAGCCGAAGTAGTCTACGCGGAACACCTCACAACCCCACTAATAGAACGTCTCGAAGTGTCTCACGCGTTTTGGTATCTACTGTGAGCAGTGCTGCCTACCTCCGCGCCCCCCTCACTCTCGCCAGATATTAGCTTCGGAGAGTGGATCCTCAGTTGGCTCAATCATTGCGAGTACGTGCACTGTAACATCGGTCTCTTCTCCGTGCCAGGGCTGCAGCTCCACGAAGCCGCGCTTCGTGAGACTGTCGCGGAAAAGGCGGCAGATCGCAGACTGGCGCAAAGCAAATGTGCAGAGGAGCGATTCGCAGCGCTCAAACCTGCCCGCGTTGGCCTGGATGCGCAGCGTGGCATTGTGCGCCGGCACCTTGGCCAACACAACGCCTCCACAACCGCATAAAATGAGAGCCAAAGATAATCTAAGAAGCATGCGGGGGATTGTTCTAAGCTTGGGTGAAAATTCGGACCCCTTCTTTAAGAAACCGGCACCCTATTCCAAGCTTCCCAATAAGTGGACCCCCTTGACGCTTCGCAAGATATTGCAAGCAGAGGCCCAAGCGCGTAGATCGAGCCAGCGGTTGTCGAGGCGAAGGTCCGGAAGGACACGCACCTGAGCTGAACGAACCCATGCCGGGCCTTTCCCGATGCGACATCCGCTTCAGAGGTCAAAGTCACCGCAAAGCTCGGGTTTTGACAGTCCCGGGCTTCAATAACCCTACTGCGTGTACAGTTACACGGTCAATTCTCTACACTTGGTAACTGGTAGCCGGAGGAATCTTAGAACTCTCCAAAGCCGACCGTAAAGCCTATGGCTCAAGCCACCAAGTCTCCTGCAAAGGGCCTCTTGCTGCCCTGCGATGCTTCGATCTCTGCCTGCACACTGGATGGGCATGGATGGAGCTGTACAGATCAAGAGTCATCATCTTCGTTTCTGGAAGCTGAGCTGCGTTTGGTCTCTCCAGCTATGGGGAAGTGAAGACTTCATTTCGCTTCTTCTTTGCCATGGTATGGGCCTGCTGGGCCCACATCTCCGGTCCTCCCCGGGATCGGCGTTTGGTGGGCACGGGAGCTGCGGGAGCTGCGGGAGCTGCGGGAGCTGCGGGAGCTGCGCAATCGAAAAGAATCGAGACATGGACTCATGAGCCTCTGGAAGGGCAGCATAGCCTTCCTAGCCTTCTCCTTCCTATGCAACACATGTGTCATCAGCACTCCTCTCTTTCAGAGAAACTATGAGAGCAGATGAGAGCAGATGAGAGCAGATGAGAGCAGATGAGAGCGGATGAGAGTAGTGCAGCTTGTGGAGCCTTGGGTCGCCCAGGCTGCACAGTGCTCTCCACTTCAGCTTCGAGAGGCAGGGGGCAGCCAGTTCGGTCAGGCTCAGTGGTGGCATGGCGGAAGTCTTTGGGGTGGTTATGGCTACGCGGCAACATACCCATCCGCCAAACCCTCTCAAGCAACATGCCAGACCGCGAGAAAGCTCTACTCGGAGACCTCGCTGCGCTGCGCATCGGCCATGAGAAACGGCAGCTGCCTTTCGCGCTGCAGGTGAAGGGTCCACATCTTGTCAGGTGGAGTCTGAGGTCGGGGCGGCACTGCCCGGCTTACGCAGAAAACCTGCTTGATCTGGAGCTCCACATTGCTTTGTGTGCAGCTCGAGACATTGGCCTGCCGCCACGGCTTTCACGGAAACAAGGTAATCTCAGGACGGTCCTCGGTTCCAGTCACTCCAGTCGCCAGGCCTCGGCAAGCACTCCGCGAAGGTCGACAAGGCTTTCCTGCGGAGCAGAGCACTGCATGCACTGCTTGAACAGATTCGAGCAGCGTGAGGAGGCAGCCTACGATTTCGGCAAGTTCGGGTCCAGCGGCAGGGATTTGAAGAACTTCGCAACCGCCGTGGCGCTTTCGCCTCCATCCTCTGCATCCTTGAACTTACACGCCTGAACTGTATGAAGGCTGCTCTGCCTAAGAACCACGAAGGTTGACTTCCCCTTTACGCGAACCGTGGCCACACGAGCACGCACCCAAACTTCCGCGCCGATCTCAGGACCGCTCTCGGTACCCAAACAACGCACCGACGAGAAAGTCATGGAGGGCACTTTGTCGGACCGAATGGTCTCGTAGAAACCGACCGTCGGGGCATCGGAGGCTAAAGCCTGTTCCAGCTGCACAGTCTCAGCCACCTGTGTCGCTGCATTCGCTGCATTGCGCCAGGTGTTGGAGAAGCGCCGGCTGCGGCAGTACGCGGCTAAGCAAGCTGCCGTCACAACACGGCCTGCCTCTGCCTTGGAAAGGCCATGGCAAAGTGGCCTCTGCCTGCTGGAGGCTGACAGCGTCGATCTTTGCCCTGTTGGCAGCCGCGGCGTCACTGCAGGAAATTGACCGGTATTCAGTCTTCGCATCATGTCTAGGTCGGAGGGTCAGGAAAGACATGAATGCTTGGGATGGTGTCCATGATATCCGATGTTTACTTCTTTCAAATCCGTAGAGCTTCAAGCTAGACAGGGTGGATAACAGCCTGATAACAGCTACCTTGAGCAGCTTGTGCCATGCTTGAGGCCCTCGTTCTCACTTGAGATTGCTCTCGAATCCTCACCTTCTTTGCTCAAACACAGCAGCAAAGCCAGCCACTTTGCCGAGTCGTAGTGGCTGCTCGATTGGAATTGCTCCCAAACCACGGTGAGACAAACGAATTGTCAACTTTGGCCTCTGAGGCCTCGGGGGCAACTGCTCTGAAGGCACAGCTGATGGCAGAGGGGGGGCGGCCTAGGGTTGAAATCGTGGTACTCTCGTCGTGGCAACCCTTGCTTCATGAACTGAAAGTGCATTCGGAAGCCATTGCCTGTGGACCGGGCTGGTCATACGGATGCGTTTGAATTGGGCCGTGTCTCCCGATCGGGTTCGACTTCCGTTCATTGCCAGTCATTGCTGCGTTGGCATGTGCTGGCATGGCTAGCAGGCTTGTCGAAGAGCGGGACTCAGCAGCCACGGCACAGAAAAAACTAGAACAAACTGCGACGAATTATCTGATCGTTTTGAGCAACACCACGAAGAAGCAGTGTTGGGCTTCAAGGCAGGTCTCAGATGGCCTTTGGCCTCACCCATAAGCTCGAAAGTTCAGCGTTGACAAGGAAGGGCTGGTAGCTCTTCGCCTCTGCATGGTGTGTAAACATGGTGCAGGCAAGTTAAAGTGCAGCTGTTCATACACACGGGGGCTGCTAGGTGTGCTGAGCTCCAGCCTCAACGATAGCGAGTTGCATTATATTGTCTGATCCTGTCCTCGCAGCACGGGCAACATCTTACAGTACACCCTCCTGCTTGAACAAAACCAGCAAAAGTGTCCTGTACAGAGATTGGCCGGGATGGAGGTGAGTACGTCATCGGGTGCCCTGTCACTCCTGGTAAAGTGTTCCGCATGTCAGTTGAATAATGGTTGGACATATCACAAGAGAGGAGCGTGGAGGACGAGAAACAGCACCAGTTCTTCGCCCTTGTCGCCGCTTCGTCGCTTTGGGACGCAAGCGCGGAGACTCATGGTCGGTCGCGCAAGCTTTACAACTTGGCCTCCTCGAGTGATCGTGTAAGCCTGACCTTGGAATGCTGCTGACTCACGGCCAGGCTTGCCGAAAATGCCGTGGAAACAAAATGCCGCTGCATTGCCACACTCACAGGAGCCAGGCGCTTGATGGGAGACATGCCGAAGTTTCTGCCTTGATCCTGCAGGCAACAGCATCCAAACGATGAGCACGATTAGCGCAGCAAAAGGTTTTGCCTGACGTGGATATTCAAGTCATGCATGATCCAAATAAAACATGCCTCAATGCGTGTAACATTGGGAGACGCGCTCGGCGTCCTGGCCACAGATACATTCGGAACCAACCCTTCCGCTATCTGCTCAGCAAAAAACAGCTGCTCAAACATGACGGCAGCACTCAGGCTCTGGTTCCACCTGGGCAGGAGAACCCGAAACTAAAGAAACAAGTAACGGACCCACAAGAATCTGGCCTGGAAAGCCGTGCGCGATGAGCTTTGTGTGACTGTCCGCATGGTTCGGGCCACCTCAAAGCTTCAGAGAAAGCTCTGCTGCGCTCCTTGCATGTTCAAACACCATGAGAAAACTGAAGCCAGGATGTCGGCAGGTTGACCCTCACGAGAACCAGCACGAACCGCGGACGTCACGGAGATGTGGCCAGTCGATACAATCTCAATTTCAATCACACGGCAACAACTCAGCAGTTACGCAGTGTTCTGGGCCGACTTTGCGCGTCACGAAGCGGCATCTAAGGACCCAGCAGGGACTGAGGCCATAGGCCTTCGAACTGTACAACAGGAAGAGGAGACACTGGGCGCCTCAGGATGGAAGCACCAGGATCACCAGGCAGATTCGCAAGCATCTGAGCACACAAACATGGGAGAGGTGTGCGAGAGATGTGCGAGAACCCTGCTGCAGCGCCGGGGAAGACCAGCTGACGGTTGATCGGTGCCACGTCCCTCAAAGTTGCAAGGCTCATACCAAGGGCATGGCTCAAAAAAAAAAAGGTCGAGAGCTGCCTCGTGGTAGGGGCACCCTGGCTGTTGCTCCTCTTCTCGATCTCAGAGACCATCGTGCGAACTGGCGCAGCCTCAGACTGTTGAGGCTCATTCTTGCGAGTTGGTAGTTCGGGTTGGGACTCGCGGCCTGGGATTATCCAAGATATTTCTACAGAGTTCAGAAATCCCATGATAGCCCCTCCTCTCTTACCACACCTAGTCAGTACGGTGTCACGCACTTCCGTTCCTTCTCGAGCGCCACCTGGCCAAGCAGCATGGGAACCGCCGGAGTCCAAAGTCACGTCACGCTGACTTGGCACACGCTGCCGAAGGTGAGGCCTGGCGTCGCAAGGGAACTTCCAAGAAAAAAAAGCGCCGGGCAGAGCTGGGCAAGGCAAAGCCGTGTTGAAACTCGTCTTCACGGAAGAGGTGGAGTTATCGTGCTGAGCTCAGCACGACGAAGGGTGCATGGTGGTTACACCTGTCGGGGGCCTGCAGGCACTGTGACATACCCCACAACCCATCGCTGTAGCATCTGCAGCCATTGCCCGGAAGGCCCCTTGGCGGCCGACATCCAGGAGGCATGTCGGGGCGACCTCAGACAAAGTGACAGCTTGTCGGGAGATGCTGGGAGAAGCAGCCGCAACGCTGCCACCGCAGCCCTCAGCTCATGCAAGCACCGCGCGCATGTCTCGTTCCGAGACCACCGGCCGGCTGCCTGACACTCTTGACATCTCTTGACACTGATGATCCGGAGCCGTCGCGATCGCACTCCGGCAGCACTCTCTAAACACATATAACACGTCCATGCCATGCGAAGCAGATCGGCACCGCCTGGCCGACAAGGGAGAGGCGGAGACCTGCATGGGTTTTTCAGGACAAAGGAACCTCCGCAGGCTTAGCAAAGTCACTGCGTCACTGCGTCACTGCCTGTCCAACTCCAACTGATGTCATGGAGGAGGTGGGCGCCATGCTGGAGCAAGGGGCAGGTGGCGCCTTCCGCTTGACTCGCTTGACTCACTTCGGTGTCTGGAAGCATCCGAATTTGCCGTGGACACTCGAGGATCAAGGCCTGCAAGCTCCCGGAGAGCACACCTGAAACCTCCGATCGGACTTGATGGATGGCACCGAGCACTGCCAGAGTCTTCCAAAGGCCGTGGCTGTGTTGGGAACAGATGGTGTGCGGTGCCCGCTGTCACCAGCGTACGTGCGGGAGATGCCTCGGATCACTGAGCAGATAGAAAGTGGGCGATACTACCTCGACAGGCAACCGCTGCCACGAAAGCTGATAGGGCCCACGCCTGTTGTGCTACCACTGAGGCCTGATTCCTGGTACAGGGCCCAGCAATGAAATGAGGAAATCGCAGGCTACTTGCACTCAGAGACACCACCTTGTTGGCAGCCTCCGATTTCAGCTTTCTGCAGTGCTCCTGCAGGCACAAGTCAAACAGGCTGCCGTTGACCGCATTGACTCCTGACTTGTGGCGCTCCTCCAGCTCCTTAAGCTTGCCCTGCAGGTCGCAACTCGTGCACCATCGTTAACCGTTAGCAATGCAAAAGGCATAATTTGAAGCACAAGACATGCATACAAAAGCACTTCAAAAACATACCAAAGCTTCCAAAAAACACACAAGAAGCATACGGAAGCATGGAGCTTGCCTTCAAACTGTTGGTACTTGCCTTCTCCAAGCGGAGGTTCTCCTGAAAGCAGTGGCAGAGTTTGTCAGCAATGGTGAAACTTTTGCAGAGTATGCTGGTGGGCTTTTGTTGATTGACGGCAGCTAGTTTGGGAGAACAAATATCCGAATGTCAGCATCTTGCCATGCTTACCGGAAGGACCTCCAAAACTTTGTTGATCTCTTTCTGTGCTCGAAGCTCCTCCTCACAAATCATTCAGAGCATGTTGCTCATTCAACAACTTCGCTTCACCAGTACCCACTTAGCAGCATTCATTTAACAAAAATGTCTGACAAGATTGCATGTTCTGGGCAGCTCTCCTCTTTCTGCCTGGCGTCCTCTGCGGACTGCACCTGCTCCCACCCAAACAAGGGCATTGCACATGACAAATTACAAATTACAGATTTTCCAACTTCGGAGTGTTTCGATTGAACATGTACTCAGTAACTGTAGCAAATGTACTCAGAAGCCTCTTCTCTCTTTGACTCAATCCATGATGCTGAGTCCGAGCCTTGGAAAGCTGGAGCTCCTCGCATCTCTTCATCAAACCCCGCCGTTCGTGCTCCCAGTCGTTTTTCTCTTTCTGCAGGCCCTTGCGACGAGAGATGATGCCTTATGATGCCTTACAAGTTCCTATTGGTATCTACTCCTTGGGTACCGGTGACTCGCTGTGGGTTTCCAGTAGGCTCTGTAGACTCAATATGAGAGAAGGCTGCCTTGACCGCTTCCTCCAAACGTCGACGCTCGGCTTCCACCTGCCATTGCAATGCACAGTGACCCTGCTGCATGCTGCAATATGTAATGGTCTGCAGCGGTCACTTTCGAGTCAAGACGGCCTTTCAAGTCTAAGCTGCAAGGATCCCTCTGGCACTGTCACGCCGGCCCACTGGTGAGGGAGAACGCTATCGAGGAGGCGCTTGGGATCGTAGCGCTTGTCGCGATGGCCTCGCTAAAACCTCTGACCGAGCTTGTCCAGGTGGATCGGTGACGATGAACAACTACCGGAAAGTTGCCTTGCCATCGTGCGCCTGCCCCATGTCTCAAGAAATTGCCTGGAATTTTGGGGAGGCCCTTCTTCTTCATCTCTTCATCTCTTCATCTTCACTTCCACACATCGCCAGGGTGTTTGCCGGCACGCACATGGCCGCAAGCCTCACACCTTGCTCACAGAATAAAGGAGGAAGCCCTGCTTCTGTTTCCATGCCGAAATCGAAGGCCAAGCTTCGTGGTGGTCACTTCGAGCCTCCACAGGATCGAAACACGTCGAGACAACTGGGGCGGCTGCTGCGCTGCGTACATAGAGAGAGAGAGAGAGAGAAAGAGAAAGAGAGAGAGAGAGAGAGCGAGAATATAGATTCTGAAAAAGATATAGATATCTCAATATTGCGGACTGCCTGTTGTGCTGGAGTAGAGGCGATGAACGGGCCAGTGCACTTTGACGTCCAAGCGGCAGCTGGGGGAAGCGCTGGAGTAAAGCCGACCTTGCCTGCGCCGCTTCGGCTGCAAAGGCCTCCGCAGAGAGACCGGCAGAGATGCCACCCTTGTCTGCATGGAAGATGCCGGGGGCATGCCTGGCCAGGGATTTCCCCGAGGATTCCTTCAAACTGATCGATGATCTCTGTACTTCCACCTCTGACATCATAGCATGTTCAAGCCCAGGATAGCCCGGGCCTCTTGTACACCTGAAGTCGGCCCAACCGCACCGTCACGCCGTCTTGCTCATAGAATCGGCAGGACCGCTCCACATCATCCAGCACCTGCCCGAACTGCGAGTACCGAGACTCCTCGTGGCTTGCCACCATGCCAAACGCCGCCCCATACCTGAAAAACACGGATCAGCAGTCTGATACGGAGTCTCCACATACCTCCACATCCGACTACATCCTGGATACGCTGCACTGTGGAGGCGCATGCTCACACTTCAACTTGGGAGCGAGCACAAGCCCAATGCCCACATCCACCTCGTCACTCCAGTGTGCAGGGTTGGGTGAGTCGCTGACCTTATATGCCACAGAAGTGAAGACTGTTAAAAAAGAGGCTTGGGCGGGCCCCTAAGACCTCTTAAGCCTCCAGGTGCACCACGCCACTGACCAGATAGATGCACCCGCGCGCTTCATGCGCTGAAAGCCCAATCCCACGAGATCGTCCAGCCCAGATTTAAGAGTCTTGCCGCGATCCATGAACTTCAGGATATTGTCGTCCAGCATCATGACCCGCGTGCCTACATGGAAAGGACGTAAAGGACATAAAACTCACTCCAACATACCCCCGACTGAAGCGCGCTTGTGTGTACGTCAAGCTGAGGCCTGCCTTTTGGCATGATCTGGTCGACAAAAGCCACTTGCCGCTCGGCTCCTCTGACACCGATAAGGATTCGGTCTTTCCATGGTCCTGCATTCTCGCGATACTTCTCCAGCTCTGGATCGTCTGCTGCCAGAGCCAAGAAGGAGCAGCCAAGACAGGGCAGCAACTTCTCTAAAATACCGCATGTCATCTGCCTGAAGGAATCCGCTCGCCCGAAGCTTCGAATGACATATACATGTGAGTACTGCTCGCCCTGTCTCATGCAGACAGCATTCTCAGCCATGGAGCGACCAGCTTGCAGCAGGTCAAGCGGAAAGCATGCAAGCTGCCCTCGTCCGGTCGAAGCATCCGGCAGCTTGGAGTTTGCGTGGCTCGTTCTGCAAAGTGGAACTGGAGCTTTCCCTGTGTGCGCCCCAGCAAATCCGAAACGGGTCCAAAATGCACTTGCAAGTGCCACAAGGACCAGTAGGACGTACAACGAACTCTTCGAAGTCCCCATGGCACCATGCCTAAACTACCTGCAAAGGCATTTCCTCGCCGGCAAGTACCCGAATATACCAACACGTACCGCTGACCTGCCGCGGCCTCGTCTTAGAGGGATCAGCTTCAGTATCGAATCTTGCGATGTTAGCTGGCACTTGAACCCAGACCGTGGCTCCGCGTACGCAAGGCAATGGCTCGGTTGTGTGGTGCAGATCACCCGACTGCGCCACACGCGCCCCCGGCAGGCAGCCCTATGGACCCCTTCCCGAAAGGAAGAGCAACAAGGAGATGCAGGAGATGCAGGGGCGCAATATGCCCCAACGGACCCTCTGCAAACTAAACTGCTAAGCCCTCAAAAATCTCAAGACAAAACTCAACAAAAAAAAGGCTTAACGCCGCAGCAAAAACACCCTGACTCTCCAAAACCCCCGGCAACTTGAAAACTCTCGACTCCATGAGAGAACCGAAAGGTCACAAGCTAGGAATTGCATTCGGCCGGGGCGGGGACCCCAAAACCCTAGGCCCCAACCATGAGCCTCTGACTCTGACGACTCTGACATCAACTGACCATGGGAGGATCTGAATGACCCTCAAACCTGACGGTGAGGCAGCTTCCAATCGCTGCTTGGCCTCTGCCTAAAAGGGGGGTGGTGGGGGAATCCGCGCTTAAGTGATGCGGGCGTGCTTGGGCGAGCGAGCTCCCCAGTGCTGCTGAGCCGGACACGGAGACTTTTCGGTGCTTTGCCTGCACATGATTCACATGATACTTCGATGAAATGCTCCCCAGAGACCTGGCATGCGGGGGATGACAGCCATGGCCTGTGGAGAAGCCACCGCCCGGTGGTCGCTGGTGTACAGGGCCCTGGCAGTGTGCAGCAAGCTTCATGTGTGGGAGGACAGGAAGCCTCCAGCAAACCATCGAACTCGCGCCAGGGCAACGAGTTTCTCCTCGAAAAAACCGCTCAACGCTAACAAAGAATCGCAAATTCCAGGTGGCAAACACTGTCCTGTCATCATCGTCCTCATCCAAGTAGTCGCCTGCTCGCGTTATATTCACGTTGAAACTTCCAAGTGTGATTTTTCAAGCTCATGACACGCTTGCCCACGCAGAGTGCCTCTTGGAATACGATTAATACAGGATGCCGGGAACCAACCAGTATTTTCATCACCATCCTGGCAGCGCAATTTGTTTGAGGGACATCTTCGAACTGCGCCGTCTGACCCCAACTCGCAGATGTGGCACGTGCAGGCTGCCTTGTGGCCACCGCACCAGCCGTCGTCCTCTTCAAGGACCTGTTCTTCAAACAGATATTGCTGTCAGGTCGTGCAGCATGTGCAGCGGACATTGAAACACGAGCCACGTACGCCGAGGCAGATGCCCACACGATGTCACCCACGTTGAGAGCGAGCTGTCCGGCTTCCTGCTTGTGTTCCGGTCTTCGGGTCTTCTAACAAAATGAAAGTTGGCAGCCGTTGCCGAGGTGCGCACACCCTGTGGTGGATTGTACCTTGCACATGTCCAGTCCACGCCAGCCCTTCTCTCTCATGGGACGGACAAGATTTCGTGACCGTCGCGTGACGTTTTGGCATATGCCCCCTGGCCTTGCACGGACCTCCGCCCTCGTCGCGTCATTGATCGGGTAGTCCCATCTGTGAGCAGGAGGGTAGTGCGCACGGAGACACGTGCGCAGCTGCATCTGCAAGTAGCTCCCTGACTTAGTCGGAAACCGGCTGTGCTGCTGTCGTTGCTCCTCTGTTTGCGTCGTCATTCCACCTCTTGGCCCACCGGTGCGCTAGTGGTTTCACCGGCGGACGTCCGAGGATCAGGCCAGACACGCTCCTAGAGGGCACCGCAAAGGCGAATAGACGTCGCCCTCCGCACTGGCAATTTTCGAGCCAAACAGCGAATGCACTGGATACTTGGGCAAGGTGAGAGCGCAAGTTGAAACGAAGATGATCAAAGAATTTCGAATCAACTCTCCAGCTGAGTTCATGCTGACCGTGACAACCCATGCTCAGGAATTTGTGCAGGGCGCTCACTTTGTCGCGCTATGCTCTGGCTGGCCTCCGCCATTCAGCAGGACCCATCCAGCTCCTGAAAGTAGATGTGCTGCACAAGTGACAAGTGCCAAACCAGTGCCACATAGTTGTGGAATTGTGCACAGACAGAGAGAGGTGACAATGGCTGCTTCGTGTTCAAGGGGTATCCCAGGTAAAAAGCGGCAGTATTCGCGTCGTTTCCGCTTGCTTTTGTTTCTTGGGTGGAGGGGGGAAAGTGTGTGTGTGTGTGGCAGTGGGCAAACAATAAACAGTCAAAGCACCAAACCCTATGAAGCTCCAAAACTCAAGAATCTAAAAACCTCAACCCCCAAAACCCTCAAACACCCTCCAAACCCTAAAGACCCTACGCCTTAACCTTAAACCAAACTGAACCCCATAAAGTGCAATAAACTGCCAAAGCACGTAGAAACGAACCTGACGTTCCTGTTCCCCTTTCCTCCGTTACTTGCTTGGCTACGGTTCATGCTTCTTTCTTTTCCCTTTCTGGTGCTTTTCTCGGCTTCGTACAGGCACATCTGTCATACGTGCAACTGTAGGAAGGGCAAGTGGCAACATCTCCCTTGAAGACAGTGTGTTTCATTCCCAACTTTGCACCTGTCCTTTCGAGCATTCGACTGTCAAACTTTTTCTTCCGTATCCTCTCCTCCACCTGCATCCAGGACTACTCTGGCAAAAGCACTGCCAAGAGCATCTTCACAGGCGGCCTCTGGTTGCAGAAGCTCCTGCATGTTCCTCACCTTGAATTCGAGGAGGCAACGGGCATGGCTGTCCACACCACCACACACTGCTTCCTGACCTGCGTCGACTAACTTCTCCGAGCGGCGCCCCGGAGCGATCCGTCTTGTGGCCAGGCCCAGAAGAGGGCCGCCAGGCTCCAGTCGGGCATCTTCTTCAAGAAGCGAGTCTGCCTTAGGCTGATGCCAGTGGATGCACTCCCGGCGGTCAATTTTCCTGTGCTTGCTGGGTCGCTGCAGCCGCTCTGCAACAACATCAAGCAGCCTGTTCATCTGCAAGTCCTGCCACCACCCGGCAGGGAGGTGAAAGGCCCAACAATCGTCTTTCAAATGGTCGGAGATGGGATGGGGATGGCTTGAGCCCCTCCGGAAAAAGAGCATGGTGACAAATTGAATTCCAAGAACCCTTTTCTGCTTCCATCCATGGCAGTTTCCAGTGCCGAGGACGCAACAAATCCAGCGCAACCGCCTGTTGCAGCATTAAGTTTCTACGGTTGATTTCTCAAGCTCGTCCTTGAAGCCCAAGCGCGTCAGCGACATGACAATCCTTGGCTGGAGATGCGGCACGGCTGGTATTTTCCACGACTACGCAGAGTTTAGACGCAGTGACGATCAGACCAAGCATCATCGGCAAGTCCATCTGCGCTTCCTTGACTTTCGACTCGGCTGCTCTCTCAGCAGTGATCTCGGCGATCATTCCCAGCATTTCCATGTCCCTGCAAATCTGCTGCAGGCATGAGCCGACAATTGCCCAGAGCACTACTCGTCACTGTATTTGGGATCGTGGCACTTCCCCCTCCCTTTTGCCATTGGCCTGAAGTCCAACTGCGAAAGGCCAAACGCAAAGTTTGCGATGTCCTTCTGTCCAGAAATTCGCGTGTGGAGTGCCGGTGGAACGTCAGCAGCAGCAACTGGCAGTAACCGGGATGAAACCATTGTTCTTCCCTCGAGTCCTTCAGCCGAAGAGCTCGAAGCTCTTGCTTTTGAAGACGTTTTGGAAAAGTAGCACTGATTTGCGCGACCTGGCAGCTGCTATTCGAGAAGCTGCGTCGCATGATCTCGTGCAGGTGGAAGCTACTATGGGCTTCTATGGAGACCCTTCTGATACATAGTACATGATACATCAGATCATCAGATCCTTTTCTTGTGTTACATCCCATGCGACGCCTCGTCTTGTCGAAGGTCTAGCCTCAGGTACGAGGGGCTTTCTGGCTTGCTGACACCTCTGATATTATGACGACTGAGCACTGGACTTGCCTGCTGCCCAGATGAAGGTTACGAGATGCCTTAGCGTGAAGGGCAGCGCGAAAACCAGACAAGCTCCGTGACATCGGGCGAAGTCAACAGCAACCTGTAGATCTGAAGCTGGCAGGGTGGTCTGCCATCTAAACGAATTATGGGTATGCAACACGAAAGGCGAGCACACTCATCTCTCATGTTAGTGAAGCGAAGTCACCTCGGCTGTAGGTCGGCTGCCTGCGGCATTGGTCGTATGAGCGGGGAATTCATTCAGCACTGAACGGGTTGTTGGAGGATCAGCTAGAGTCAAAAGATGTCAGGGCAGCAGACATACTGCGTACCGGATGTGCACGGATGACCCGAAGCCTTGAGCAGAATTGCTCTGAGCATAGGCGGAATCATGTCATCGACCTACAGCTCAGCATGCTGCTCTGCCTTTTATGGAATTGTGCACAGTCCGACCACTGCCTCCTCCGCCAAGGGCTGCAAGTTGGCAGCTGAAGAAAAACAGGTGGTCAGGTTCTGTGCGTTCATGTCCTGGCTTGCCTGCATCTTCGCATCACAGGGATTTCTGCATTGCACCAGCCAAAGTTTGCAGCCACTTCACAGTCCTCGATCACAGCATCACGAAGAAACGGCAACAGGGGAGCGATACGTGACACTGACAGTCTCGAACATGACCACCTCGGCCACACGTGCACACTGTGGCCACATGTGGCCACTGGCAGCAAACAGGCTAGGGGGAGGATTCAGGGTTGGTAGGCCCGCCGGTCCACTACGGTCTGAATTAGTAGTTGCATACCTTGCCTATTTCAGTTCGGGCATACCTTGCCTATTTCGGTGCATGGCAGCGCACACATACCCTCCCGCACACCCAAACCCCATTTTGCACTCATTTTTCCAGCACCTGCGAATCACCAAAAATTTTCTCAATGAGCATACCACCAATTGTCCACCACTTTTTCCAACTTTTCAGCCTCATTTTGGTATTCTCAACCAGGCACCATGTGCCCCCAAGTGTCCAAACCCCCAGCGTCCCATTTTTCAACGAGCACACCAACAGCCCTCACCCACCAAATCGCGCCATTTCCCAATCAAAAACTCAGACTTTGCCACACCAACCCTTTACGAACTGCACCCGCAAAGCACTATGCCACGACAGTTTTTCATCAAAGACGCCACCATTGATCCACAGCCTGATCTACAACTATGCGGGTGGCTTCCTTGTAGAATTTGGTACACTGACCCCCTCCCCCTGCCCTGTGGGACGGCCCCCCGGAGCGCTTGGCAGAGCCGCAGACCAGTGCAAGTATAGTCTATTTCGTTTCTCTTTAGGCTGTATATTTGTTGACAATGTGTTTGGCTTGTATGTTGTCTGCGTTCAGGTTTGTGCAATCCGCATATATCTATTTATGTATACATATATCTTTAAATCTTATTCCTCAGAAAATTATACTCTCAAGGTTTACTGGATAACGATTATTTGACAGACTTATCTAAGCATGCAGAACAAGTCAAAGTGTATTGAACATAATTGTAAAAGTGCTTACTGACACAGTATGTTCGCTTGAAACAATGCATCTGCCTGACTTGCTTACACCGATAACATTTTTCTAGCGATACTGACATCTGCTTCACAATATGCATCAAAATCAACTAATATCTTATTTTTGATGGCATTATATTCTTAAAATATATCTTATCATAATGTGAGATTTTGAAAAGGCGTTTGTCGGAGCAAGGAGATTCGACTTTTCTAGATGTCTGGGCAGGGTCACAGTACAACCGCGCTGTTTGTTTCTTTCCTTCAGCTGCCTCGAAAACTTCAAAGCCTGCTCGCGCCCACAAACCTGACAAGGTCATGGCACCTCCTGAAACCTTCCCCCTGCCCTTCAGAAGATTTGGCCCGCCTAGCATGGCACTTTCTTTCGTTCATTCATCCTGCGCTCTTTCTTTCAATCGCTGTGTCTTTCTATATTTCCTTCTATGTATGCTTGCTTACTTGCTTGTTTCCCTGTGTTTCTTTCTGGATGTCATTGTGTATCTATTTCGTTCTTTCCAGGGGGCTTCGGGGAGACGCCCGATGCGGTTCGTGCGCCTCCCTCTCTCTGCCATGTAGGCGCTGGCTATATGGTCCTAAACCCTGCGCCCAAAATCAAGCAAAACCAACTAAAATCGACCATATCATCTCAAACTGCCGTGTAATTCGAGGGGCATCAGCGACGCCGCGACCAATGGGTCCGCCTTCTGCCCGGCAAGCAGGTCCTGGAGCGACTCCAGCAGGTCCTGCGGTTAGGGAGCGTGGGTGCATGGGTGCATGTACCTCAATCCAGCGTGAAATATGCGTGTCAACCCAGCGAGTCAACTCTGCGCGGCACTTGCAAGAAAAGATCTTGGATGTGAACTTTGCAGTTGCCGAGATCTCCTCTGTTGGAGCCTCCCGCTGAAATGCATGCCTCCAGACCAGCAAGTCTGGTCATATGTAGCGGCTATGTAGCGGTTGAGAGAAGTTCCGGTAACACCAACGCATGTTCCGCGCACTTACATTTTGTACTTAACCCAACATCCACATTCTAGCAAAGCGTCTGTTTCAATGCCGCTGCCGCCGCTCGGAGAACTTCCGCATCACCCGCCCCAACCAGATCCTGAAGATTTCCAGGCTGCTGCTGGGTGCTCATAACATCCTCGTTGCTCTGTTGCACAGTTCAGGTTCACATGCCCCGCGATACTGGCTTGACGCTTCTAACTTGATTGCTTTTGAAGGCTCATGCAAATGCTCCTGAAGGCACAACCGAAAATCACTGAAGGATATTGCAGCGAACACGGACCATGAGCCAGCTGCACGCGACATTGCACAGTCCCTCACATCAAGAACACCGAGGGGCCGTGGACAGCTCCTCGTCGAGTGCTTTTACCTGGACATGACTAAGTTGTGAAGGGGTCGGAGGCCATGATCATCCAGCCCGAACTTAGTTACTTGGATCGGTGACGACGAACTGAGGATCTCGAGAACGATCCCTGGGCATTCAGCCGTCCGAGTTGAGCAAGCTTTGTGTAGTGAGGGATAGTAGCATCGCCTGATGAGCAGGACATCCTGGGTTGTGGGGTCACTGTTCCCTGACAAGACCACGAAGGAGGAGTGCTCACGGACACCTTCTCTCGGCGGGTCGTACCAGCACTCCGTTTATTTGTAAGCGAAACAGTCTTCCGTGTTGCTCCTGGATCCAAACCAGTTTGGTATTGAGAATCGCACCACCTATCACCCATCCAGGGGACTATCCGCACAAGGCTTCTGAACCTCAAGTACAAATCGCCCTACATGCCCGTTGAAGTCTCTTCTTGCCGATGCGAGTCGCTTTGAAGCCTGCGTTGGTCAGTTCTCCTCGAACCATCGCGCTAACCTCGGCGCCATAAGTTCAAACACTTCGCTGCAATGTCATGCACCTCCTCGTCTAGCAAATGATTTTACCTGTATATCGCAAAGTGGTGGTAAACAGAGAAAGCAAGAACGGTGTAATTTCAGAAACATTTCAACCTGGGTGTCCAAAACCCAAGTTTTCAAAGCTCTTTGAGACTGGAAACTGGAAGCATTTCTTGACCATCGAAAGGACTACCTGAGACCTCAAGCCTTCGTGCGGCCGTATCGAAGCTAGCACCATTAGAAATCTGACGCTCCGTGCCAAACTCTTCCCACATCTGCACATTGTGGACTTGGAAGTTGGCAGGAGTACTTAGGAGCAGGCTGGCATGTATGTAAAGTGACAAATCGGCGACAGCACTTCTTCCATCAGATCTGTTTGCTTTGGTGATCTGAGTCAGACGTCTCGGACATGAGGTTCATCAAGAAAGAGAGCTCGCCTGCCAATACCGGGGAGGACCCATTTGTGCTTTTTGAGGTTGAGTTGTCCACACATGCATACCATACGCCCCTGCTACCACTTAGGTACTGACTTGAAGCGAGTGTGCGCAAAAAGTACTCAAAGAAACTTCCATTATAATCAAACCTTTCTATGCAGTGCACGCACAGACAAGAAGCTAGAGATAGTGCTGGAAAATTTCACACAACAACTGTGGTGTTCCGTCTTAGGTTTCGGGTTAACACAGTTAGTCCTTAACCATTCATTCTTCAGCGTGGGAGAAGTCAAAATTACCGTTGGTAAACCGCTTAGTCATCCAGTATTAACGTCTTCCCTCAAAGCATCTAAGGACCAGATCTTCAACACAGTTTGCCTTCGCATTGATATGAAAGGAGGAGTCAAGGTCATGACCTATTGACACATCTCATGTAGCACCTCTTGGTCTACGAATGCCGAGTTCTTCCTCCCCTCGTGCAGACTCTTTCATCTATAGATATGCAAAGCAGAAGCGTTACATTTTCGTGTTCGTGAAGCTATGCTGGTTGCTGAATGCCCCCCTCTTGCAAACACAAAACCATACCAAACCGTAAAGTATCCTGCACTATCCAACAAACTTCGAGGGCAACATGGACTGCTTAAAGTAATTGCAGCAAACTCTTCACGACTGGCACTGACACATGCAGCCTGTGTTCTGATGCACTAAAGTAACACAGTCGACGAAAAGCAGAACAGTTCTGATTCCGAAAACTCTCCTTTTGAGAGAAGCATGAAAACACACAACGAAAGCAAATAGCGATAACGAAAATGTAACTTTTGGTGCGCTGGGTGCGTTACAGACCATGATCGACATGCAACATACTCCAATCTTGTAACAAAAAAGGGCAAGGACAAACACACAGTTCTAACATAAAGCAAACAAAAACAACAAAAGGCAGCAGACATGGCGTTTGAGGGCATGAAAGAAGGAGGTGACGAAGTCAGTACCCTTTGCAATACAAACGGATCAGCCACGGGCGCGCTCTCCATGGATTGAGGGGGGACGGAGAGGGGAGCAGCTTCCTGCAAGGTCCATCAGCCCCACAGAAGCGTGAGAGAAATCCCCAAAGCAATGCAAAATCTCTAAGCAAATCTCCAGCAACAAGATCCAACGTTAAAAAGATGTTAGGCAAACAAAGTCTAGCGGAGCGTGTACCAGCAAGCTCAGCCGCACGAAGAAGAATACGGGAATAGCAAAGAAATGCATGAACTCCGAGAGTTGGATTGTTTTTGTGGTTGTCGTCTGCTCGCGGGTCAACCGGCTGCCAGCAAGAAGCTGCATCAAGGTCGAGCTTGTCCTGGTCTTGCCTGGAAGGCTCCATGTTCAAAGCCGACCTGCACACCAGAGATCTGTAAAGGCTCCAGTACGGCCCTGCCACACAACATGCAAGCATATGCAAGCTCCCGCGCAACTGCCCTCGGGCCTTGTGAGCTTCGGCACGCCCAGATCATCTTCCAGCTCTTCGGACTCATCGTCCTCCAAGTCCTGCCTCTCCTGAACTGACGAGGGATCTAGTCCCAGCAACTCCCGTTCCATCGAAACACATGTCCTCGGCGGATACTTCCCACGGGGCCAGAGAGCTCTTCACAAAGACCCTGTACAAGTGTGCAGTTGCACATTGCTGGCGGAAGTTTAGCTGCCTTGTGACATGTTGAAATGCATTCGGATCTGGGCCGCAAACTGTCCCCTTGCACGAAGCATGGGTACGCCGAAGCAGGGAATGTCATCTGCATCCGCTCAGGCGTGCAAATCTATCGGCAAGTGAGGGTCCCTGTGTGGGAAGTCTTTCAACATCTTTAGAGCAAGGCCTGGCCAAGAGCCTCGTCGCAGAATCGCAAGGGCTACAGCAGCCAGTGCCTCGGAAACAGATAATAATACAGCTTTTCGGGCTTGCCCTCTGTGCAACCGGTCGCCAGTGTTCTGGCACAGAGCAACAAAACCGCTCCGTGGGGAGGTTGGGAGGGTTACGGCTCTCTGCCGACAAGTCTCAAGAAGAGCTAGATGCCTGGCAACCGTGTGGGCTCGTGACTTTCTGTGTCTTTGGTACTGGACGAATGCCGCAAAATCGCAACTTTTCTGGCTAGCGCTGGCCTCCTGCGCTGGGTGTGGGTTCTCCGATCAGCATCCATGTCGTGTAGTTGAGGGGATAGCCGAAACCAAACATAAGCTAGCCCAAGTGCGTAGCACGTGGGCCTGAACCCTAACCCCCAATCTTCAACTCCCAAAGCCCCAAGACCCTGAACCCTCTCAAACCCTGAGCCCTTGAGCCCCTGAACCCCGAAGAGGATGCTACACTTGCATTATGCTGCTCCACCGCTACACCAAAGACTTGCCCCACGGCTGCCCAGAGTTTGGGTTACTTTTCCTGGGAACATTTTCATGAAGCTTCTGGCATCTACCGGCTCGAACCTGCTTCCCCCAGAGCATTGCCTTCAACATCTGTCCTCCTTATGCACATGATCGGAGTGGTTCTGGAATCGCCACTTTTGCCTTTTGCTCAACTGGCTGTTCCTGTCTTTGAATCTTCTGCCCGCCAGCACGCTCTGCCAAACAGTTCAACGGAAGCAAAACATCCTCGACTACCACGTATCGTGACGTATGTGACGTACAATGACTCCGGGAAGCTCACGAAGCAGAGATCAGCAGAGTGCCTTCGACCTCGGGCTGAAGCACGGGATAGCACGGGGCTGGGACCTCCACTGCACGGAGAAAGTGAAGGTCCGCGTAAAAGAGCGGACACTCCACAGATGCGCCAGCAAGAAGAGATGCCGCATAAGTCATGCTAAGCTGCACAACGGAAAATCCTGTACTTGAGCGCGATGCAATACCAGTACGGTGCTCGAACCTGTTGCTTGTGGTGTTTTAGTTGAGTTGAGTACGAAGCAAAAACCAGCCGTCGCACGAGCTGACAATCTTGACAGCAGCCTTAGCTGCTAGGAAGCTAGGCTTAAGCAACGAGAGCCATTTCAGAAGCTGTGTTACAGCTTCAAAGCAACCTGTGGGCATGAAGCCGCCACAGGAGCTCAGCATGTGCACGCATTGAGGTGAAAAACGATGCGATTCGCAGAACCTCGGCCCGGAAATCGATGAAAAACGATGAGGCATAGAGTCACTTAGACAATCTTAGTCACTGCAGAGTCCTGTGTTGTGCTGGATATTGCTGGATGGCCGAGTTCGCTGCATCAGGGCAGCTCACGGATGCGTCCTCTCCTCAGCTATCGTTGGCCAACTTGCAGATGTGACAGGTAAGACTCGGTAAGACAAAGCCTGAACTGCCTCTCTTGCGGCACTGCCTGCAGCACTGCCTGCGGCGGCCATGCTGGGGTCAGCGCCAAGACGAGTCTCCGTCCCTGTCATCTGCATCATCCAGCTTGTCAACATCATCACCTGCCAAGCTTTGGCTTCTAGGGCGGAAGAGCCGCCTGACTCTGCATGACGCCACCTCTCTCATTACATGAACATGTCCTAAGCACAAGAGGAATCTGGGGGACACACGGTCCCGCAAAGCAGCGTGTGCCAGGCTCACGCCGCCGCTGCACAAAGCTGCTGACCACAATACGGGACCTTTTTCGGGTACACTTGCAGCACCGCGCTGTCAAGAATGAAGCTGATTCACTCTGCAGCTAAATCTGAGACACAGGCCCATAAAGAGGTGCAGAAAGAGAAGTGTTGGCAAGGCCATGATCAACTGACATCGAGGGACGCATTTCCGACAAAACAAGGAAACTGACTCGGCCCGAGGAACCCGTTAGCAACCCGAGCATCTCACCATCTTCATGTTGGATCCAAGAGGCACCTGAACACCACCTGCGAGGGCCACAGCTGCAATCAAGCGTCAAGCATCTCGACTAACAAGCCCCAATGAACCCCATCCAAAGTCAGCAGCTAGGTCAGAAACGCTCTTTTTCGTCACGCAACCCACGCAACAACCATGCAAGCATCTTTGATGTGCGGCCAGCTCTGCGAAAGTCCAGGCACCAGGGTTTGCAGGGCTTCAGAACTCCAGCATCATGCCAACAGCTTCTCTCCTGTTCGTCTTCTGCTTTGCGGGCATGCGGCCCGAGATCCGGCCGCTGCTGACCGAGGACTTGGAGAACTTGGGTCGCAGTCTTCGGCACCATCGGGTGTGAGACTCGGCTTTCCATGCTGCACCCGTGAGTCAGAGTCTCCATCAACATATGATCGCGCACTGTAGACACTGCCCATGCCCGAGAACCGCGGTTACCAGGCGTTGATCCACGGAAACCCCCCTCCGCGCACCACAGCCGCGCGTACCTGACCGTTGCCCGAGAACTGGGAGTCAATTTCCTGTGCAGCAATGAAGTGCACAGAAAACCGGAACGCAACACCGAAGATATGAAACCGCCCTTGAGCAGGTGGTTGGCTTGTGCAGGCTGTCACTTCTCGTTAAGTCAGTCCTTCCGGGGTGGCAAGTGGTTGATGCCCACTTATCAGAAGCGGAGCGCGTCGGAGGTCAGAGATTCAGACTGCCTGCAATCGCAGTTTGAGAACTGACAATCACAAACCACTGCACGAACTACCACTGGGAATCTCAAGAGTTCTTGATGATCGCTCATTGGACTCTCCAATCTTGGTAAAAGACTCACACCGAAATGCTTGACTCAGACTCCTTGTTCCAAAAGCACAAGTCGTGCAAGAAGTCCGCATAAGTCTGCCAGTCAGCTGTCAAGCTTGTCCAAAGCAGGCGCGAGGACAGACCTGGGACTGACCGACACGTGTCTCTACTCGTAGGCGAGGAGCTCACTACGGCGACAGATCCTCGAAGCCTAAGCCAGGCACATGACCGCAGCCAGCACTGCTTCGGCGAGCCGCAGGTCCTCACAGATTCACGTTCCACACATCTCCACACATCTCCACACCCTCAACTCAACTAACAATGGCACCGACCACGAACCCGAAAGCATGGAGAACGCATGACAGGCAGCGTCCTGGCTCTTTGCGGCCAGGGCTAGCTTGCCATCCTTAGACTGTTCTTGCAAGGAGCTGCTTTCTTGAAGCGCAGCCGGTCAGTCGCTATGGATCTCAGGAGACGGCATCCAAGCTCGACAACTGCACAAGAACTACCTTCAGGCATTTCTAGGAGCTTTCATAACGGCGAGACGATGCTTGTGAGGGCCCGTGCCTGCATCTCATGCGTGCATCCGTGTTCCCGCCTCACTGCGAAACCATGAAGGATCGAGACTGTCTCAGGAGTCCCTCTCAGCCCAAGACAGCCGCGCCGCAAAACGTGCCCTTGTCTCCGCTCGTGAGGAGCAGTGCCTAAAACACTCATCTTTTTGGAGAAAATGCAATCTCTCGCAACACGTCCCGAGGCAACGGCAAAGCACCGCCAAACGAGAGTGACTCAACGACCTCTGCATCCCTGCGGGGGCTTTTGAGACTCTCCGAGAAATCTAAACGGTCTTTACGGTCCTAGCACATCTTAAGCTCGCGTCTTAACGCATCTCGACTAAAAAGCTCAGTCCACACCCGCGCAGTCTGAAACCCAGTTCTTCATGCAAAGACTTAGCCCGGGACGCCATCACCACCTTGATTCAGCGATTCTCGCAGCAGACATTTCGCAGCAAACATCAACGAGCCATCTGAGCATGCCACGGAACTGGGCACCTTTTGCTCGGAAGCTGCCTGGTCCAAGCCAGAAGCAAAATTTTCTTTTGAGCAGAACTAGACATCCAAGATTATCCTGGAGTCTTGCCTGCAGGTCGGGCGCGACCCACTCCTGGCAAGTTTCTCTGCAAGATCACGCCGCAGCGTACGGCAGTGCACGCAAGTGTACGGCAGTGTACCGATATGCCCTGCCTCATCAAAACTGCAGTGCCATGGCTCCAGAAATGTTGTAATGAGCCTGAAATTGCAAACCAATGCTTTTCGGCTTCAGAAGCTGAGTCCCAGAGCCCAGGTCCGAGGGCGAAACACTGGCAGCCGAACATGCAAATGACATGACTGGACCTTGGTTCCAATGCCAAAGCTCCCAGAAAGTCCCGCAACGAGTTCAAGATGCTGCCTAGAAACACTGTCCGATGCCATCTCATCTGTAGCCACGGTAGCCGCGGTCAGTTCTGCCTGCACAAGCCAGTTTTGAGAGTCTGCACTTGTGCGCACGAGCGCGCAAAGCTTTTGCGGATCGTCTGCAGCCTGCAAGTTCAGCGAGGGTGGTTGACACAGGACCTGAGCACTGCACAGCGGGTACTAAGCCAAAGCAGCAGTTCGCGGTGCTGCACGAGATCATAACATGTCATGGCCTCCATGAGCTCAAACTCCAGAATGAACGACGAGCCACCCCTCAGTTTGCATGCCATGTCCTGCCGTTCCAATGTAGAAACGTGCTTTTGGATGTGAAGTTGCTGAATATCTGGAGCTGGGGTTGCAGCCGATCAAAGGATGCGGGCAGCACGTCGTCGTGAACAGGCTGGCCATCGCACTCGCAATGGAGCGCAGCGGCCTCAAGCACGACTAGGCCCGTTAGGCCCTGAGCATACATGACCACATGCAAACATAGGCCCTTGCATCGGCATGAAGCTCAAGGTGGAGCCTGACGGGCTGCGACACGCCACAACATGCCACAACATGCCACGACATGCCACGACATGCCACGGACGTCGAAGTCATGCAAATTGATGGCAAATGCGTCTTAAGCAAACCCCAGCGACTCACCTCGATAACTCCAATCCAGGTGCAGGCACAAGCTGCAGCTTCACCTTGTTCAGCCGATGCGCCCACGAAAAACAAGAGCAGAAAGGTGCATCATCGCAGGCGGGATGAATGTCGGAAGACGGGTGGGAAGTCCTAAGCCCCAAGCCCTGAAGGGAGGAGATCGTTCTCCCTACAAGGCTTCGGCATTCGGATTTCAAAGAGAGGGGGTGCTGCAGCCACGGATTCGGAAACTGATAACGCGGAGTCGGAAATTGGAAAAAAGTGATTCGAAAAACGTCGGGCAACCAACTTGCGCATTCGAGAAACTACACGCGCACATTCGAAAACCGCGGATTCAGGAAACTGGAAACCACGTATTCGGCTGAACCACATATTTAGGAAAGCACAATTCTTTTTTAGAGCACCCTCGACATGAACGCTATAATTCCCACCCACCCCCGACCCACCCCGCACACCCACACCCCCACCCCCCATGGATTCATGAACCAAGCAGTTTCCTTTTATCGTGTGGTTTCCTGAATCGCGTGAAACCAGTTCTCAGGATCATTTGGTTTCCTGAACCGCATGTTGGATGGGTTTCGGAGGTGAGAACCTATACCCCAAAACGCGCGGGTACGCCCCAGCGCCCCCCCCCTCCCCCCAGCCATCCCCCATCCCCCCTCCACCTCCCCCCCCCCCGTTAAACCGTGACTTCAATCACCCCGTGGCGAACCCAGATGCGAACGTTGCCATGCCGAGGCCTCTTCCCCACCAAGTGCCGTCGGGTTGAGCCCACCCAACCCTTGAAGAAAACCGCAACCCTAAACCCTAGAGGGATAAACCGCAGCGCCTGCGAGGGTCGGGGGCATCAGGAAGCCAAGCTAAGCGAAGCTTCTGAGCTTGATACGATGGCAGTGAGACCGGCAGTCAAGGTCTTGTCGCCAAAGTCCTTTCCAGGCAAGCTGCTGCAGATGATGACAAACAAAACAGAGATGCGGCAGACATCTGGAAGGTTGCCCGGGGTCGTGGCCGGTCTCTGCAGCTCAGAACTGATCTGCAGGAGCTCGTGCTTGTACAGCCTTTGCAAGAAGAAAAGCATGTAGGCCGCCAACTCTTCCAGATTTCTCAGGTCCGGACATACCCGAGCCGCCACGTAGAAGCTGCATCAGGCGTTGGTGGTTCGCCGCAGCTTCAGGGTCCAGGCCTGTTTAGAATCAGAACGTGTCAAAATTGTTAAGCGGCCGATGTGTGTCCTGATGCTCGAAGAGGTTCGGCATCGTGAAGGATCCGCCTGCATGACAGATATGTCAGATCATGCGACCTGAAAAAACAATGAGTCGACACCAAAGTGATGGAAAAAATGGATTGAGTGCAAGAAGCTTCCAGGCCTGGACGGCTTCGGAGCGGGTGCTGCATCCTGGCAGAGAAGAACCAGAGCTCTCGGTCGAGAAGCCTGCATTTGACCCATGCAGCGCAACAGACCTCATCCACCTTGTCGTCGGCAGACTGGTCGTTCTTCGTGCCGCTGATAACTTCTGCACAGTCCTCGCTCGAGTCGACGTCAGCGGCATGGTCGGAATGGTCGGAATGGTGGGAATGGTCGGAATGGTCGGAGTGGTCGGTGTCAAGCGTGAGTGCATTGCAAGGTGCTGGTTTCGCATCCTTTGGTGTCACTTCCATCTGAGATTCTGCATGCAAGCGTTGCAAACGCCCGATTTCCGCCTTCAGCGTGGCCGCATGAGCTTGCAAAGCCCAAATATCCCGTGGATCAGACACTGGCTCTGTCAGCGGGGCATGAACGAAGCAAGTCTCACCAGGGTTTATGCCTGCCTGCGCCGCCAAGTCTACGACCTCACCAAGGCTCTTCTCTGCCTCGTCTTCTGCTGCGATCAGCTCTGCTTGCAGGGATTCGATGTTGGGGCCATCCACTCTGCAGCCATCTGGTGTCTGTGCCTTGCACAGAAAAGCTTGCAACTCTCAAATGGGCAGTCGGACAGGACAGGAGGGGCCAAGGATGGAGAGTTTGGGCAGTTTTGGGGGCGTTTGGTCAGACTGTTGCTCACATGTGCTGAAAGCTTGCAGGGGAGCATGCTTTCTTTTGATGCTTCTTTTGGTGTAGAGTCTGGATTTCTGGCTAAGGCACAGGACCTGTCCCTAATGGAAGTCCGGGGTTGTCGGGCAGAAACGAAGGGTGAAGGATGCATTCCTGGCACAAGTCTGGCTTTGCCACTGCGTAAGGTGCGCTGCGCATCGCTGCGCCCAAGAATTGAGAGGGGAGGGAGGACCTAAGGGCACTTCACTAACCCCCCGCCACCCTTGCATCCCTTGCATCATTCAATTTGTGTAACCTCAAACCTCAAACATACTCTTGACCGAGGAGAGGCAGCAAAAAAGAACGAGACGAAACCGTCTCAGCACTTGGAGATCGAGCTTTTGATGCTTCATGCTCGTGCGTTTATGGCGATTCGAGTTTTTTAAGGCAATTTCTGAGCTGGACCCTTTTGTGCCCCTATTTACTGAACCTGTCCTCCAGCGCCCTCCTTGAGAAGGATGTAAGGATTGGTAGCCGCAGCTCCGCAGATTCAAAGTCCACACCCCAAGACACTCCACAACCGGGAGTTGCTTGTGCCATGGGTAGATTATCTTGTCTCTGCGTTGCGAGAGCATCGGTCTGGCACAACAGGTCCCAGGAAGCATGCAGCACTCTTCCAGGGATGACCGCAAACCTGAGCGACGCGTTCTTGCGCAGCTCTTGACAGCAGGTCCAGCAAAGGACTCTTCGTGACTGTGTCGGAGGTGCCGAAACGTCCGAGACGTTGTAGAGTGGGTCCCCACCCCCGCCCCGGCAATCATCAGCGTGACAACGGAGCTCTTCTGCATGGAGATGAACCCGCAGAGAGAGGAGGTACGCAAGCTCCGAGCGCAAGCCTGTCACGTCTTCCTCAAACCCATCCATCTCTGGAACATTCATACCCACGTTATCCACATCCTCCGACAGTGGCATTTCAGAGACAGATGGTGGCTGTTTAGGCCCCTGGTGGCCTGGCAGAAGCGAAGAGGGGGCGACCAACCTGACGACATCACCATTTCTGAGGTTGGTACCTCTCCTTCCTGGAGGGATCATTGTCCCACCCACGAGAACTGGATTGCTGCTGAGGTTGTCAAGGCTGAGGCACGCAGAAAGCGGATCGAATCTTAGCCTCAAGTGCTCGCGCGAGACGCAGATCAAGGTGTCCTTCGAAAGCAGGTGCTTCAGGTAGGTGTGATTCCTGCCAAGAACCATCTCCGGGATGCCAGCCTCAGACTCTGGGACCTGAAGCCAGAGATCACCTTGGGGATGCTTCAGGGCATCTCCCACATTGATGGCTTCTAACCAGCATTCTGCCTGCTTTGCCTGCTCTGCCTGCTCTGCCTCCGTTCCTGGCACCTCCGAAGCCGAGCGCGCGCTCGGCGCGCCTTCACCCGCACAACCCCAACGCCATACTGAAAGCTTGACGTCGTCGGGAGTCTGGGATAAGGCGGTCGGCTCCATGCAAAAGAGCTGCATGCCGAAGATCAAGAAGCCTTCTGGGCCTGCATCCGCATGAAAATAGAGCTCAAGGTTCGGCAAGGTGTCCAGAGTCGAAACGTCCGGCTTGCCCTCGTCCGGCCTTGAGAACAAGGCCATGGGAGACATTTGCAGCGGAGACACCGATTCGGGTGAGATCCACTGCTCTCCCAAAAAGCCTTCAGAGCTCCAAGCCTCCACCAAGAGCTGTGGCATGTCGGGCTCCAAACCCATGGACTCAAGCTGTCGGGCCTCCTCAACCAAGGCTTGCGCAGCTGCGCGGAACCTGTGCTGCTTCTCAATGTCCTTCGGTGCGCCATTGTGTGCGCCTGGCTTTGAGGCCCGGCACTTTTCCAACTCGGCTTCAATAGCATGAAGCTTCTCTGCAAGCACTGTGGTTTTCAGAGATTCTTCATGGGCCTGGCCATTCAACTCCCCAATCTTCGCAGGTATCTCTTGGAGCTGCTTCTGCAAACTGGCGCACGCAGCACGCAACTCGCCTGTCTGTTTGCTCACCTCGTCCAAGTTTTTCTGCTGGGTCCCCTTGCCAAAACAGCAGCACATCACCCTGCTCCAACTTCATGTGAGCAGCTGGCACACTTGAGGCTGCTAATGGCCACAGAATCGAGGACGTACCAGTCTGCGAAAAACACGCTTTAGAACTCAAGAAGCTGTCTGATTGCTCTGTGAAGAACAGGGGATGTCGCCACAAGAACAGCAACATCAGAGACTCAGCGGCAGGAGCTTCACCTATCGCCAGCGTCCACGGACGGTTTCTGAACCTGAAAGTGCAAACGCAAGTCGCGTGCAGAGGATGACGTCTGTTAAGCTGCTGTATGGACAGGCTTGGTGAGCGGCTGTTCACTGCGCATGGCATGAGACCAGCCGCCACCAACTCCAGCAAGCCTGGGACACTTGGTTGATGCTCTCGGAGCGCTTCCACGACATCAAACCGATAGAATTCAGACCCAGACATCATCAGCAGCATTGGCGATGTGCACACAAACTGGCGAACTTCACTATTGTAAGGCTTTTGGGGATCGTGATTGTCGAGGCTACTGAACTGGTGAACATATGCAAACATGATAGCCGGCCATAAACAGCATCGCCAGAAAGATGAAGGCATAGTTTGGGCCTGCGGAGCACATTCGATCGAAAACTCCTACAGGATCCAGGAGCTATACTTCAGCTGAGCTCCCAACAGAAGTGTCGTGCGTTTGCAATCACCTCAGGCTGTACGTAGCTGTACAAGTGCCATGTCACAGGAAAACCTACGCTTCCAGGGAGGCGGCATTCCGCTGAAAGTAAATCTGAATCTCGCCACGGCGCGAGGCTTGCCGCACGCCCTGCCAAGATCAGCGAACGCCCACGTGCTCTCCAGCTCCTGTGAAGGAGCCGGCAGCCGCCTCGACGATTCTGCTCGGATTGAGACGGGCAAACCTTCAGGCAGCGAAAAACCTGTGACAACTCGAAAGCAGCACGGGCTGCAAGTTGGGGCAGTGGCTCGTTCCAAGGCCGGAGATAGCGGCGAGCCGCAGCCGTGTACCTGGTCAACTAGAGCGGCCTGTACCAGTGCAGCAATGTTCGCATCCTGCCGCCTCTTGACTTGGATGAACCCTGCCCACTTGCAGCGCACGCTCTCGCCATGTAGCGAGGAATCTGCATCAACGTGCGCCCCTGCTCGGTAACCTAATCGCAAGGCAACATACACGGAAGAGCTGAAGAGCTACTGGTCAGTCTTGCGGCTGTAAGCGCAGCGCCACTTCCGTTAAGGGTCGTGAAGTCAGCTGATGCATAATGGCTTGCGGGTTCAAGCTGGCCAGCGAAAACCTTCAGGTGCAGTCCGAAATCGTCAGGGCAAAGACTTTGAACACTGTTTGCTCTGAGGAATCAGCGTCGGCCCGCTGCCTGCATCTACACTTCTCATGTCTTTTAAACAACCTCGACAATGAAGAGGTGCTCTGTTAACTGCAGGTCGCCTCCTTCTAAGCTGGTAGGCCCTCGGGATCCGCCCGAGCTGCTGGCAGCATAACTGCAGGGTCACTTCAACTTGAAGCACATCGAAACTCATCACTTGACAATCCCCTGCAAAGTAATTATGCCTGCTTGGTGCACTCGGCCGAAAGCTGGGCCCAGGCCTCAGAAACACTATGCACGCACGTGCACGCACGCATGCATGCACGCACGCACACGCACGCACGCACAAAATAAACAGGAAACACACCTCGGCCTCGGCCGGGAGCATTAGATTTTGAAGGGTTTTGTACAGAGAACCGAAACTGGACTTGTCCGCATGACCTATCGGGGCATGGGTACGAAGGTCTAGAAACCTGCGTGGACATCCTATAGCCCCCTTCCAAAACTTCTGTCTCAACCACCAACCCGAAAGCAACTACACTCTGAAAACCAACCCCGAACTCCCTGTACACAAGCCTGCCGCTGGATTTCAAGGTGGGCCCAGGCGATCGACGCGCAGCGTCTACAGAGTCTACACGTGACTCATGCATTGTATCACTCCTGCACTGCAACCCGTATGCAACTGTATGGGTGCCCAACTGGGGAGTCGAATGGCTTGCTGCGCTGCTCCCAGAAAGATCCACCGTCTTGCCTGCTGCTTCGTCATGGGGCATTCAAGCATCCACGTTATCGCCGGCCTACAGCCACACGATTTCATTGCCTGGATCCGGTGCTGATGGCGGAGCATAGTACTCCGTTCCGGGTATGTACTGCCTCACACATCAAAAGACAAATATCACGTTCCTTGCTGATTTTCTTTGCAGTCCAAGCTTCTGATGGCTGTACTGCTGCCCAGTGCTGGGCGGCCTGAGCGACAGCATGTTTGCCGTTGCTGTGCTGATGGCTTGACATTGAGGCGACTGCCCCAACAAATCTTCCATGGCATTCCCTGCCATCCTGACAGCGTTGCTTCGACTGAATGCAAGCTCGGTGAAAGGCACAGCTCAAGACGCAGTGCGACCTGCTTCAACTATCTGGCGGTCCCAAAAACTACGCAAGTACTGTTGAACCAAAAGTTGCATCGCCATGCATCATGCTGATACTTGTATTGCAGGCAACCTTTTGTGGCAATAATGCGCGATGATTGACCGTCCTTCACAGGATAGCTTGAGAACTCGGTCCTTGGTAGCCAACCAAGGAGAATGAATGATGAAGATGACACAATCTGAATGCTGTGCGATGCACTGCCATGTCGTGTATACGAGGCATGCCGCTTCAGTGTTGTTATTGAGCGCAGGGCTGAGCCCGGAAGTCAGAGTTGCAAACAGGGGGGGCCATGTCACATGTCCCCATGTGTCCCCCCACATGTCTGTGTTCGCTCTGCACAGGAATGATTGGCAAAGTGAAAACTCTCACCTGTGGACCACGGCACTTTGTGCCATGGCAAACATGCACTTTGGCCGCATCTAGGTGTAGCATAAAATCCCACCTTCATGATGCCGTGTCTTCTTGACAGCTGAAAATGGGGGGTCTTCTCTGACTGCTTACATGAGACGCTGCGAACCACCCCCCCCCCCCGGCCCCCTAGCGGGGCGACTTGGATGCTCCTCGTGCATTCTTTGCAGGAGGCTTTGGAGGAAAGATCGAAGAATCCAGCAACAGCACCGAAGTTTCGTTGATGCCCACTGCACCACTCGTTTGCACCTTGTCCTCTGGAAACCCATTGTTGACCAAGTAATCCTTAAGGACCTGAGCTCGTTTCGTAGCCATGTCCTGCCACACAGCTGTGTCACCTCCCTTGGGGATCTTGCAGCTGATGCTGATGTTCAATGGAACTTGAAACATTTTCACAACATCAGCGAAATCTTCCAGCACCGACTCTGCTTGTGAAGGATCTGCCAAGGCGACCGTAACGGGATTTTGCTTGGCATCTTTAGGTGGCACTGATGGAAGGAATGCCAGCTGTTGAAGGAACACGATCCGTCCAAATTGTCTGTCCAGCTTGATGTTCCCCTTGGTCTCGATATCTCGAATTCGCTTCATGCTGTTCAACAGCGATGCAAGCTCTGCAGTTTCGAGTTGTGTGCTCGTCTGCTGCAGAGTCTCCCTTAGAGACTGCAGCTGGTCATTCAGCACCGTCTGCTGCGACAGACCGTCGAGCTTCTCTTGTCGAGTGCGTCCCAGGTCACCCTCAGTCTCACGCAGCAAGGCCTCCAGCCTGCTCAACTCCACACGCAAGTCCGTCATCTCCTGGGACTTTGTCTCCCATTCCGTCAGCCGACCTTCCAGGCCACCGAAAGCTGCAGAAAGCGAAGGGAGCTCGGCAGTCCAACCCAAAGAGTTGACCATATAGGTTTCCAAGTTCTCCATCCCGCTTCCAATCTTACTGAAGATGTTGTCTTGCAGAGACTCCTGCTGCTCGGATGAGTTGCGAAAGCTCTTAAAGACATTCTGCTGCAAATCGACAAGGCACTGGCAGTCTTGCTGTATCGCGGACTGGACAGCGTCTACCCTCGCCAGCTGCTCTTTCTGAGCCAGAGCTGTCCGCGCCTGCTGGTCTATGGAATAGCCAATGGTCTCCAGACGATTCCAGATCTTGCGCTGGGTGATGCTCATGCTTTCTTGCACCTGGCTCTGTGTTTCCAAAGTCTTGTGCAGCCAAGCATGCCTCTCTTCATCAAAGGCGCGCAAAGAAGTCAGGACCCGCTCAGCAATGCCATCTGAAATTTGCTCGATGCTTGCAGTGAAGCTCTCACGGAAATCTTTCAATCCAAGGATAGCTTCAGAAAGAGTGGCCATGGTGCCGTGAAACTCCTGAAACGTCTCTACGGCCGAGCATCGAGCTAAGAAGTCCTCTAGGCTGCTGTTCAGCCTTTGCAAGGACTTTGCATGCTGCTGGAGCTGTGCTGTGGCTTTCAAGTCGACTTTCCGCCAATCCTCAAAGCGGGACTGGAACGTAGACACATGGGCATTATCGAAAACGGCCTGCAAGGCACGAATGCACTCTGAAGCTTCGGCTAGAAAGCTGCTTCTCATCAGCCTCTCGTCTTCCCGATGCTGTGACGTTGACGACATTCGGCTCTTTGGCGGAGTGATGGTCGGCGCTGAAATCGGCGACCGATCACTCCCACATACAAGCTCATGGCGCTGCGAATCCGACGCCAGCTTTAACGCTGTATCCTGCAAGAAACGATGAGACGGCCAAGGAGACTCCGTTCCATCACCACATTGCGGCAACTTCACATGCTCCATGGCAAGACGAACACTGCGGAAAACGTGTAATTCGCAATGCTCTGCCACATTTTGTGAACTAGGTGTGCTGATGCTGCAGGGGCAGGATTGCCTAAAATGTTTCGTGATATTGACCAGCTGATTGCATCATCAAGCAATTAAGCAATTAGTCCTGAGGCCAGCTTTGTTCGTGACCTTCGAAGCAAGCAGGCAAACAGACAAGCAGGTAGTCAGGTACCAAAACAAAAGAGCAAGTGGATCAAGAAGCTGCTCACAAGTGCAGGTTCCTTGCATACTTTTTGGAAAGTGCCCTCGGCTGCACATCAATCCTCATAGCCCGTCAGTCATCCTGTTCACACCACTTCCAGCCTACTCGGAACAGTTCGGACTGGTGCAAGCATCGGGTGCATCAGTGTGTGGTCTCCCGCTCAGCCCCTCAGACCGGCTTGATCCTGAAATGCAGACCGATGAGGCTGAACACGAAGCACTTCAGGTCCTGCACCAAGTAGTAGAAGACTCGGAGGCCTTCTGGATCCTTTGAGGCCTGGACGTCTGCTAGCGATCCGATCTTGGAGGTGGTGAATGAGATGTGTTCCTTCCCACATACGACCTCCAGTTCTTGCCGACCGATGCGATCTGGTGCTGGCCAGTGGTTGTCATCCTCCTTCAGGATCTCAGAGTCTTCGATCATCTTCCTGAGTTCCTTCATCACTGCTTGTGTTACGTGCGCCTCTTTTCGGATCATCACATCGTTCTTGTAATTGGAGTTGTTTGCGTACCGCAAGCGACCGTCCGGCCTGAACTCGAACTCCAAAAACTCATGCCCGAACTTGCCCTTGTGACCCACGTAGTAGCGCACATAGAAGTCCTCTTCTTCAGCCATGATGCCCTACTGCACCTTTCTGTGCTGATTGCAGTGGGTTTCGCACCTCTTTGGGCCAACACATTGCCAACGAAGCTGATGCCGCAAAAACGTTCGAAACCGACATGTGATGTTACATGTTGTCAAAGTAACATGTGCAGCATGTATATTTGAATAAGATGTTGCCTTTACGCATGAACCTTTTTGCAAGTCATGTCATGAAACCCTGGTCCATCTCAAACCCCTCACTGGAAGAGTTTGATTGCAAAACATATGACGTGGGCCAGTGTAATTTCGGGAGCTTTATTGCATGCAACTCACACATGTTATAAAGTATGCAACCATAATGCGCGCGCGTTGCCGACAGCAGATCCTTCTGGCTTAGCCTATCAGCATTGTAACGACTTGCCTGCAGCAAATTTTCCTGTGCTTACGACAAAGGGCTGATAAACAAGCTGTCATGGCACCCATCGATGCTTGCTGCTTTTGCTGTCCCACTGAAAGCTTTCGAAACCATAGGCTTGAAGCACATGGTGTGACCACAATCCGACGCTGTCGTTCGCTGATGGAGGCCTAGCCCAACGCTGATGGCCTAGGTGGCATGTTCTGCCGAACGGCCTGGCACCCGGGCTACAATTTGTTGCAAAACATCCCCCTCTTCTCAGCTGGCAAGCTCCAGTAAGTGGCCCAGTGTTGATGCATCTTCAATATGGGCTAAACAATCAGCCCACCCAAGGCAAACAAACTCAAGTCTTGTCAGGGCCCTTTGGGCAACAAGGCCTTGGGACCGTTTTTTGAATTCTGAATTGTGCGAATGGGCCGGTGCTTTGCCTGCCTTCCTTGTTTACAACGTCACAATCACAGGGGGGAAGGCCGAATTGCACATGGAATTGGACTGGGCGCCCCCCTTTTTCCCAAGAAGCACTCCCCCCCCCCTCGTTAGACGGAGCTCATTTTCGGAAAACGCCTCTTGTGCAATGCTTTGGGAAAGCTACAATCTTGTTCTGTGCCAGTGCACCACTGACAGCACTTGATTATGAGAAAACACACTCCCGTTTGAACGCAATTAAATGCAAAACATTGCAAAACCATAAGCATCTATGTGCGTATAGGGCCTTGTATAAGAAGCCGCATCTTTTTCACACCGCCGACTTCTGCGCATCTCCCTCTCATTTCACCTTCTCCTCAGCGTTCTCCCACTCCCCTTTTCATTTCATCATTCCTTTTCAGCCGCAACGCGTTTGTCCCAAAGTACAAGCAAAGACGCTCCTGAAAAATCCCCGATTCTCGCAAAGCAGGGCGAAAAGCTGTCCATCCTGCGTTTACAGCGTAAAATCAGAATAAAAGCCATAAGAGACATTCCCAACGTTGAGTCCACGAACAGCGACACATACCCGAGAGGGCTCGCGTGACAACGTAACCTTGCAAGGATAGGCTGTTGGTTCAGCGATTTGAGGCCACAGGCGGCACAATGAACCGATGAAGTCAAAAGCTTTTAAGCACTAGCCATCGGATCGAGCTTCCTCTGCCGGTGCTGCACCAGTTCCTCATGCTACAGATTTGTCTCCACCCAACTGATCCAGCAGAATCCCCAACCCTCGCACAACTGTGGCTCCGACCCCCCGCCCCGATACCCCGAACCCCCCCCCCCCACCCCGACCCCGCCCGACCCCCCTCGTGTCACGTCTTCGTGTTGTGTCGTGTCATTCTTCGTATCGTGTCCTTGTGTCGTGTCCTCTGCCGTGCCTGCGTGTCATGTCTTCGTGTCGTGTCCTCGTGTCTTCATCTTGCAGACTGCAACTGGCTCACTAGCACTCCAACAGGCTCACGTTTACTCGTGGAGCGGGTCCCATCCACGGGCGAAAAGATTGACTGGTCCACTGGTCCACTTTGGCAAGTCGGCTGAAAAGCAGTGGAGATACCATTGCGGCGAGTGTCCAAACTACGGGAGGTCCGACTGCAGGGGATTGCTGGCCATTCTCAATGCTGTTACGCAGCTTGATGAGTTCATCACTCCTTTGGTGTGGAACTGGAACTCCCAACGCTTCAGCGGTTTCCCTGGACGGAAACCGTTGGGCCTCATCCATGGTCTCCGTCGTGTTGCGATGCCGCCCTGGTACCGGGGCTTGGGGCTTGGTTATGGGCTTTGCGACTGGTTTCAATCCACGCTGAGGGTTGCCTGACGCACTATGCGAAAAGCAGCGCGCGTCACTTTTGATCCGGCTAGTGGCTAATGTATCACACACGGGTTGATACAAAGCTCAGCTGTTGGCCGGGCACTGGACGCATGCACCCACGCACGCATGCACCCATGCACAAACCCATGCACCCGTGCACCCGTGCACCCATGCACCCATGCACCCATGCACCCATGCACCCATGCACCCATGCACCCATGCACCCATGCACCCATGCACCCATGCACCCATGCACCCATGCACCCATACCCATATGCACCCATGCACCCATTCATCGTGCATGGGTACACCACGCACCCAAGCAAGGCAACAATGCAACAATGGAACAAGGCAACAATGCAACAACGCAGCAATGTAACAATGCTGTAATGCAGTAAAATTAAATTGTAGCAATGCAGCAACGCAGCACGCAGCACTGGAACAACGCAACACTGCAGCAATGCAACAATGCAAACAAAGCGACGGGGGCAACGCAGCTATCAGCAATGACAGCACTGACACAGCAATGACGCAGCCATGATGCAGCAATGCAACACAATGCAACACGGCAAAGCAAACACGAAACAATGCAAAACAACATGCAACACAATGCCACACAATGCAAGATTGCAACACAACGCAGAACCATGCAGAAAAAAACAACGCAACAAAATCAAGGACAATGCAAAGCAAAATGCAAAACCACATGCAAAACAAAAAACACACAAAACAATTCAAACAACATCGCAGAACAATGCAAAACAAAAAGCAAAAGATGCACAATGCAAAAGAACACAAAAACACAACAACAGCACAACGCAAATACAAAAAACACAGAAGAAGGCAACGCCTTTAGGCAAAAAGAGTTACTAGCAAAGTCTCCGGCGTCCCCAAGAACTCAAGCACCACGCACGCTGAAGGTCGGTTTCGAACCACCTGCCTGAGGTTCTTGGTGTTCAGCCCAAGCTCATGTTTGTCGTTGAAGCGCAAAAATGTGCCCTTCAGTAAATGAAGTCAGCGGAAAGACAAAATTGACCGAACATTTGTTGCGTCAAGCTGTGTCGAACTGCTAACCGGAAACAGATTTGGCAACCACGTACGGTTTTTGCTTATGGCTGTCTTATGGCTGTTATTGCACTCGTAACACAGTTTTTTTGTTTTTTTGTTGTTCTTCTTCACTCTTTTTGCAATTCCACTGGCATTCTGAAGAACTTGGTGTGAAGACATTTGGTTTTCATCTTGTTAACATGTCTTGAGACGGTTTTTCCAAGTCTTTTTTTTGAAGCGGGCGCCTCTTTACTACATCAGTAGCACAGTAGGCCGTTCTTGTGGGTCTTGCAACTAGGTGTATTGCCATAAGAAGCAGGAAGAACAAGAAGAACGAACACCACCACCTAACCAACCAAACAACCCAGCAACAACCAAAAGAGGAAGCGACCAAACTACTAGGTTCCCCGCGCTTAGTACTCAACGTCGTCAATATCCAAAAGACTTCCATGCCGCACCAAGCTGTGCAGGCAAGTTGCAAAATGCGAATGTATTCCAGAAATCAAAACACCATTTTGTAGACATTTGCTTCACATCGATCGCAAAGAAATCCACAAACCAACGGAGCCATCCATCCCTTCCAGCAGGAAGGGTTGGCCGTGCTTTATGGTGGTCATTTTTTTTGGACTGACGCCTCTTTTCTACATCAGTAGCACAGTAGGCCGGTCTTGTTGGGCTCGACGTAAAGGGTGAAACAAAGTCAGCGCACACAATCCGCCAGACACACCAAGCAACCACCAAGCAAACAAACACCAAAGAAAACAAAGCGAGCAATCGCGCTAAACGACTAGATACCCCACGGACTCAGTACTCGAAGTCGTCAATGAAGTTCCGGTTCACAAGGAAGCACAGTGGGGGGAATCGCAAAATTGCGACATTGCCAGATTCTCAAAACCATCATGTAGCCACTGGTGCGACAGCGGTCATTCAAACCA